GCATTATTTTGAGCTCATAGACAACTGTTTTTTTTTTGGATAGTATTTACATTAGGTTTAATATAAGTTGTTCATTATTGAAACATGACAGATCTAGTAGTTTTTATGTTCGAATATTTTATTAGAAGATTCATTTAACTTTATACAAATGTTAAAGATCAATGTAGAACACTTTTTAACTATTTTGATCCAGTGACTTTAACACCGAAACATATAGTACAAAAAAAGCCCAAAAAAATTTATTAAAACTAATCAGTTTTAAGTAGAAGAAAGAAGAATAAAGGCATCTAATTATCTATCTAACATTAACTATTGTCGATGATATTTTCAACGTGACGTAGATGTTTTATTGCAAATAATCTCAATTTGATAAGCTAATATTGTCACTACGTATCTACATGAACATATGTAGAAATTATTTTGCTGTTGATCATTACTATTAAAATATCTTGAATATTTGCATGATAATGATCAATCATTTATTCTATTTCTTAGTCAATTTTGTTGATTATGCTAATCTTCTTTTCATAAATCAAAGGTCTCTACGATGAAACGGAAGTCGTATAAATAAATACTGGATTGAAAATAAATTGAATTATCTTAACTTCATATAATATGTAGAAAAATAATATGATTCTGAAAAGACTAAAGAAAATGTTGATCTACACAATGAATTGTAGTTAATGACAAATACTCAATTAAATTTATGATTTACTATCGAGTAGAAAATCTTTTACAAATGAAATCTATTCGATAATTGTTTGAATATATCTAATTAATAAAGATTCATATTCTTACATAATAATTAAATCTAAAGTAGAACAATAACTTCTTGATGTATATAAAGAAGGTCATTGACAGAAACATTTTTCTAACTAGATTGAATCTATCAACTCATTTCTATCGGACAATAAGTCAAATAATGATCATCGGATAAAAAGAAAATGTTTAAGCAATTGTTTGTTTTTATTGCTTAATAATGTCAATATTGAATGATGATGTCATATATATTGTTTACTTACTTTTATTGTGAAACATGATCTAAAAGGAATGCTGAAATATAAGGATACAAATTTTGACTCTCGTCATGAACCTGAGAGACACCTTAGCAACTCCTCGCCCGTCACGAATTGAGATATCCTTAGAGACCGAACTGAAGCCTTCTGTGGTACTGTTATACAAGAAAATTGAATTTAAAATATCTATCTTCGGGCAACCTTTGTTCACTCACTGTCACGCATCAGCAAAAATATCTTTCATTACCGACATATTAGTAAGTTGGAAGTCACAAACCAAATCTTATGTTGCAAAAATCTTTGATTTTTAATATATGCAGGTCAATTGTGTTTCATATTTTAATTCTGCAGGAATTGTGCTAACAACTGTTCTTATTAGATAACCATTATAGGATTATTTAATATAGCAAATAAAATTTGCTATTAACTAAGATTATATTTAATTTCACTAGTATCATATCGAATAAATATTAAACGTTCTTGGTTTTTGATGAATCTATTTATGATGAAAATCAATTGATTAATGTGCACGATTAATTTCTATATCAACAACGTCTGTCACAGTCTGTAATGCAGTTAAGTGAACTGTTGCTAAAGCATCTGTCACGGTCTATAATGAAGGAAAGAGTCTACTATGGATGTCTATCATATCTGTGAAGAGCTGTTTCTAATGTGCCTGTCATGTATGTGGGGTGAGTGAATTTTTACCCTATATATTTCAACACTCCTTTTAATTCGTGTTGCATAAAATATTCTGAATGATTGTAACAATCAGTTTGGTAATAAAATACATATTAAGTCAATAATTATCGGCATATTTTTCAAAATCGAATTGTTTCTTTTACTCGATACTCTGTTTGATGACTTCTTCAAACAAACAGTATTAAAATAAAATTTTCTATATGAATAAAATTCATAGTGTTGAATTTCAATATATTACTAATTTTATAGTTCATCATAATGTATTCAATCACTTTTTACTCGTCGCTATCGATTTAACAAAAATAATAATCAACATACAACATTATTCATAGATTAAACAATTATACAAGATGTATGCTAACAACTAATATTTCGTAATACATATGATATAAAATGGAAATAATAAATAATACAATTGAATTACTAATCCAATCATATCATATCATATGAAACTAAAAATCAATCTACTTAACGATCAAATAAACTAAGAATATCTATTTTCTATGTTTTTCTTTTAGTATGAAGCATGCTAGTACTCATATTTAAATTGAAATCGCAAAAAAGATACCTTATAAAATTATATTAACAATCAACAAATAAAAAGAGAGAAAAAAAAAAGAAATCAGGGAGTGGTGAATTGAAAGCAAGTTTTATTTTCATTTTTTTGTGTCACATTCATTTCACGTATTCACTAAACAATAGCAACCAAGGATAGATACAACACCACTACCACCACAACAACAATAACAACGGTAATTTGTTTTTATCAACAATGTTCATATCAATTCAAACAATTTGTACATGTCATGGATATCTTCTATTTGAATCACTTCATTGTGAACGATGTCGTTCATTAATTCCATTTCAAATTACAGATGAAAATTTACCTGATCCAATACCAACAAATAATATAACTAATGGAATCAGTATTGATAATCAAGGTAAACCATCACCGGGTATGCTTGTACCATATCGAAAACAACAACAAAAACCAACAACAACAGGTCGTGTTCGGTTTCGAGTTTTATGTCCATTTTGTAATAGTTCAACATTTGTTATACGTTATTATTGTAAACGAGAACGAATTTATTATCATTTACGTATACAAAATCGGGGTGACAGTGAACAAAATGTATTTAAATCAGTAGCTGAAAGTCAAAATTTAATAAGTATTGATGAATATGGAATAAAACGTGATTATTCAGAACCTTCAGGTATTCAAACTGCTGATGATTCATATTCATTAAGAAGTTCTACGTCTCAAACAACACCAACAACTATTATATATGATCAAAATGGTCTATCAACTGCAAGAGAAAAACAAGTTGAAAATGAACGAAACTTATATGGATTTAATGAATTAGAAGGAGATTTATTTAGTGTACTTAGAAATGGTTTATTTTATGATACATTAATTCAATGTCTAGATGATGTTAAATTACAAGTACATCGATGTATTCTTGGTGAGAATAGTTATATTATGATAGAAACAAAAGAATTCTTTGAATTGTTTTCTGTTTTTTTTTCTGATAGGTGGTCGGTCACCATGGTTTCGTCATCTTCTTGCTGAATATCATGAAGCAAATAATAATGATGATTATGTTTTACAAATAAGTATTGATGATATTCATTCAGACGTCATGAATGAAATATTAAATTTTATGTATACAAATCGTTGTTTAATTAGTTTAAAAAATGCACCTGATTTATTACTAGCTGCAAAACGATTTGAATTAGAAAAATTAAAAACCCAAATAGCTGATTTTCTTTTATATCGTCTTACAGTTGATAATGCTATTGAAATGTTAATATGTGCACATGAAGCTGGTTCCGAAGCACTTAAAACAGCATGTATAAATTTAATTAATCGTAATGCAGAAAAAATCAAACGTACTGAAAAATGGAAAGTATTTAAAAGTCAATATATTGATCTTATACCTGAATTATATGAAAGTCGTGTTGAACATCCAACACCTGCACAACAAACATTTTTACCTGATGTTTTTGCACCACCAGCATTTCCATTAGAAAGTCTTCGATCACTAAGTCAATTATATGAAAATCCAGTACAACAACGACTTGAAACACCGCGTGGTATACGTCGAATATCAAAATCACGACAAGCTGGTCCACCACATGTACTTAAATCAGTTCAATTAATACAACCAAATGATCTTACGGCAGAAACGCCTATTGATCCTTATACAGAACGTAATGATTCAAACCTTTCATTAGCTGTGGATCGAGAGAATCCTGTAAAACAAGGAATAATGAATAGTAACCGACGACCTTTACCACCGAATACACGCACTATTTTCCCAAATATTCGACAAAATCCAGAAATTGATGCTTATCGTCGTCCGGTTAATGTATTTGAACCAAGTCATACTTTACCAGCAAATAATCAACGTAATTTGTATACAAATGCTTCACAAAAAGTAGTACCTCGACCAAGAAGAGCTGGTTCACCAAGACGTCCTGTTGATGTTCCAAGAAGTCCACCGATAACAAATAGGCAAGCCGATGATAATATGACATTAACACGAGTGGTTAGTATAGAACCTGCTGACTAATATTTTCTTTAAAAGAAGAAAAAAACTTACTCGTTCAAATATATATTCCATTGTCATTTTTGTGTGATGTTAAAATAAATAAAATAAAAATTTTTGTTCATCCCTCGTCTTTTTTTTGTCCGTCTCTATATGACACAGGATTAAGTAGATGATGTCAATAGAACAATAGATATAGACTTTCATCAATAGAAATAGGTTAACAGTTTATTTGACTTAATGTAACAAAGCATCTCGTGATTTTTCTTTTTTTCTTTTCTTTTTTTTGATGCATACCGGCTATTTAGAGATAAACTAAAACATCGATGATACTTACTGTGCTGTGTTAAATTCTTTTTTTCTGTATTCAATAACTAATTTAACAACAAGATCAAATAAAGAATGTGACATCATTGATTGTTCTTATGTAGGTATGTATTTATTAATCTCTAATCATGATTCAAACGTGTCTTCCATTATCACTCTGTATTTTGTTCATTCTTCAATTCAGTTGAAATTTTATTTCATTGTCATTTTTTCTATAATAACTTTTATCAATGTATATGTCTTCAATGAATCAATCATAGTATTGACAAATGAATTCTGTTCGATATTAGAATTATAATTACTAACAAATCGAAAAGAAATATAAAAAGATTGAATTTAATATTTACCACATTGAATGGTGTATTGACATAGAAAAGAAAAAAAAAAAAAGAAGTAATTTCTATTGACAAACTTGTTCAATCCTGTGTCTATATTTATGCTCATTTTATAATACAAGCAGAAGAGAAAATATTTAATAGTGATCATATCGTTCAATTAGAATAATAGAGAGATATGCAAAAATCGATCAATTGATAGTAGTATCGCAATTATGTTAAATAAATATATTATTCATAGTTTTTTATTTTAGTGTTCGCTTTTGCTTTTGAAAATGTATTACATATTTATCGAGCCAATTTTGTTGATGACTTGTCTATGCAATTCAATGTGTCTGTCCAGCTCGAACAGGCACTGATTATGAAACATGTTTTTTACAAAAAAAAAAGGATTTCTATACAATGAAATACAATATTCATTTTGGTAATTCGTTAGAACATTATAAAAACTTTATTATTATAGTAATCATGAGTTGATTAAAATTAGACAATAGTAATTTTTATAAAAATAACAGAAGAGATAATTCGAATTATTTATTGAACCGTGAAAAACATGATATGAATCTCTAACAGTTATATAAATTACTAATCTAGGGACTTGAAAAATTGCATTACAATGAACACTTTCATCAATGAAATTGAAATACATCGGTTTTGATGTCCGTCTCATCATTGCAAATGCCTTTTTTTGTCGTTTCTTTGGTTATAAAATTCATGAAAGTTACGATACCTTTTTCATTCTTTAACTTCACGAAGCTTCTTGCTTAAAATATTAATTTTAATCGTTTATTAACACTACTCGAATTCAATAATAGTCATAGTGCTTAATACAATGAACATTTTCCTGAGCCTTCTATACAAATGTGAAATATCATTAAATTGAAGGTATATTCTATTTTTATGTATTGTCTAAATAAAAATTACAAAAGGCTTGCAGAATAAAGCTTGTTGGCTATTATTAATTGCAAGTTTAATCAATCTTTCTTGAGAATAAAAGTAAAATTGAGATCAAGTTGCCCGACAGGCATATAATTTCTTTCGATACGATCGAACTATCAGAGTGGACAATCTATTTCGTCACGAGACATGAATTCTGATTTTGATAATGGAAGTTTAAGCATAAAGATTATTTAATGAATATTTGACAAAAAATCTACTGCTATTATTCAAAGTTTGTTTGTACCAAGAAAATCCTCGCTGTTAATAGATGAAATCAAATTATATTTCGAATATTTTCACATTAGAAGTATAAACAACTCTTCAAATCCAATTAATTACTAAATGAAAAAAATTGTTTTGAAATCTTCAAAAATTACGAAAAAAGAACCATCACAGTATCATATATGAAAATTTTATAAAGTAAATTTATTCGTAATTAGTGTAAGTACCAATTGTTATTTGATACAAATAAACTGAATCAATCTGTATTCATTGCAAATGGATTTTTATGTTTTATGAATCTTGAATCTTGACATATTATTAGTAATATTGTTGCTAGACATCGTCAATTCTACCAATCAAAACACAGTAGAACAGTGCATTAATGTGTTGATTGAAATATCGTTTCATGTATGAAATGAGTTATTCAAATTAGAAAATATTTTGTTAATTTAAAATTTTTTTTCTTTATACTTGAATTTATCTCGAATTCAAGCAAAAATTAGATGGGCCCTCATCAATGAAAAATACAGCAAAAAAAACAAAATTTCTCTCGCTTCATCGCCAACCATATAACGTTCCATATTTTTCAATCTTGCACATCATTCTTTTGGAATCGTATTTAGGAAAAAGCTGCCGCCTTGTTAAAGCTATTTCAAAATTCCTTATTTATTTATTGATTTGTTTCGATTTTAGAAACCCGCTGAATCGGGCTAAAAATTTATATTATCTTATTTGAATATTTTAATTAAAAACATCTGACAATGGTAAGTCCTATTAAATTAGAAGTTCAAAAAAGATAATAAAATTCTTTTTTATAGGTTAACTTTACTGTTGACCAAATTCGTGGCTTGATGGACAAGAAAAAGAACATTCGTAATATGTCTGTCATTGCTCATGTCGATCATGGTAAATCAACATTGACTGATTCACTGGTATGCAAAGCTGGTATCATTGCACAACAAAAGGCTGGTGAAATGCGTTTTACAGATACACGAAAAGATGAACAAGAACGATGTATTACAATTAAATCAACGTAGGATTAAGTCTTTTTTTTTCGAAGAAGTCTTTGTTATATAAATTGAAATTGTTTTATTTATATTTAGAGCTATTTCACTTTATTATGAATTACCTGCTAAAGACATAGAATTTATTAAACAAGAACGTGAACCTAATGTATCTCACTTTTTAATTAATCTTATTGATTCACCAGGCCACGTTGATTTTTCATCGGAAGTTACCGCTGCTTTACGTGTTACTGACGGTGCTCTTGTTGTTGTTGATTGTGTTTCAGGTAAACATTATTCATTTGATTTTTAAAATATTATTTTTTTTGATCAAAAAGAATTCTGTGTTTTTTTAAATTAAGGTGTTTGTGTACAGACTGAAACTGTTCTTCGTCAAGCTATTGCTGAACGTATTAAACCAATCTTATTTATGAATAAGATGGATCGGGCTTTACTTGAATTACAACTTCAACAAGAAGATCTTTTCCAAACATTTCAACGTATTGTTGAAAATGTCAATGTCATCATTGCTACTTATGGTGATGATAGTGGTCCAATGGGCGATTTACAAGTAAGTCAAAAAAAAAAAAAAAAAAAACAAACCACCTTAGCCTTAGCGGAAAATGAAAAATTTCATAGACCAATAAAATGTATTTTGTTATTTTTTCTGGATAAAGTATTTTAACTAGAATTGTCAGACAGAGTCTGTTGGACTGGTTCCGAGACTAAATATTTTGGATGCGATGGGCTCAATGACCAGGCTAGGATTGGCTCGTATGTTTTACATATCAAATGTTGATGCATTACCTTATTATTTGAGAGTACTGTGACTGATAGAAGAACTTGTTTACGTACAAAAGAATTGCATAGGGAATCTTGCATTCGTGCTGTTGAAAAAATTGATATTCAGATGTAAATGTCCTTGCCCGTTATTATAAGTATTACTTATTCACTAGATTTAATTTTACCTCTTCGTTGTATGCCTGATCATATAATGTTTGCACAATAATGATTAGATTTTTTGATTATACAAAATAGTACTGATATAATGAAAAAATGTCTCATTAATTCAAGCCTTTCTTGTATGAAACATGATCATTTTTCAGAGAAGCATAAGGCGATGGAACTCATCAAAAATTCTGACAAAAAAAAATGAATCAAACTTCAAACTATCTATTCATGCATTTATGTCAATTTCGATTTGTCAGACGGAAATTAACTTTTTTGAAATGAGACACACTTAAGTGAACAACTGAAACTAGAATGATACATTGCAGAGTAATAAAATTCCATTATACGAGAAATTAGAAATATCAATTGTCAGCTCTGATTTGGCGAAAATTAAAAAAAAATTTCTTTAATGAATATTGCAAACGATATGTATCGGTTGGTTACTATTAATTTTAATAAAAATGATTATTATAGGTTGATCCAACAAAAGGTACAGTTGGTTTTGGTGCTGGTCTTCATGGTTGGGCATTTACATTAAAAGAATTTGCTGAAATGTATGCATCAAAATTTAAAATTGAAGTCGATAAATTAATGAAACGATTATGGGGTGATAATTTCTTTTCACCAGCCGAAAAGAAATGGTCCAAAACTGGTGGAGAAGGTAAAGTAATTTAAATTATTTTTAACAAAAAAAACTAAACTATACATTGAATAATATTAAGGTTATGTTCGTGGTTTTTGTCAATTTGTTCTTGATCCAATATTCAAAATTTTCAGAGCTATCATGGATTGTCGAAAAGAGGAATATACACAACTACTTGAAAAATTAAATATTAAATTACAAGGTGAAGATCGTGACAAATTAGAAGAAGGTGGTAAACCACTTTTAAAACTTGTTATGAAACAATGGTTACCAGCTGGTGATGTTCTTCTTACCATGATTGCTATTCATTTACCATCACCTGTTGTTGCACAAAAATATCGTGCTGAACTTCTTTATGAAGGTATGTTTATATACACACACAATTAAAACAAAATAAATTAAACTATTTCTTAAAATGAATATATATATATGTTTAGGTCCACAAGATGATGAAGCATTTTTGGGTATTAAAGGATGTGATTCAAATGCTCCATTGATGATGTATATTTCTAAAATGGTACCGACATCGGATAAAGGTCGTTTCTATGCTTTTGGTCGTGTCTTTTCGGGTGTTGTTCAAACAGGTCAAAAAGCACGTATTATGGGTCCTAATTATGTACCAGGCAAAAAAGAAGATCTTTATGTTAAAAGTATTCAACGGTATGTAAAATTTCATTGTTTTTCTATATGAAAATATGATGATAACAGGATTCCCCATCCGAATTTTTCATTTGATGGAATATATCTCATATCTGATTTTCACTATATTTATTTTCTTAATGTAGAAAAAGAAAATATTTAAAATGATTTATTTATTTATTTATTCTGTTTATCAATTTAGAACAATTCTTATGATGGGTCGTTATACTGAACCAATTGAAGATGTACCATGTGGTAATATTTGTGGTCTTGTTGGTGTTGATCAATATTTAGTTAAAACGGGTACAATAACAACATTTGAAAATGCACACAATCTTCGTGTAAGTAGTTTTATTAGACTTTAATTAGGTTTTTTTAAAATACAAAACGGAATATTTTCATTTTTCATTTTGATTCTTGACAAGATTTATTTTTCTGAATAAGTACTATTATAGTATCGACATACGTAAAAATGTTGGCTATTAATTAAAACTAGTTAATTAACGAATATCTCTTTAATCATATGAGAACAAAACAAAAAAACTCGAAAAATTTCAGGATAGACTCTACGAAATGATTTACATCTATGATGAAACTTAAAATAAGATCAGACTTCAAACAAAATAACCGATGTTCTGAACATCCTGCTAAGTCTCGAAACAAAAAAGCTTTTGTCTTATCATCATAGGCAGGAGGAAAGATTTGTATCTTTTGAGATTCATTTTAAATTTCGTATTCAGTTACTAGATCATTGTTTTTACTATTTGTATATTCGAACTTAATTACGTTAGTAACGAATGATTTTTACATTTATCTATTNTATTTTAAGTTTCATCATAGATGTAAATCATTTCGTAGAGTCTATCCTGAAATTTTTCGAGTTTTTTTGTTTTGTTCTCATATGATTAAAGAGATATTCGTTAATTAACTAGTTTTAATTAATAGCCAACATTTTTACGTATGTCGATACTATAATAGTACTTATTCAGAAAAATAAATCTTGTCAAGAATCAAAACAAAAAAACTCGAAAAATTTCAGGATAGACTCTACGAAATGATTTACATCTATGATGAAACTTAAAATAAGATCAGACTTCAAACAAAATAACCGATGTTCTGAACATCTTGCCAAGTCTCGAAACAAAAAAGCTTTTGTCTTATCATCATAGACAGGAGGAAAGATTTGTATCTTTTGAGATTCATTTTAAATTTCGTATTCCGTTACTAGATCATTGTTTTTACTATTTGTATATTCGAACTTAATTACGTTAGTAACGAATGATTTTTACATTTATCTATTTTGTAAATATTTTAGGTTATGAAATTTAGTGTCAGTCCTGTCGTACGTGTTGCAGTTGAACCAAAAAATCCAGCTGATTTACCAAAATTAGTCGAAGGTTTGAAACGTTTAGCTAAATCCGATCCTATGGTTCAAGTAAGATTTATTTTTATGATTCAATTATCTATTGAATTATTTTCTTATTTTAAGTGTATCATCGAAGAATCTGGTGAACATATTGTTGCAGGTGCTGGTGAATTACATTTAGAAATTTGTTTGAAAGATCTTGAAGAAGACCATGCTTGTATTCCAATAAAAGTTTCTGATCCAGTCGTATCATACCGTGAAACCGTATCTGAAGAATCCGATATCATGTGTCTATCGAAATCACCTAATAAACATAATCGTATCTTCTTAAAAGCTCGACCAATGCCTGATGGTAAGAAAAAAGAAATATTTTTTTTTTTTGATTATTTGATTTTAAAAAAATTGTTTGTTTTTTTAGGTTTACCAGAAGATATTGATAAAGGTGAGGTAACACCACGTCAAGAATTTAAAGCACGTGCACGTTATTTAAATGAAAAATATGATTATGATGTAAATGAAGCACGCAAAATTTGGTGTTTTGGACCTGAAGGCACAGGACCAAATCTTTTAATGGATTGCACTAAAGGTGTACAATATTTAAATGAAATAAAAGATAGTTGTGTGGCTGGTTTTCAATGGGCTACTAAAGAAGGTGTACTTGCTGAAGAAAATGTACGTGGTGTTCGTTTTGATATTCATGATGTTACATTACATGCTGATGCTATTCATCGTGGTGGTGGTCAAATTATTCCAACAGCTCGTCGTGTACTTTATGCATCAATGCTTACAGCTAAACCAAGACTTTATGAGCCAGTTTATTTATGTGAAGTACAAGTATGTTAAGCAAAAAAAACAAAAGAATAATTTTTTATTTTTGATAAAATAATAATTATATTTTAGTGTCCGGAAGTTGCTGTTGGTGGTATTTATGGTGTATTAAATCGTCGTCGTGGTCATGTTTTTGAAGAACATCATGTAATTGGAACACCAATGTTTGTTGTTAAAGCTTATTTACCAGTCAATGAATCATTTGGTAAGAAGAAAAGAAATTTTATTATTTTTTATTCGTAGTTTTTTTTTAGGTTTTACTGCTGATCTTCGTTCAAATACAGGTGGTCAAGCATTTCCACAATGCGTATTTGATCATTGGCAAGTCATGAATCAAGATCCATTTGATCCTACTAGTAAAATTCGACAAATTATTAATGATATTCGAAAACGTAAAGGATTAAAAGAAGGTATTCCACCATTGGATGATTATTATGATAAATTATAAACGAAATTCTATTCATTATTTGTTATCTATTCACGAACAGACATATATTTTAACATATCTCTCTCTCTCTCTCTCTCTCTTTTTTCTTGTTTCTAGAAAAAAAAAGAAGGTGGATAAGAGCTATATATGTTGGTTGTTTTTTTATAAATATATAACAGATTGTTTGTTTCTGTTCGTGTATATTTGCAGGTTTTTTTTTAATTATTATTCAAGCATTTTCTGATTTGGTATGGCACAAGTATAGATAATTGAAATTTTATTGTTGGTTATTCAACTAATTTTTTGAGTTGAAAAGAAAATTAAATGATGGGTGACAATTATATTATAGTATAGTCTCACTAATGCAGGTATCATAGGAACCAACTGAACGTGTTCATTTTATGAAGGTTTTTGGATTCTTCTTTTTTTTTGGCTGCATAAAATAATTGATATTTTTCTTCTTTGCAACAATTAATTAAATGAACTTGTTTAATCAACTCGTACTGATATGATTATTCTAGGCATCAAAATATGATGCATTTTGATATTTTTTGAATATATCGAAAAAAAAATAGATAAAAATTTGCAGTTTTCATCATTTCAAAGAGAAATACAGAGGAAGAAAAACTAAGTTGAATTATATGGACTATGCATTGGTCAAGTTGGTAAGTGTTTGCTGTAGATTTTCACCAAAAGTTCTTTCGAAAAACTTTCTCAATTAGTAGCAAGTTTCAATTTAGAGAATCGATAGAAAAAATATTTCTATGTCGATCTACATCAGGCCAATCCTTCCAGCTTAGTTCATTCAGGATTTATAAATGTTTTACTGGACGACTTGAAACTGGTTAACTGACTAATGGTTACTCTAAATTATATTGAATTCGTTGTATTCGTCAATACTAAGTCTATCTAATGTTCAAAATTTTGTATTCACTGCATTACAAAAATCATGATCTAGCAACTTATGATTATATTGGAACTAAAAAAAATACCATTGTAGATGAATATACGAAACTCAATATGGTTTCAAGTGAACATTGATCAGCTAGTTAATATCGAGGTTTCCAGTAAAACTCTTACAATTCTTGAATAGAATAAAGTAGAAGAATTGGCCTTGTGTAAATCGACAGAGAAATGTTTTTGCTATCGATTCTCTAAATTGGAACTTATTGTTAGTTGAGAAAGTGTTTTTGAAAAACCTTCTAGTAAAAACAAGAATATCTATTAGCACAAAAGTAATGAGATGTTACACCAAACACTATTGCACTTGTCTAATATTGATTTATTAATCTATCGACATTTTCCTATGTGTTCTAGCATTATTTATGATAACACAATATACATAACGTCATTTTTTTCTCATTAAACACGTGTTACGATAGAACATAATATTCTCACATTACAGAGGTTGCTATTGATCATGGGATCATAAATAAGTAGCCACTGTTTAGACCAGGAGATACTTGTTATGGAGCAATATTCCCAGAGAGAGATTTTACTTTAATTTTATTAGTGTTTAATATTCTAATTGTAAGAAGAATAATGACTCTAGCTTGTACATTTATATATGATACAATTTGTTTTATTTGTTCAGCATGTGATGATACGAAAAGTATTTCAATTACTTTTTTTCATATTTTTCTTTACAAAACGGAGATAAAAAGGAACGATATCAGTAAACTTTGCATCGTCTTGTTTTTATCATTATTATCTTCATTTAAAGAGTAGAATGAATAATAAAAACATTGTTTTTCTTGTGTATGTGCTGTTCAGTAAGAATTTTATTTGCTTGTTATTTATATAAAATAAAATAATTTAGCTTCTATAGAATACTATTCTCACGTTCTATGTTATTCAGTCACATGTAATTTTGAAGTGAGTGAATGTGGATGGGAATTAGGTTCAATATGGCAAATTTTTCCGTCAGGCAGTACACCTGAGACAGCAAGTTCTGGTCCAACTGCTGATCATACTACTGGAAGTAAGTTATTCTTAATTGTCTATCGTAACTATTAAGTTGTATTTGAGATGGACAATATGCTCGTTTAATGGCTAGTCTTCTGTCTGCATCTGATCCAATTGGTATTATGAGTACGAATACTTGTCTTGAACAATCTGCTTCATTTTCATTTTGGTATTTCATGCATGGAAGTCAAATTGGAACATTAGCATTAATTGTTAATGATCAAACATTATGGGAAAAGAGTGGCCGACAAGGACTACCAGCATGGCATCAAGCTGATATTGCTTTACCTGTTGGTGTTTATCTTAATGTACACATTCGTTTTTGTTATTGAATATGACTTTTATTGAATGAAATATGTTTGAATAGATCACATTTGCCGCTAATCGAACAGGCACTGGTCGATCATCTGATATTGCAATTGATGATATTGTTTTGGAAGGAGAATCAAGTAAGAATTGATTTCTTATTGAAAGTTCTTTACCATTGAGTATTNTAATTTGTTTGTTATAGAGCATTGACTTCTTCTTCAGAAAAAGTAGGTAACTAAAAAGAAAGTGCAGTTTTTCACTTGAAAACTAATTCCAAAAATGAAAATACATAGATTCTTGATTAGCTCGTCACACTCTATCTAACAATATATAAGAAAAAGAAAATTTCTTTTTTTCATTTCCAAAAACTTATATGTTCTCTTTTTAATAAAAATTTTTCAAAATTTCACTCAAAATTGATAGTTTTCAACATTACTTCTGAACTTCTCTCGTAAGAATAAAAGTTTGAATGTTTCTTCAATCACCAGACTCAGTATAATATTATCTAAATTTTTAAAGAAAAAGTAATTTAAATTTTTCAAAATATTGGAAGATAATATTTGATTTTCAACAAATTTATAGAGTGGAAGTTACTATCAAAAAAAGACAAGGTGAAATATCTATTGTTAGAAAATTCTCTTTCATTTATTTTCTTGATTTTACTTATTGATGTATTCTATAATTTATTTAATGATGATGCTAGGATGTTCTATGAAATGAGTTAAGTTTATCTATTCTTTATAAATTATTACTCAAAAAGATAATTATTTAAATAATAGACTCTTCACATCATCTATTCATTTAGAAATATAATTAACTCCATTATGTTTTTTTTAATAACTCCGGAAAGCAAAGAACTAAAGACTTGTAATTTTCACTATCCGGAAGATTAACACAGGTGACATAAGTCTATGTAAAATTCAATCTGTTTAACAGGGTAAATGTTTGTCATTTCATAATAAACCTATTTAAAGCCACTAAAATAAACTTTAAAATATCAAAACTTGTAATATCATTTTTCTTTATACCGAACAACCTCAACATATTATCTTGTTCAGTTCCACCAATACAAAGACACAATCTACTGTTTATCTAACATTTGGATCAGTGGTCTTCTGAGGTTGAACGTCAAAAAAGAAAATTTTAACTACGATTTTTAGTCAACTTTCAAGACACAGGTGCTGGTAGTAGAACCAGGAGAGGCTCAGTACCCATCAGAAACTTTGAATTTCCTCTAGAAATGAGACGATTCTATATGATAGACGAAGAAAATACTTGCTCTTCAACTTCAAACTTTATGAACTGATTCATCAATGTTAAGATACGCTCACATTCACCATTTTAATCTTTCGAATGATGAAAACTGGCGACCTCTAGTCACTTAAGTTCTGGAGTTATTGAAAAAACTAATGGAATGTATATTTACAAAACGTGAGCAGATATCCTTCAGAAATAAATCGAAAATAGTAATCGGCCTGTTGTTCAGATCAAATAAGCAAAAGAGATTATCTTATAAGAACTGATCTGTCCAAGAAATTATATTCTATTTAGAGAGTGACATAACAATAGTTTCTTATACCCGAAAGTGTCATACTCAAAAACGGAACAAATACTTCTAATATCTAGAAGTGAATCTCATCAAATAAGTGTCGCATTTCTAAAAAACTTATTCATCAACCAGTGACATCTATATTTTATACATCTTTTACATTTTTTAAAATGAATTTTATTTTTATTTTAATTTTAATCACTTAAAATAAAAAATACTTTATAAAATAAAAGTCAAGAAACAAAAAAAAATTTTTATCAAAAAAATAAATTCTTCCAAGGAGGACTAATTTATATATGGCCGAAAAAAACTTCTGGCTATAGTTGTTTATCGTTGAATATCAATAATTTATCCAAAAACAATTAGCTATTCATTAAAGCATTCCCAATTTTACATATATTCTCTAATCTATTCCCCTAAAAAAACCAATTAAAATAAAACAAAAAGAACAAAACTAAAGTCCTAAATTTGACACCCAAATTTTTTTTTCGCTTTCCCTAAAATCATACAACGATATTTTCCGATGATGGAAAACTTTTTTTTTCATGTTGAACATATTTTTGTAATGATTCACATGTGATGTAATGAGTCTGATGGAAATAATCGTTGTAAAATAATTAATATAAACGTAAATTTTTTTCTCTCCTTCAAATTAAAATTCAGATTATTTTTATGAAGAATCATTAATAAAAACAAAAAAGAAGAAGAATTATGGTTCATTTTTCTCAATCACTTATGCCTGATGTTCCATTAGCAACATCATTACCAACAACATTTACATTTCAACCGAATAATAATAATCAAATGGATGATCAATCAACATTACAACAACAATCTATTGCATCATCATCACAATCTCAACTAAATTCATCAAATCAACAACAACGATCATCTTCAAATGATGAATCAAATAATAATAATCAAACACATCCAAATGACTATGAAACACGTTTACGGTAAAAAGCAAAAAAAGAAACGAAGAAGTCCTTCAAAATCAAATTCATTTTTTATTTCTTTAGATGTCCTAATTGTGATACATGGGTTGTTAATTTAAGTGATCATTTACGTAAAACTCATCGTATAGCATCACCTGTTGATCGAAAACCATTATTACGTATGGCACGTTTAGAAAAACGTCGTATGACTGAATCAGCAAATAATACATCATCATCATCATCATCAACAACAACAAATCGTCGAACATCATCAACACTTATTGTTAATGGTTTACAAACATCACATACAAATACAAATAATGAAATTGAAAATTTACTTTTTAAACATGAACAAGATTCTAATCAACAATTTTCTGTTACATTACCAGAAAATATTTTACTTAATCATCAAATAACAAATTCTATAGCTCATTTTACATCACCAACATCAAATAAACGTGTACGTCCATCAGATGATCATTCAGGACAAACAATTAATGGACCATTATCACCAAATAAAAAAAATCGTTTAGATATTATTGATACAACGAAATTAGTACAAACAAGCCATTCATCATCGAGTAAATCAAGTAAAAAAAATCGAAATAAACAACAACAACAACAACAACAGCAGCAACAACAACAACAGCAACAATCACAACCGCAAACAATTATTAAAACAGCAGCATCAGGGTTATTTCCGCAACAAGCTGTTGCAATGCAACATATGGAGGAAAGTTCAGACGATGTAAGTCAACCGAAACAAATCAAAGTTGACATTGAAATTTATCGTTTACGAAAAGTCTTACGAGGAAGTATGTCCAACTGTCGGATATCCTTCCATTTCATCTGATGTCAACAATAAGCTCTTGATGACATTAAGAAAGGTTTTAAATGATTCGAAACCATGGTTCACTGATGAAGTGCTATGACTATTTTAGTTAACTTTTTACTGGAACAAATGTATTTCTAAAAAACAAAACCATAACAAAGAGATTTTGTCTGTAGGAAGATTTCATAGGTCGACAAGTTGCCAGGAAAACGAACATGTCTTTATCGAGATATTCAGTTTCCAAGTAGACTCGATTACTGTGTTCTCTAATGGTAAACCGCTGGTTTTTGGAAATAGAATATCTCAAGAACGACTATTTAGTTTTCGTTGAAATTTTCATAACTATCAAGTTTGCATGCAGACAGAAACTAATTGTTTTAATTTTTTCAGAAATATCCTTCTCTGAAGGAAAAATTCTTCTGAAATGACTCAACATTCTTTATCTGTAGGTTATAAGTCCGAATCCTTTTAAACTTTTCTTAATCGAATGGCGTTTGACAATTAGATAGTTTCGTGTTGAATCGATTAATAAATACAAAAACAGCTGTTTTTCGTTGCATAGTATTTGAAGGATAAAAAATAGTCAAGGTGATCATAGGGAGTAAAGCTGATGTCAAGGCAAACTTTACAAGGTGATCTATTTGTTTCACTAGAAAGCCTGATCAAGTGGTAAGTTACTTGTATGATGAATCTTATCTTCTTAAGTTAGCTCTCTTGAGATGACAAAAAATCTACAAACATTCGTGATCATAGGTTTCTCGTCTTAAGTTATGACAATTCCTATGAGTTTTTCAATAAAATGTCATGTTCTACCTTAAATTATTTTCGAAATTAACTTTCGAAGTCAAATTTTGTTTGAATAAAGATCTTAATGAAACTAATGTATTGCAGAAGTATTAAGCTTTCTATTCTTAGATAACATTTTTAAAAATTCTATTATGAAGAAAAAGTAATGTTTAGTCATATAATTACGTTTCACGAAAGGAGATATTAGAAACTCGTAGAATTTCGAAATGAACTAGTTCTATTGAAATTTTTTTAGCTAAAAACTTTGAACTCGAAAGTCGATTTTCTTTAAACAAAATAAAAACCACGCAAATGACCAAAACTAAAGAAGAAAATATTATAAATACAAATCCTTCTCGATTTTATTTAGTTTCAATAGAGCCTATTTCATGTTCCAGATTTTCTATAGGTCGATCTGACAATAAACTGTTCCAGCTTCTATAGAAGCTGGTCTAATGGCAGACCAATTCGAATTTTATAGAGATCGATCTAACAGTAGACTGGTCAGGATTTAATATCGACGAGCTGGATCTGATTTGATCATATTAGATCAATACCGATTGTTGAAAATCCAGACTATGTTTCAAGCAAAATACCGGTTTTTCATTTAGAATATCAATCTGAGACGTGAATTCTAACCCTTTTAGTTTTATATCTTGTTAAACTATAGGACATTCTATTGTAAATGAGTCTTTTGAAAACTAAAATTGAATTTTCTAGCTTTCAAAAGTTCTACAAATGATGGGCAATGAAATGAATTTTCTTAATCAGCACTTACAAACAACATCAATTCTATTACAAAAACAACTTGATTTAGCTCGTGATAGTTTGCATGCATGTTCCGTTCAATTTGCTCGTATGTTTTCATTAAAAAAAAAATTTCTTTTATTTTAAAAGAATTTTATTATTATTTAGATTTAAAAAGAATGATTCAACAACAAATTTAACTTTTTTTTTTTCTGTATGTTTTGTCTTTTATTTTGAAAAGAAATATGAAATTCAACTATACTTTGCACATTATATATGTATTAATAAATTTTTCCTCCTTTTCGTTGTTGTTGTGGTTCCGTTTTTCTTATATTTTGATTACGATGTGAAAAAGAAAAAAAATTTATGTGTATGTGTCTATTTGTTCATTCATTTAGTTTTTCTTTTGTTTTATATATATTTGCATGTGTAGATAGATTGGAGATTATTGAAACAAAAAAAACAGAATTGTCGACATATTTGTTTTCTTTTTTTCGCGTTTAACTCTTCTATAAAGTTTTTGTTTGGTATTTTTTTCCCAGTATCCTTCATTTTTTTTTTTCGATTGACAAACTACGACCATTACTTTTTTTGGATTTTTCTTTTCTTTTGGTTTAACTGTGTGTATTGCAGTCATTGTTTCTTGATATCTATATATATATAAATATGTATATCTAAACATGAAATAAATTTGTTTAGTTTACACAAAAAAAAATGACTTCATCAATGTTAAGAGAAAAAGTATAAAGGAAAAAAAAACAGGGAAAGAACGAGGTAAGACATGTGAGAAAATCCATATATCGATATTTTAGATGGAAGTTGATGGTGAAGTTGAAGTAGAAGCTGATTTACCAACTTCATCATCTTCAACAGTTCTAACAACTACGACAACTACAAATGGCAGCAATCCATCTATACCAGTTCGTGTTATTTTACCGACTTCATGTGAGTGCCTCTTTTCCGTTTTCAAGCGGATTAGTTGGCCATTGTAGAAATCATAACGATTGAATTTTTTTGAGAAGAATTTTTTCTTTATCTAAAAGAATAGTTCAGCAAATTTTTTCATTCGAAATTTCAAACATAAATTCATATCAAACAGGAAAATAAATAAAGAATAAAGTCTTAGTTGATGTTATCTTCATTTTGAATCAATCTGTATTTATCTTAGATATATCCTTCTTTTAATATGAAAAAAGTAATGGAATGATATGAATATACATATAGTGCGATAAGCTATTTTTTTTGTTGATCTGTTATTATTATTATAGTCGTAGGATTGAATAACAAAAATGTACAAGATAGCTATTCGACATTTTAGAAATATTTTTAGTAATGGAAATTTGTACTCGATATGCGATTACGATTGAATTGATAACGAGTCACTTTAGAGACTCGTTCAATTAGCATTATATGTCAACTATGAAATTGTATCATAAATAGTACTCTATTAGACGAGCTATTACATGCTCTATAAAAAGAAATCTTTAAGAAATGAATAGAATTCTTCAGCAGTGATGGTAAAGTTATAGAAAATTAATCTATTGAGATAGATTTATTTTGCTCTTTAGATATAAAGCCCATACGCATATGAGCAGAGATTATATCATTAGTCGTCTTCTCAACCATCCTAAGCCAATAGAAAATAGTATGGAACACGGAGAGAGTCAAAACAAATTAAAGATTAGCTAGCTTGCCATGTTGCTAAAACGATTTGTACTATTTTTAGACCAATGTTCGTGTTAATGGTTGGAGTTTAGAGTAGCAATTTTTATGGTAAAGGTCAGAGAAGTTTTTCAGACAGGATACAGAATATCAAAAAAGCTTATTCTGTACATCTTTATTTTAGACTAGAATGATCTGCTTGTAGATTTGTCCATGCAATAGAAGATTTTTCTTTAATTAATTCATTTCTCAAAAAGTTAGAACTTTAATTAGGATATTTAAATTAAAGTATGCCTAGTTTTTGAGAATTTTCGAGCTGAGTATCTCAAAAGACTGACTAATATTATTTCTGATCTTCTACAACTCTAGAAATCATTTCTTAAACCTGCAAAATCGAATGATCACAATAGAAATTCGTCTTCAAATTTTGTTTGCTTGAACATAATAGACGATTTAGAGCCTTCGATTGTGAGAACCAGCTTTACTATACCTTGAAGTTGTACAAATGTCCTTATATAATCGTCATCCTATTTCTGATTATTTAGTCAAAACAGAGACAGTTTTGTGAAACATGATCTAACAAGAATGTTGCAGTATAGAAGTAAAAATATGGCACTATTCGCATCATAGATCCATATCTCACTATAATATATGTGCTACTTCCTTGTTGTATTTCTGAAGAAGGATGATGAAGAAATGTATTCCAAAAACAGATAAATTAAAACAACAGCTACATCGTATTTCACATTCTAATTCTATATGAATTATGCAAACAGTTTTTTCTTTTTCTTCAAACGTGATCCGAAAATATGGCAAATAATTCTTCGGAAAGAAAAAACTTAAAATTAGATCTCTCTTAATACTAAGAAAGAAAATCTATTGATAATAAATAATGAAATATATCATCTTTATTGTTTTCTTTTTTTGTCTTTTGAAGATCAATTCATTATAAGCCCAGAAGATGTCAATCGTTTATTGGAAATGCGACGTATATTTTATCAAAAAGAAAATGAACGAAAATTATCTAAATTAGGTCTTCCAATATTAGTTGATAATGAGGGACGATTATCAACAACAATATCAACAAATGATGATAATACAAATTCTAATACAGTTTCATCATCAACAGGAAAACCTATTCGACGTCGTGATATGGAATGGTTATCAATAGTATTACCATTTGTTAAAAATTATAATCCACATTGTGGTATATGTGCATCAAGTAAAAATTATGGTCGACGTTTAGATACAGCAAATAGTTATTTATTACGTTCATATTTTTATTGTCAAGGTCGTGATTGTCCATTTAATTGTATAGTTACAATAAAAGAAAATGGTAAAGCATTATTATGTTCACGTTTTTCTAATGGAAATATAGTTGATCATAGAAATGCTAAACGTGTTGCAAGACCAAATCGTTCATTAAATAAATCAAATACAAATAATAATAATAATAATAATAATAATAATAATAATAATGAAATACGTTCAAATAATTCAACAAAACGTTACCATAAATCACCAAATCCAATTTTACAACAATGGAATCAAACATTTACAGATGACTTAACAGCAAATTTTAATACAAGTGATATAAATTTAACTGATACGGACTTTGAAGAAACATTACGTTTATCATCAACGAAACGTTTTATTAATATGTGTTGTAATCTTGTTCAATTAACAACAAATTTACGTCATGAAATTGATCCAACTGGTTTATTACCAGGTGCATTACAAAATGTTTCATTAAATCCATTTCATATTGCTGTTCATACGGAAAATTCAGTACGTTATTATCATTCAATGTTAACAAAAAAATCACTTGATAAACCACCTCCACTTATACATATCAAACCAGCAACGACTATTCAACAAAATAATACAATTAGTACAGCTAGTCAAAGTAAATTTTGTATTAGAATGAAGATTGTTTAAATATTTAGGTGACAGTCAAAAATGCATATCGATGAGAGTCTTCAAAAATTGATCGTAGTTAGAAAATAAAATCTTTAGTACACTGCTACAGCTTAATTTTAGATACTTCAAATCGTTGTTGTCATAAAGGACTCGAAGTTTGATGATGACGGCCTCCTTCCACAGCACCTTTCTTCTAAATTCACTACTGGTGTGCAAGGCTCATTTCACCCAACATACCCATACCTGTCTTACTGAATTTCCGATTCTGTTTTAGGCATTTATCGAAATTCAAATAACGAAATTTCGACCTGAAATTTTGTCCATAGATAGGTCTGATAACTCTGGAAATATTCTCAAAATTTCAGACGGAAAGGAATGTTTCTTTTTCAAGATATTGAATATAAAAAAAATGGTCGTTTGCCACAAAAATCGAGTTTTGCTTGAAATTTCAATATCTCCACACAGAAGCATTCATTTTGACTGAAACTTTCAGGTAGAAACTCCGCTATTTGATTCTTCAGTAAATACTCTAAAGCTGAATCGAAAGCTCAGTAAAATGGTCATAACTGGGCTTCAGAGGTTTGTGAGCGTAAACCTTTTAAGATTCTTCTAGTCTTATTGAGAACTTCTTGTGAACCTAATATGAGCTCAAACAACAGATATCACAGTTTGGGCAGTTGCTTCGTAAGTGCTAGTGACACTTATCTGTTGAACACATTTCTTAAAAAAAAAACGATAATAAAGCAAGGACATTTTTTTTCCGTAAAAAACAGAAGGGACAAGAAAGAATTACGTTTCTTGTAGTCCCAGTTATAGTTTCCAAACGGAAAAACAAATTGTTTTCTAGTCAACTCGATGTGCTCCACAATCTAGATAGATCAAAAAAGTTTTTCGTTAGGAAAAATTGATTTTCAAGGAAAATGAGTCTTTAAAGCCCTAGCTACCGGTCTTGTATTAATATTCGAAATTTGCATCCTCGAGATTACACAGTTACGGACTTTCGATCGTAAGGATCTGTTAATAAGCAATGGAAGAGTTACCGCTACTACTTGTGAAGGAAGTATTATGTAGCAAGTCTGAGAAGGGGTCAGCCGGTTCAAACTTTATTTCTTCTTCAAGTAATATTTTCCGTATCAGAAAACAAAAAAAAAATCTTATTATAGTTTTTCAAATTTAAAGATAGATTTCATTTAATATTAGTCTTTCTTCATCAATATAAGAAAAAGTCAGTTTTAATCGACTAAAAAGACTACGATCAATTCAATCTATCTTTGAAAGTGAAAAATTGGATTTCAAAGGGAGAAAATAACAATTAGGAAACTTTCTTATGCGAATCCTTTCGAAGCTTCATTTAGCCAATAAATTACAGCAGAGCATTATTTCGGTTCAATGACATTTCTCATTCATATACAAGACCAAGTGCACTATCAATTACAATAAGTGTCATGAAGGTTACTCGCGTGAAAGGGTGTCAACTGTATACTAAAATTAATATTAAAACTAAAAATAGTAACTAATCTGACTCTTTGACATTGATCCGCGGGTATTTTACTCGCGGAAGCTTTTTGTTAATAAATGTTAGTTTTCAAGAGATTCGAACTCTTAAAAAAGTGGTCTTCTCTTTTGGTTCAATAAACAATTCAACTTGTGATTACTATGATAATAAAATTTTTGCAAGTTTTTTTATTTATGATTGCAGTGATTGTACAGCTTCATCGTGTAGAAATTCTTTTCATAAAAGTGTCATTCGGAGCTGCATTAGATCGGGTAAACTGAGTAATTCTTGACCAAATTTCGAAGTGTTTAATGTAGAAAAAATAAGTAGCATTCAAACTACTTGATTTCAATTAAAAATTGACTGATATTTCATGTTTAAAGAATAAGACGAAAATGGTATTTGAAAAATAAAGTGAAAGTACGGTTAATGAAGAATGTTAGAAAAAACTGATTATTCGAATTTATTATTAACTGTTCAAAAACTAGGACAAGGTTTACTTAAAGATGCGTAGTGTTGATGTTAACAGTGAAACAATGGTATTGATAGACACTGAAAATACCGATGCATTAACATCAAGGCATCGATTCTATCAAAGTACTTGTACTTTGTACGTTTACTTTTAATAATCGACAATAATTAGTGAAATGAGTAGTACATCCATACTTCAAGGGAAATACCGAAATTGGACAATCTATTATTTTGAATAATGATAAAAATTTCAGAGAAATGCGTTATTTGTAGTTCTAGTCGGTCGTAACTTTTTACCATTCACTACAGTTTCAAAAGTACCGTTAATAAAGTAAGCTTATAAATAGAATATTAATCTCTCTAATATTTCAATGATGAGATCAGATGTTCTGCTCTTGATGCAAGATGGTTTTGGTTACTCTAGTGATCATGCGAATCGAACAATATGAGGAATCCTGATTTGTTTTTTCTCTCGTAACAGTAGTAAATAGACAAAAGTAGCTTTTTTTCCATAGTCCTGTGGTAATAGAAAAAAGAAGGAGTAAATACATAAAATCTAAGTTTGAAATGTGTGTATTTATGACATGTATTGCCTAATAATCATATATTTTTCTTTGAGACATTGTATAACTAATGAACACATTCTATTCGTATTAAATATTATTGCAATGTCTCATGTGATAAAGTTTACATAGTATACATTAACTCTACTCGCGATTGTCTTTTGTCTATTCAACAATGACAATACAGTCTGTTGTTCGTAATTCATCATGTTATTATGAAACTTTTGAAACTTTTATTAATTATTAGTAGACTTCTTCAACAATCTATATCACATAATAAAGCCCAAAGATGAATACTATCTGAAAGTAGACAATATTTTGTTAGATACATAACATGATGAGATGCATTCTTAAAATAAAAAGGAACTTACGTTCATAAGATATCTATGAATTTTTCTTCAAAACAATTAACAATGATATTTTGAAGAATATGAAGCAAAATAATAAATATCCTTGAAAGAATTTCCTTTAGACAATATCATAGTACTCTATAGATGAATTCTAGTCAGTTAGCACATTCCAATGATTTCAGAAAACCAGCTACTGACGATAACCAATCACGTTTTGGACGGTGTGGAGTAATTACTGAAGAAAATGTCAATGAAGTTAATAACAGTTTTGAAAATCAGCCAGATTGAAGTGTCCAATATATTGGACGAGCTTGCTCAGTATTGTAAATAGCAATTGATCGAATTATGACGAAATATCTCTTATTAAACCATACAACGTACAATGTGTTTAACAGCTCTGCTAAGGCTAGTTACATAAACCAAGCACTTAATTCTGACTTATTGTTAGAACCGTTATTGACTTCCTTGACTTTCTCTTCAGCAACTGTTTTAGATCATCCAAAACGTGATTGTTTATCGACAGTACTAGTTTCATAAAATCCTTGGAAATCGATCCTAATGCAATTTTCAACTGGTATATTTTCTTCAAATTCGGCTTGTAGTTTTCGTTTTACAATAGTAGCTAACTTGAATTCAGCCATGAACCATTCGACTCATACTGGCGGTAGTACGAACCAATGTTAGACATGTGAAGTAAAAATTTAATAAATATAAGAACAAGTGGTAAGAAATATAATGTAAATTATGTGAACTATTGAAGTGATATACATGTTTTTTGTTCGATCGAATTTCTCGATAATCTTATGAATTGAAATAATCTTCAAAACATTTCTGTTTAATAAAAACAAATTGTTCTTGAATTATCATAACACTTTAGTTCTGATTGATTATTTCTTACAAATCTCATTTAGTAATTATTCTCAATAGTGATATTATTTATCATCCTGCTCGAACAAATTCTTCACTAACGACTCCAACAAGAATCGCTGCATCTACTTCTGCATCTCAACATCATATTGCCTATATGATTGTTGATATTGTGGAGGTAAGGTTTTCTTTTTTTTTGCTATTTTCTGTCTATAGTTTTCAATAAAAATATATCATTCATTCATATTTTTTTAGCATGAAGAAAAAAAATTATTTTATTATGAATTTATGTTAAGTAATCTTGATGATACGTCATTCATTCCAATAAGTCTTACTTATACAGAAGATACCGATGATATTGTTGCTCAAAATTATGCTCTTAAATCATGGTTGGAACGTTTTCGTTTTGATCATGAACATTTATATAAATCTTCTTTACCATCATTATCAAAAAATTATATTTTTCCTCAACCATTACTGTTACTTGTTGATGATCATCGTGAAACACCATTAAATAATTCTTGTCTACAATTTTTTAATAATGAAACATTTAAAGAAGTTTGTTCTAATAAAAAAATATATATGAATATTTTTTTTTACTAAAAACTTTTCGCTTTGTTTTGTTTAGTATATAATGCGAACTTATTTACTTGTTTCATCAAAAATTGAATATCCTGTACAACAAGAACCTATAAATCGAATCGTTCTTTATGTTAGTTCATCGTTAATTATATTTGATTTTCGTACACTAGTTAATAAATATGTATCAAATGAACTTCGTCAATTGGCACTATGGTCAAGTTTATTATTATTATATACTCAAACATGGCGTGAAGTTAGACAAAATTGGTCATTAATATGTGAAATATTTCTTAATTGGGGAACAAATTTTGTTTCACTAAAAGCTTACGAAGAATTATGTACAAAAGTAGCAAAAATTGAAAATGATCCGGATATAACACATCTTATGGATCTTATATATAATAGTACAAATACAATCAATGATAATGAACAACAACAACAACAACAAGATGATCATGATAATGATAATGATAATGATGATAAAACAAGTGAAGATATTATTGATCTTTCAGATTTTCAAAATGATCATTTTTATACAAAAAATGTAAGTTTGCTAAAAATTTTCTCTAATCTATTCGAACAATTTTTGTTCTATTTTCGAGAAATAAATATCCGCGTATAAAAAGCCTTTGTTCTATTACTGAAATGTTGTTCCCAAAACAGAACAAAATTTTTCAGGTAAAATTACGAGAGAACGTTTCGAATTGTTCCATTGCTATTCACGTGTGTCTATTACCATTCTATACATCATAATGACTGGTAACAAAGATTATTTTGTTTTGTTTTTTTTGGCCTCCATGTATTGAGTTATGGACGCTTGACTCGATTTTTGCCCTATGAGCTTAGAATTCTTGAGAATCCAGATGATCGGATTTCAAACTGAAATTTTTCTATAGATATGTCTGCTAATCATTAGAAATATCTCAAAATTTGAGCTAAAATAAATGTATCTTTGCTGCGATACTTATATTTTAAAGAAACACTGATATTTTGACTGTGTTTCAAACGAAGGGTGTTTCTATGGCAAGTTGATACCTCGCTACAGATATGGTTGTTCTAGCTCAAACTCTATGATGTTTCTAGTGACTATCAGATCTATCACTGAACAAAATTTTAGCTAAAAAATCGATCCCTCAAGTTCTCAACGTTCATATGCTCATAGGGTTAAAATTGGGTAAAGCGTCTATAACTCAACATTCAGAGGTTAGAAAATCGAACCAGAAAAGACTTCTTTTTTACTATTCATCATGACCGATCGAATGCCCATAGCGTCAAGCAAAAAGTGATTGAAAACTTAGGAATGTTTCCTCGTCAGCTCCAGGAGATGATCTGTTTGAGCTTTGAATTGGAAGCTGGTAGACTCGTAATAAAAATAGCCATTGCTTAAAAAAAATGAAACTTTACTCTTTATACGATTGTTGAAATAAGTATTGAAGTAGAAAGTGAAAAATTGAAAAAGCTATTTCAACAATTAATGAATGTCTTCAGAATTGAGCATATACGAAAACCAGTAGCTTAGACTCGATTCAATTTTAGTTTTATTCTCTCGAAAATAGCATCTCATACTTTGTTTTCTCTCCTGCATAGTGGTGTACAAGGACCAGACTATCAGCAAAAGAAAGTTTTTCGAACTAGAACTGAAAATTATAGTTAAATTTTCTATGATTTTCAGAGAACTATGTTATAAATTAAGCAAAATTTAGAAGAGATGACCGAAACAGACATATTCGTCAGCTGAATCAATCAAAACACGAGTATTTAAGACTTTTAGATTTGATACGAATAAACTCTAAAATAATTTTCTCTAAGTCGAGATTAAAAGAACTTGCTCATACAAACTCTCGTATTATATTTCCATCTCGTTTATGATTATTCGACAGATAAAACGCAGCACAATCGATTTATAATAAATAATTAGATACTCATGAGTAGACAAAATTTAAAGAAAAACAACCATCACAATAGATCGAATCAGAATGAAATTTTCTGGCATTTAGATATCTGTTGACTTGTTCATCAAAACAATTCGATTATTTACCATATTCAGAATATACTATAGAAAAGTTGAAAGGAAAAGTATCGAAAATTTCAACTAACAAGACATTTTTTTATTTTTGTCATAAAGAGTGTGAGTGTGGATGTGGTTTTCAGTCTTCTCTTCACTTACACTCACATCTACACTTACCTTGGAGACATCACTTTTGTCAATATTTTCCCTTTCGATCTTTCTATGGTCAACTATATTCACTATCATTTCTTGTATTTTGAAGTTTAGCCAAGCGAGATCTACACCCGAAAGTTAAAATGTTGATAAGAAAGTATATCGAAAAAAAAACGTCAAACTACATAGGATGTGAGTATGAGTGCAGCTGTCGTTGTTCTCTTCACGCATTCACGCCCATTTTCGATATATTGATTTTCAACACTTTGACGTTCAGTATTTTGCAACTTTACCAGTAGCTCTTGTACTCCTAAACATTGAGTTTTTTCTTCGAAATTTTCACTACTTATTTATTCCTATGTTAATGTTTTATACTAATTCAATAAGAATAGTATATTGTGAAAAACTATCATGTAATTTCTAAATTCTTTTGAAGTTTTTCGTCGTTATAAAACTAATTCTTTATTTACATATCATTATTTTATTTTAAAAAGATGATTACCAATGAAACCAATCGTTATATATCACCATATGAAAATGATTTACGACGTATATTTAATGAAAAAAATAAATCTAAAACAGCATTGATATCATCATGGGAAACATTATCAATATCGGATCGTACTATATTAAAAAAAATAAAAGGTAATTGGAAATGGCTTCATTTATTACTTAAAGATTATATACCATCAATACCACTTTGGTCAAATTTAATACATTCCATATCAAATAATCTTAAACATGTTCGTCTTAATAAGCGTATGTCAAGATTGATGATTAGTAAAGATAAACGACTTAATCAAATAAAACGTATTCAATTAGCTGAACGTGTTCATAGAAAAACTGATCTTGTTATAAGCAGTTTAGCAAAAGATTTATATTCACAAGTAACTAATGCTGATTTAAAACAATAAAAAAAAAACAGAACGAACAATTGTTTTTCTATCAACGTTTATATATTGCTGTTTTCTTTCCTTTTTTTTTTTTTTACTTTCAGTTAAAATGCTTCTCCTTGTACTTATATACATATATATAGATATGACTGTTTCCTAGTGAATTTTCTTGTTTCTCGGACAAACAAACAAAAAAATGACTGCTGATCATATCATAAAGATCATACTGATCATAACAAATAGATAATGATATTTTTTATTGTTATGAGTTAAATTAATCGAACAAAACCTAAAATGAAATGTATTTCATTGAGATAATGAAAAAATCTGAAATAATAGTTTCAATTTTTTTTGTTTTTCAATAACTGTGATTGTCATATAATGCTTATCTGACCTTGATCAATATTTTAATAAAATTTTTTCGAAAAATGTTTCCATCATCAATCTCAATCATTTGTACATTAGAAAAAAAAATTTATAATAAACATTAATGATAGTGATGCAATCACGGCTTTTCATCGTCCACCTGTGTAGAAATGTACTTTCAATCATTATCGTTATGATCAGTGAAGTGGGCAAAAAAAAGATAAATGAGTGAGAGACCCCACAGTGAATATGCATGAAGCCAATAAACGTGTGAGAAGTTGACATGGGGGCTAATGACAATTTTTTTAAAAAGTCAGGTGGAAATTTTTTAAATAACTTCTGAAAGAGCGCTACGGTTTTCATTGCTGGAAAGAGAAAATGAATTAGCATAGAATCAGATGTTATAGATTTTCCTAGGATGTTTTCTGAATTTTTTTAAACAATTTTCTAAAATAAGTGTGGAGAAAACGGGTTTCTTTTTCACAGCCACTGCTTGAAAAAATGATTGAGAATTTTGAGTAGAATACCTATAATATCTAAACGATTAAACGTAAAAAATAGAGAATCGCTTGATTTTCTAGATCTTCGATTAGCCGTTCGAACGCACACTTGATAATTGAAAATTCACTCTAATCACCTCAAGGAATACATTAGTTTTCCAAAAGGTCGGTTGAAAATCTTCAGAAAGACAATGTCAAAAACATGTGTAATATAAAATCCAAGCAGTCTTCATCTTTTCTTTCTAAAGGTGAAAAGTCCAGCTCTCTATCTTGTTGCGATCAAAAGTTATTCCATGTAAAAAAAAAAATTCGGCATTCACTGTCAATATAAAGTTGCATGTCTCGACTGGTGTACCTATGATACTATGTATCGGTCATCTATCATCACCTTTGCATAGATTTGATTTGATGAAAATTTTATAAATCAATTCACATTTAAAAGTCTGTTATAGGAATAAACACAAGAATGTCTTGTCTATAATAGATCTATTTTGGTTTTAGTTCTAATATTCTGTTAGATAAAATCAAATCCTAACAAAAAAAAATTAAAATATCGAGAAGAAATCCAAAATATGCTGAGAATAGATGCACAGACAATTCATAAAGAACATTGGAATCTAATGCTCCATCATATCGAACAGTTGCAAGATGGACAAAACGTTATCATGAAGGATGAAAAGATGTGAATGATGACTCTTGATCTGATCGTTCGCTTTTCGAGCTGATAGATGTAAATATAAGTCATGAACATTGATCCATATTAAATCTGTGATGATATTATAGCTGAAACTTATGGTACAAAAGAACGAATCATCCCTGATGATATAAAGATGAGAAAAGTTACATCACGTTTGGTATCTCATTAATTCAATAATAGACAAAAGCAAGAATGAGTTAGACTTTGTCATGAAAATTTGGTGACATTTGGTGATGGATCATGGCGACTACATAATATTAATACAAGCGATCAGACATGGATTTATCATAGACAGGTTGAATAGAAGTCAACTAATGTAAGTTGGATTAGTGAAGGTTAATCACCAACAACAATTGTTCATCGAAATAAATTTGAACGAAAAACTTTGTTTTTTATATTCTTTAAACCCAAATAGTCATGTTATCATACATAATGTGGATAAAATAAAGACTAAAAATTGCAACTATTATATAGAAAATTGCTTCAAGCCTGTTGTCAATGAAATATAGAAACAAACAAAGGCATCAGATAGAAAGTTACTTCATGAGAATGCTCGACTTCATACTCATTCTAATACTATTAATTATTTAGCATAAGAAAATATCAACATAACATCACATCCATCGTTTTCATCAGACCTTACATTATGTGATTTATTTGGCTAAATGATTATGTCAACTATTATTTAACTGATCAAGCAAATGAAAAATCATTGGCTCGTATGGTTTTCACGATAATTAAAAATATACCAAAAGATGCATTTAAAAAGCATTTAGAGAATATGAAGCTTTCAATAAATAATTATGGTGATTATTTTAAATATTTAATAAAATTAAATTAAAAAAATATCTTTATTTTTATTTAATGTTGTTGTGAGAACATTTTGATCAATCCTAAGTAATAAACATGAATAAAGGTGACTATTTTTAAAATAGATCTAAGATCGAAATTGTTCGTAAAACTTTTAAAGACATCAAAATAACGAGTTAACTAAAGTTTGATAGATCGAAAAAAACATTCTACTTTTTTAGAAGAAGGAATCATTGTCTAACCTTCATTTCTTCTCTTCAGACTATTTGTTTAATATATATAAATGATTTCTTAATAATTCAGAAACTAGAATACTCGTACTTGTTTGATCAATGATAGTAAAACTTGTTTGTTAAATCATACGAAGTCGTTTTTTTTTTCTTGACTATTTGTAATCTATTATTAATATATAACATATAAATATAGATAAAAAAAAGAAGCAAGAGGTTTAGTCATTTCAAGTTCAGATTTAACAAATATTTTTTTTTTTATATATCCATATAGAAAAAAGTGGTAAAATCTTCATGAAGTAATGTATATAAATTTTGTTGTTTATTTTTGTAATCCTTATCATGATCGATCTCGTGTTGGTACAGCAGCATATTTTGATTTAATATATCGCATTAAAGTAAATGTAGCAAGTATAGCAAAAAGTATAAAAATCAATTCGATTACCAATTTAGTTATATCTTCAATCAAAGCATAAGTATCTGTAATGCTTTGATCATTATTTGCTAATGTTGCTGTAGGAGTATTGATTGATTCATCCGGATTTATCAAAACATTAGGAGCTCTCGTTGTTGTTACTACACGATTAGGTGCCGTTTTAACAATACGTATTATACCAAAGATCAATGTTAAACCGAATACAAAAAGAAATACAATGCCTGAAACCATTAATATAATTGCATTATCAAACCTGAATAAAAATGTTCTATTAATAGAAATATTTCAAGTTATTACATACCATGTTGCATAAGTAGCCAAAAAAATTGAAATGAGAATCAAACCGCCGATAGCAATCGTTGCAATAGCATATGGATTTGTTGGTCGTCGAATTGTTTCAATAATACCATGAATAACATAACGAAATAATATACTTGATAATAAAAATCCATAGAAAACAGTTAATAAAATCCGAATACCGCGAATTTGTTTTTTTTTATCAAAAGCCATAGTTTATCTACAAAAATGAATAATTAGTGTACTCACTTCATCAATATGCCGATTTTAGTGCATGTGTGCACAGTTAGGCCAATACATTTACACATCCTATGCTTTTATTTCGTTCTTCATATTTTTTTTTGTTGTTCTCCTCTATTTGTACGTACTTACAACAGCACACCCTGCTAACTTCATGTACGCGTTGAATGAATCAAACAGAAAAGATTCAACTTGGGGCACTCATACAACGAAGTTTTTTGTTCTTCCTTTTTTTCTTTCTACGCCTTTCCTAATCTCATGTATGCTTGTGTCGTCGATCTACACGTTGTTGTAACCGACGAGTAGAATAATTATTATTGGTTCTTACTAAATATACTATAGAAAAAAGAAAAACATACAAAGTTATGCGTACTCATCAACTCGCATCATACGCAGACATGTATGTCTATATTTCCTTATGATGCCTATAACAAAGACCACATACTATAATAGATATTTCTTTTTTTCTTTTCAATAAGCACCAGTTGGTATAAATGAAAGAGTAAATCTACTTTGTATGATTTTGAATGTATAAAAGAAAAATTTACAAACATTGCAAATATTACATCATGTTTAAATAATGTAACTAATATAAAACTAAAACAATTTTTTCATCAATTCATTCTATTAATTTTTATGTAATTTTGACAAACACATTGAAATTCAAGATTGGTTTGAATAGTTCTGTTTACAAATCATAATATGACTATTTTGTTTATGATAAACGTTACTATTGTTTTGATCTTTTAACACTATTAGAAAGATATGTACATCATAGGAAGTTTTTAATGTTTTTATTCAGTTCGATTACAAAACAATGTAATATTATCATAAAAACATTTTTTTGTTCATTTTATTGCTATATCTTTGCATTCAAATCAATAATAATCATTAGTACACTTTTCGTTTTACTTTGTCTTTTAATAAAACTTTGTCAAAAGATAATCAAAGGTTTTATTCTAATTGATGTACCATTAATCAATAGTATAAAAGTGATAATAATCATATTTATGACTTTGACAAGTTGTACTGTACAATATCAACACAAATACGATGTTATTGTTTATACGACATCCAAGATAGTTTGACCTTTCTATTGCGTTTCATGAATGTAGCAGTGCTGGTATTATTAGAATTCTTATAATGATAAGATAAATGCGTCAAACTGATATAATTGGATTTTACTTTAGTAATTTCCAAGGTAATAGATATATGTAATAATGAGATTTGTTCATATATAAAAGTATCATGAACGGTGGAATATTTTTCTTCTAGAATGAGTTCAACGTTTTCTATAATATTCTTAGCTACGAGTAAAAAATGAGGGAAGACAAGTTTTTTTAATGCTACTTCGGCGAAGTACAGTTAACATCTCTTTTATCGAACTCATATTTTGTAACGTGTAACAGTGGTACAAATCAGAATAAAAAATGCACAACTTCAATAAAAACACGTAGGAAAAAACTTAATCACAAAGTAAGAATGTTTCATGGAAGGACAATGCTACATTGTGAACTTCTTTACTTTTGAAAATGTTTCATAGGCATATAATCTGACTTAGATTTTTTGTGCACCTCTTCTTCAACTTATAATGAAGGATTCTATTTCTAGTTGTTGTTATTAGCCACCAAAAAAAGATTAGCATTTATGCAAAAGAATGTGATGCGTTGCTCAAACCAATTAGTCTGATGAAAGGAGAAAACTCTTTGAGTCTAGGATAGACTTTGACCTACCCAAGTCTTGTGAATCCACTGCCAATGCTTACTGGACATCAAGTTCTATCGACTGAATCGATTGTAATATTAAATCTAATATGAACTTGTTGTTCTCTTTGAAAATAAACAAGTGAAGTCATTTGAAAAAAGACTCGATTTCTAGTATAACACAATGCTAGTAGTAATTATATCATTGTTTTTAAGAAACCATTTGAATATCCAAATAAGATTATTATATCATAAAAAAATAAAAACAGTCTATTTAACATTCATATTACAGGGGTTGCCAAAATTATAGGCCACCCTTGTATAGACAGACAAAAATGTTTATTTTATTTCCATGATAAACGATATTGATCTACTAATGATATGTGTGCATGGGAGCACCCACGCACTACCTGGCCCCATCATCTCTCCCTTTCGTCTCTTGTTATTGGAAGAAAAAGCTTGAGAAAACTGAAAAATGACTGTGCCATAATTATAGACCACCTTGCGCAAAAGAGGTTTTATCTACTTTTATAGTCTGATGAACCTTCACTTTGAGCATTTTATTGTAATGCTAACTTCTTTTTAACTTTACCACTCTATTTTAGATTTGATTGGAGTTATTTTACTTCAAAACCTCAAGATATTAGACATTCGCTGAGTTTTCACTACTTTGGAGTGAAACTCAATCACAAATTCATTTTTTCCATGGCCTATATCCGTTCCAATCTAAGAGGGCATATGAGATTTCATGAAATATTGCTATTAGAACCAAAGTTGAAGTGGCTTGGTTCGATAATACTAGTAAATTCTTTTGTTTGAGTACGGAATTTTTAGAAGTTTGTATAGTGAGATCCGAAAAATTTGCNAATGGATCCTCAAAAGAATCATTTGAGTTGGTAAAGTTAGCATTAATTGAATATTTTTATATTTAGGGGGGGGGGGGGACTTATAATTATGAGACAGCTAAAAATCAAAAGTTTTTGAATTTATTCATTAATGCTAATCGATCGAATTGAAACCAATATGGCACATGATAGACTGCTACTAAGTGTCCATGGATATGACATTAGATTGGGAATGAAACCCTCTTTAGTTAAGGAAATCTTTATTGTTCACGAAACTCAAGGAGGGGGGGGGGGTCTTATAATTGTGAGACACCCTGTATATTAATAATAATCTAGATGTGAATAACATTACTGCTATGATTTATCAATAGTTAATTAATCGCATTTAAAACGACAAACTCATTCAAATATCATAGTATGTCATAGAACATCAGCACTACAAGCTGTTACAATGTATTCGTAAATATGGAAATGCAGCTAGTTTTTCAGAACACGAAAGTTTGTTGAAGTTGTTAAATTACTATCAGTGTATTTAGGATGATGTAAAATAAATTTCTATATTTTTGTTTATATATTTAACGTAATAAGGCTTCCTAGGTCAATAGTTTCAGCGTCTATTTTCGAGCGTTTCGAGTTGAAAAATTCCAGAAAATAGTAGGAATTCGAAGACGGGATAACAATGTTCGTATCTAGTTCACGATGCTGCTCAGTTAAAAGTAATTGCTATCGGAATTCCGAAAAATCCAGTTGATGGATTTGTGTATTCGGTTCCTGCTTCGATTGACCAGTATTATGAAATTTATAGATAGAGAACAGTACGGATAACACACAGGCAATAATATTGACACATCAGCCCTTCTTGCTATTATTAAAAGAAATCAATACCGATACCTTTTTTCGTACTATGTAGATAGAGAAAATGTTTTATTTTAAGTATCATAACGCCCAGAAAGCTGTTGTTAGACAGGGTTTTGTTGTTTTTTTCCATCGTATTCAATTATTCTAGCAAAAGAAATAGTAACTTTTACATTGTCAAAATGAACATGAAAGAGGGTATGTTTTTGTTTTTCTTCTTTGGAACAGTTTAAAATATATTCATAATCTCATTTCTATAAAGAAATTTTTTTTCAAACGTATTTTCTTTGTCGGACATTTGTTCAATCATCTACATGTGACTTTCTATTTTCTCTATTCTAAAGACTATGGAGACTGTTCAAAAACGTTCACTATACGGAATTGTTCGGTCCGGAGAGTTTATTTATAATTTGATGTGAAATGAAGAAAAACTTGCAAGATATCTGCGTTTACACGAGTCGTAGATAAACGCTTATTGGTTTATTCTCTTGTTCATCGATTTTCCTATAAATGATTTTAATTAAAAGATTTTGTTTTAACAACACAACAGTTAGTTGTTCTATCTTCAAAAATTCTTCAATGTTTTCTTTTACCTTCTTGGTTTTGAGTTAATATTGATTTAAATTAGATTTGATTCTAACTCAATAATTAATTCCATTTTTTACTTGCATACTATGTTTGTGTCACGTTGTCATGTTTTTCTTGGGACGCAATATAGTGGGTGCATAGGTGAAATGTACCTTGCCGTAGTACGCATAACACAAGTCATAAATACTTTAAAGAGATGAAAAACAACTTTAAACTTGTGTTGACATTAGAGACGTGACAATAGTAAGAAGGACCGTAAAAAAGGCGTTCACTACTCAGAATGATAAGACGGTTACATTAGAGAGAAGCACTTCCAGCAAGTTACTCCGTCTAACTCGAAAACTGTTCTTAATTGGGAGATATTCATTAGTAGAAGTTTTATTACAAAGGATATAAGATCAAAAGATAGAGAATTTTATGCTTGGTCTGTTCACAATCTTTTCAATGTTCTTGGCATTGTTATTCACAGGAAGAAGATTTCAACCTAAAATCTACTGTTGTTTATTTATCTATGATTGAGAATCATGCTTTTGAAAGTCATAATTATCCTATAAAACATTGATTTTGATGCCGTCTGATGCAAAATATATTATTTTGAATATATCTTACCTACTTTGAAATACCCAAAGAAAAAATCCCATCAGTACATATGAAAAGGATTTTTTAAGAAATTTTCTAAATTTTTCATTTCAGAATATTTTTACATAAAATATTCATTTTTTAGTTCTGAAAACAAGTGTTAAGAGATGCAGAATTTTACACAGAATAGTTTTAGCTTTTAGTCAAATTATTGTTAAAAATATTTCACTAGTATTGTGTTGACGGTCGCAAAATGTTCGATTGAATAGATGTTGATCTTGCTAATTTTATAGCGACAAGGAAAATACCTCTGAAAAATAAAATCGGATGTTTTGAAGAAACATAAATTTTCTGTCGAATGAACTTAAACAGTACCAACAAAGAAAACAAAAATCAATACTGCGGAATAAAGATCAATGATTTATTTGAATTTTTCATTTTATTTCGCTTTTTCTTTTTACAAAGCTTCCACAGATTTCATAATAAATCTATTTTCAGTTTCTTTTCGAAGCACATGTTGTAAATCATGTAGACTTCCTTCAGAGAATAGTTAAATCTTATTATCTCGACAATAGTATAGATACATAATTATATTTCTGGTTCAAAGTATAGCAAGCATTGTTTAAATAAACTAAAATATACAACACTTGCCATATGGCATCATCTTGATATTGCGAAAACAATATAAAAACAATCAAATGATAGCAGCCACAAAACAACTTTTCTTTGTTAAGTGCCCTGGCGTTCCAAGTACATATCAGTTTACTTAAAATATTTGCAATGAATGAAGTCAAAAACTGAAATATGCAACTTGTTGTGTTCTGTATTAATAATAATCCTATCAAAATATTTACATGATATATAATATGATAGATATAGATTACAACTGAAATTATAGACTTTTCTAATCACAGTTATAGTCGGTTGTTTGAACTTATTCCAGGAAAAAAAGTGTTACTAACTGTTTTAATTATTTTAAGAACAATAATGTTGTGGACTTGAAAAAATGAATTCAATAACCAAATTATTCTATATAAAGAAACTAATTTGAAAACTATCTTGTTAATTCTCTAATGTAAATATTGAAAATCTATGTTTGGCATGTTTCTTTCTTTTTTTATTATAGCTTATTGAAGTTAGCTGTTCAAAAATTCAAATTCAAATTCATGATTTCTATATAAACATTTTTTTAAAAGTCATAAGAACATGCCCAACGATGTTCATCAATTATTTAATAAGACAATATTTATTTTGTAATAAAGCATCTTTGTAAATATAATTGTTTGTTCACCGATTATTCGAAAAAGTTAGGAATGTTGTTTACTTGTTTGAATTAACACAAGTACATTTATTAAAATCACGATTGTGTTCATCTTTTTGAACCCAGTGAAATGTACTACTATTTTTTGATTATAATAAACTATTAATATTCTTTTGGACAAAATTATATCTTCCTCCTACTACCCTATGATGACAAAAAACGTGACAGAAAATATTTTTAGGAAAAAAAGCATTTTCTTCAAAGTTATTCTTTTTTTTCTACAGTAGTTAATTTTACCTTATTTTAAACATGACTTTTCAAATAATTATGAACGCATTATTATAATAATACATAAAATGTAAATATCAACAGATGTCTCTTTGTTTAAAATTGTGTTTGAAAATAGACACAGTATCTATTTTCTTCGTATTTTATCTTATAATTATGGTTCTATAAAAAGGAATCAAAAGCTTTTAATTGGAATATTTGCACATCACAATATCTCAAAGCATGACATCTGTGCTTTTTACTCAACAAGAGACTATTTCTATTTGCAATAATCAATGACGCAAATAGGTATTTGAAGAGAGATGTTTGACGTCATTTAATTGGTGAAATTCTATCCGAATTGATTATTAATGAAGACAGCAAATTTCAATTTCTTAGCATGTGCATAATATTAGTCACTATTCAAATAATCAATTCAATTTTGAAAAAAGTAAAACATTTGTTTTATGTCACATGCTTTCGAATGATTACGAAAGAAGCTGATATAAAATATATTAAATAATAAATGCGCTATTTGATCAATGATTCATCTTCTTTAAAATGTGAGTGATTGCACTATTATTAATAATGATTCATCATATTCGATTTTAAATAGTAATTGCATCCTACCGTGATTCTCTTCTGTTGTAAATATGGACGTTGTTTATGATTTTATTATACATATATAATTTTTACGTTATGCTCATGGTTTTGTATAGTTAAAGCTTGAAATATAAATCCTTTTTCTTTACTCTTGTCATTCTCTGTTCATGCTTTTGATGGTTTCACCTTGAATATTGATTCTCATCAGATTTTTTCATTTGCAATAATCAATTGTTACATTTCTTATTCAGAGGTCGTATGTACCTTAAATTCTATAATATAAAATTATTATATCATCGAGCATAAATTACAAAACCAAACTTCCTGTTTATGAAGTATTGCATTTTTAATATATTAAAAAAAGAACTTTGAAGCAAACAGAAAAATTTATATATAATAACTGTTAATTTGTTACATTCTAGCGTCGTAAAGAAAATAGCAAAGTACTATATATGTGTCATAAAATTGTCTCATAGTACACAGACATTTGACTATGCGTAAATGATTAACTCGAAAAAGGAAAGGTTATAGTTAATAGATAAAGAAAAAAAACTGACGAAAAATAAAAACGGAACAGTATGACATAAAAAATTGTATATATGTCACCAAAAGCAATGAAAAATGTCTGTCTACTATGCAAATCAAATCTACTTATTTTGACGTCATCAAGTATTTCATTAAAACGGTATGCAAAGAAAAAAAAACTGTTTCTTTATTAAAAGACAAGAATCTTTTTATTAATAAAATTGCTAATGTGATTAATAATAAAAATTCAAATTGGCAAATAAAGCTTGTCTGTACCAAGCATGTTTGTCACGACTTTAATAAAATAAACCTATATTTATAAACATTTTTTTTTTCATTCTTTTATTATCCAAGTATTAGTTCATGGTGTCGCAACTACATATTATTAAACATGCAAGAACCGTAAAAGTATGATCAACGGCGATGAAAATAAAAATAATTTTGAAAAAGAAATAATTGATATAGATTTTTATTAATATTTTTGATATCGATTTTTATTAATATTTTTATTGGTTGAAATCTTTTGCATAAATGAAAGTCACTTGACCATATTGACGATATACAATATGAATCATGAACCAGAAGTAGTCTACTTTCCGGATGTCGTTTTCTTAATAGTCTAAACAGTGTGACAATATGAATCATTATTATTATTATCATAATTGCCTTTATTAACGTCCGCCAACGCTTATTCTTCTCATTAGTATTCTATAACATTAACAAAAAGACGTAACTGAGGGATATTTCAAGGTCACATGATGTGAATGATCATATGTTTGACAAAACATAATTTTACAATCAAATTATTGTTTTTATATATTTATAAATAATTATATGTACTAGGAAAAAGTATAATGCTTTCGAATTAAACAAACATCTTGTTAATATTTTCAATGGAGAAAAAAAATGTCCTGATATACAGGACATGAGCATGATTAATGATGTTTGAGTTATGTAGACACGGAAAGAGACATAATTGAAGTATATCCGTAATCGCCTACGCAGGAATCAAGCTTTATATAAAATGTGTATGTAGGCCGGAAAAAAACTTATGTATGGAGAATAAAGAAACATATTAAAGAAAAGAAAACTTATTATAATTCAAAAATAAACATCTGCCATTTCTTTTTCTTCTTATTGTTATGTACCCAAGACGATGTTAAACTTTAGTAATAAGTAACTATGACATAGCCAACATAGCTGCACTTTGTATTACTCATTTCCCTAAAATGAGTCAAGGAGGGGGAGTCGTAATTGAGTCGAGTTTTTATTTTTTTTCTCTGCGGATGCCGTCTATCTTATGTTTTATATTTAACTGTTATTTGTATTCTCGCTGTCTCTCTCTCTCTCTCTCTCTCTCTCTGTCTCTCTTTCTTTTAGCTATCTTCAGTCATTTTCTCTCTTATTTTTTTTTCTTTTTTTCTCTCTTTTTTATGTCTATGTATGGGTAATTCTTCTTTTAGTATTATTGGTGTTTCATTCTTTTTTTTCTAGTTTGATCATAGTCCTGAAATATCGCATTGATATTATCACTGATATAAATATATATATTCAAAAAGACAAAAACTTTTCTAAAGCGTTTTATTCATCTATAATGTCATTTTCATCTTTATCTCAGTTGTGTATACTCATCACTATAATTATAATTCTCATTAATCAATACATTCTCTTTGTACAAGGTATGTCATTTATGATTTCTTTTTGTTCAATATACATTGAAAAAAAAATATTTGAGTTGAAATTTTTCTTTGTTCATTTGTTTCTATTGTCGCTATTCATCCGTATTGACAATATTTAAGGTTCTATTGAATGCACATAATATGTCACAAAATTTATAATGATCAGAAGGGAGTGAGTGTCACAGGTCAAGGACAATATGAAAGGAAATAAGATCAAGTAGACGGTACTGGGTTCATATCCTTTTCATTGAAATATATGAGAATTATAGATATAAAATAATAAAAAGTGGAGGATATTTTATGCTCATTTAAAAAACAGTCAATATCGATGAATAAAGAACTCAGCATATTGTTGTGTGATATTTCATCCATATTAATATATTCATTTTAATTTAGCTGGTAATTGTTTTCTTAATCGTGCTAATGATTTATGCTATGATCTAAGTGAAGCAGATACAAATGAAGAACTCTGTACTGGATCATACTATTCAGATGATGATATAAAAGAACTTGATGGATTTGTATATGCTGAAAATTGTCGCCCTGTAAATGGTATGTATAAATAGAATGTACAATATATGCTTATATATAAAATATATGTCATAATATAATAGTAGTACCAAAACGATGTGATTTTGATTGTGGTCTTGGTCAAGAATGTCAATGGATCAATGATGTAGAAATGTGTGTATGTAGTGAAGCATCATGTACTTCATCAGATTCATTATCATCTAAAATTGAACAACATCCATTATGTGCATCGAATAACATGACATTTAGTTCGGAATGTGCAATGGAAGCTTGGAAATGTTTCAATCAACGATCAGCATTATATAAAAAATATGATGGTGAATGTCAAAGTAAGTATTTAAATTATTCAAAAAGACATATATAATCTTTTCTGTCTTTGTTTTTTTCTCTATTCCATAGGGGATTGTCGAAATGTTCGATGTCCACCTGATAAAGTTTGTTTATTAGTTCAAAATACAGGTGAACCAATATGCTATCCAAAAAGTCATTGCGATCCAACCTTAGATCCTGAACCAGTTTGTGGTACAAATGGTATTACATATCCAAATATTTGTGTCATGCGTCTAAGTTCTAATCGACAAGGTCAAACACCTCAATTAGCTCATAAAGGTTCTTGTGGTATGAATTTTAAAAAGAAAAATTCGTTTTCTTTTTTCTAATATCTAAATTTTGAATAGAAAATGAATGTCGACCAGGTTTATGTCAAGCAAATGAACGTTGTGCGTACTCTAAACGATATCGTCCAGTTTGTATACGTTGTCAATATTCTTCGAAATTTTTAATGCATAGTGGTGAATGCAGTGTAGATATTCCAATATGTGGTGATGATGAAAATTTATATAAAAATTATTGTTCTCTATTATTTGCCCAATGTGACAAAAATACATATATTAATATAACAGGTTATGGTACATGCCCGACTATAAAACATAAGAAAATTAATCGAAATAAATTCAAATCTGTAAATCGAATTCCAAAATTGAAAATGAATTGAACAATGGTATACATACATTTCTTTATAAAGAATGTCACTGTTAGATGAGGATGTAGATCTCGTAAAATATTGTTCCATATAACCGGTGAATGTATTCCTAACCTAAGATTTTCTTGTTCATGTATATTTATAACGATCGCTTGCAAGCGAATATAATTATTAAAAATATCGTCGAATTTAATTTTTGTTTTTCTTGTCTTTACTAATGTATTATGTTTTCCTTGATGGAAATTGAAACAAAACATAAAAAAAACTTTATTTGTTGTATCTTATATTTTATTCTTCTTATTTTTCTTATTGTATCTGTTGTCAATTTATGCCACTCATTGTATATTTATTTAAAAACAAAAAAATTACCAAAGAAACAAATATATTACATCTAGAAAACAAAATAAACCTTATTTTTTTTTAAAACAAGAACTATAACTTAACGAGTTAAATGATCTGATAGAGAATTAATATTATCTGTTTAAATAGTAATCTTACATAAGCATGCATTGCAACCACTCCTAATTTTCTGTTTTTTTCCCAATTTTTGGCACTCATATACAAGAACACCCAATATCGAAAAAAAATCAGAATTCTTCACTGAACCTATAATGAATCAGAGTGAATTTATTTTAAATCAGGAAATCAAGAAATCCGGAAAATTAGGCCGCTGCAATGCATACATAAGCAATAGACATTGAATATGTTAATGCATACAACATATGATCTATTATTTTTAATTCTTCTGATTATAATGAAAATATTTTGAGAACAAGAATATGATAAATATGACCTTCAGAAGTTAAGAAATACTCTTAAGTAAGTTTCCATTTTATATTTATATATGATAGATTTTTGTAAATTCTAAAATTGATGAATAATTACAAAAGGTTATTAAATAAATATGTTTTAGTGTTTATCATCTTATTTATAGCAATAATGTGTTTGTTGGAAAGTCAATCATGCGTATAAATAAGACGGTCGAAAGAGAAAAAAGAAAAATACAATCGATGCAAGTAGCTTAATAAATGTTTGCTCGATTTTATGTCAAAATTCGACAATAATCATTCACAGTTAAAGTGTCGTAATAATTCACATATACCACCTATGGTGCAAAAAATAAGAAAAATATCCATCGGCTAAATATGCACTACTATTATTCTGTTTAGAGCATGTCAACCCACGTCGGCTCTTTTTTTTAAGCAACTCCGACGCAATTATGCGTAGTTACAATGAAAACATCGCATTTGCACGTAGTTGTGGCAAAAAAATCCTATTTAGGCGTAAACACGTCGTAGTTTTTCGAAATTACAGGTCACATTGCGATCGCAGTTACCCTGTAACTGCGCGATCAATCAATTCGCATCGAATTCCAAGGAATATTCTTTCTTTTAATTCTGAAAAGGTTTCTTTCATGTTTTATGGAGTTGCTTTACACACCGATCGATAGCTTTCGGTGATTTTTTTATATGATGTTAAGAATTTTACTTTTTTGCATTGCGTTTAGCTAAGACCTTTTTTTATACTAAGTAAATATCATTTATTGTAAAAATTTATTTGATCATTCATGATAAACATAAAGAAATGCTAGAGTCTTTCAACTTATGAGATACTATTTACTGTTGACCTAGCTGCTGTGATAAAAAGAGAACATTAATTTTAATGTATCGTAATGTGTACTAAGAGTAAAAAAAAAAGTTTTCATTACTGGCTTTAAATCAAAAGGGGCAGCAATCAACACGAAATCCAATAATATACTGATGTCTAATAATTTATTTATTTCGATTGACTCTATATATATTAAAAATGTTCGACCTTTAATAGCTGTTAAATATCAGAACTTGTCATGTTATAAACAGAGAATTTATAATATAAATTTAAGCAGAATGTCAAGTTATTCTTCTTTACACCCACGAACTTTATGAGACAATTGTACTTGTCATGACTTTCAATTGTTTATGGATTGGTTATTAGTGTTGCAATTATTATTCTGACTCATAAGAGAAAAAATTTCTTTAGTATGTTAATATTGATCTATAGTGCGCGATTGACGTTTTGTCATTTCTATCTGTTTTTCATCTTAGTATGACAGACAAAATTGCTTTTGTGGCCGATGAAACAGAGGACTACTAAGCTGTTGCTTTATAGATTTGAATACTGATTAATATAATTGTATTTCCGAACAAATACGTAAAATACTAAGAAAACTTTTATTCGCTTTTTTTAAAGTCAACCATTTCTATTCGTATCTAGAAATTGTGAATCACACATGACGATTTGTACTTCATGAGTTCATAGTATTTAGAAGCTAAATTATGCGAAAGTCGAAGTTCTGTTAAAGTTTTCCCTCAAAAAAGGAAAGTCAACTTTCATCAAAAAAAAAATACGAACTAAATAAATTCATGAGAATATAGGCCAGTGCCTAATCTTTCATATATCACATGAATTTTTTATTCGATATTTCAGTTTTTGCCAAAATATTTGATCATTTCTATTATCATCGGCTTGAAAAATGTATTGTTTCCAGAAGAGCAGAAAATGCTTTTTGTTTTTCTCTCTATTTATGGTTTTTTGATCGCATAATCCAGAATTCTTTGTGCTTCTGGATTATATATATTTAAGCTTTTTGGTGTGTTTGAAAGGTTATGGCAAGATTCTGGGCAAGACAAAGTTTATTCTTTTAGTTAAACTTTATTACTATTATATACAAGAGCTTTTTTTTTTATATAAGAAGCGCCGTTTTTTTTGAAAATTCTCTGTGTCATTGAAGTTTTAATTCTTTTTCTTTTCTTGAAACGTAAGAATTTAAAAAAAATGTTTTGTTGTGCCTTGTCAAATAAAAAAAAAGACTGAGTATATAGAATGAAGACTTAGGGTAAATGTTAGACTGGTAAATGGGCTATTTTAAACTCTTGATTGTTGAATATCTCCGGCAAACATCATGGTATAGAGCTGAAAATTTTACCGTAGTCTCGACATTACAGTTACAATATATGGTAAATGTTTCATGCGATTTAAATATATCGGCTGCAAAATCAATTATTCAAGCGTGAATTTTAAAACGCTCTCTAGGAAGCAACGAGGAAATATCATAACAGCAAACGGATGATTATAAGATGACAGAACTTCACTAGAAAAAAAGGAAAGATTGATTTGCAAAGCAAATGATAAGCTAACATATAGGGATGTACTAGCGACTACATAATAAGCCTAGTATGATGGATGATTCTTGATATCATCGGTTGCTATTATTCTAAGGATGTCTGCAAAAAAAGGGAAGAAATGAATCATACTTTGAGGCGTGGGTGTCGTTGTCATTGTATGTTCTGTTGTATAGTTATAGACGATCTTTATTTTTATGACTATTCGATAACAACAACATTGAATTTGACATGTTTATCTGTCAACACACAATAAAATATTTTGGATGAGTCATTGTCAAAAATGGTATAAGTTATTTGATGTACTCCCAATTTTATTTTATTAAGATTTCATCTGACCAATAAATTTTAACAAAAAAAATTTGCTTTACAAAAAAAGAGAAAACAATAATAACAAAAAAAATGCTAACAATTCTATCTTGCAAATATCCGACATGAAATTTATTGATTGTTTGACGTTGGTTTGTGATTAACAAGCGATGAAAATGATTCTCGAAGATGTCGTTTAACTTTACGACCAAATGTCTAAATATTCAAAAATTAGAAAAGAGAATAATAATAACAAAAACAAACCAACGAAGGAACACTTTCAATTGATTCATTACTTTTCTCATTAAAAACTACTGGATAATAGATTATCAACTATATCAATTTCGAATATGATCATAAGGAATCCTCGTATGTCTTTAATATGTCGATTTTCTAGACTAACAAACATTTTATATCTGTTCAGATTAGTCGAGTTGTCTGTAAGACAATAATATTTTCTGCTTTCCAAAATTGAGTTTTAAATAAAATAGTGTCATCTTGAAGACTCTTACATTGAAATGTTGATATGTAAAGTGGCAGAAATGTAAAATTACAGCGGAACCATTTTCTTCTTTTCTTTGTATATGGTTACACAAAGCTTGTCAAGCTAATTGAGAGAATAGGTGCATTTTCAATTTTTTCATTTCCTTTAAATTTCAAAACTGTTTATTTCAGGTTTAACGTGAAAAACTGAACCGAGGAAACTTATTTATAATGAGTTTTCTAGATTCAATTTTCAAATTTAATGGAAATGGAAAAATTAAAACCGCATATATATTTTCTTGGTCAGCTCGGTTCACTCTTTCTAACAATATATAAATAAAAGAAAACAAATCGTTGTTTTAATTTTGCATTTGCGACATCTTATCTTTTTGATGAATTGCATAACTGTATTTGTTGCAAGAAAAGGTTACTGCTTTCTAGACAATTCGATATGTTCTATAATCTGGACAAATTTTAAAAAAAATTTTTTTTGACGAAAAGTTTGATAATCTAGAAAACCAGCATATGAAAACCTAAGGATATTTCTCATAGTCATTATTCAAAATTAGCATAGTCGATTTCCTACAAATCGTAAGGTGTCGGTGAAAAAATGACTGATCAGTTGAAAATGTTCCCTCGTAAATTTTAATTGTTTGTTTTTTTACTTGTTTATCATTTTGTTTTTTATTTATTGCTGAAGATGGTGTTATTGGAATAAGTAATGTCATTAGTTTTTTCATTTGTTGTTGTTGTGTTGTTAGTTTTTCTTCATTGATTTCTTTTGCAGCTAATGTTTCACTTAATAAACGAATATGTTCATGTAATGCATCAGTTTTTATCATACAATCAACATTTCGATTATATTCACTTTGATATTTAGTCATAAGTAATTCATACTCCTCTGTAATAATTAGAAAAAAAAAAGATAAAGAAGAATTTTTTGGTTTTAAAATACCGTTTAAACGTTCGAATGCGGTAGTTTTTTCATCTAAGACTTGTCGTAGGACATCATGTTCCTATAAAAACAAAAACAAAACAAGTTGAATCTCGAAATTGAGAAAAAGGAATTAGACGAACATTTGTCGCAATTGATATAATTTGTTTATCTTTAAGTGTTAATTGCTCTTGAAGTTTTTTTTCTTGTGTATCAAATGTTATTTTTGCTGATAAATGAGCTGATTTACATTGATTTAATTCTTCTTCAAGATTTTCTCTAGATAATTGAAAATAAAATGTAAGAATTTAAATGAAATAAATGAATGAATCAGAAAGAATTACGTTCTTTCTATTCTGTTCTTTATATTAATTGAAATAGTTTTCAATATATTCAAAAAGAAATGACAAAACTGTCGTAAAATAAATATGAAAATGGCAATGATCAAGTGAAAAACTACATGATTCTGAAAGATTGATTTCATAGTAAACAATTCATTTGTAGATAAAAATTAAAAAAAAGGATTTATCAGTTAGTTATAAATTCTCGATCGTCTATGCACAGTTTAAACAAAGGTTCCCAAAATAATTCCAAAGAATCTAGTGGAGTTCCGATAGATATCCTTATAACAGTGATGTGTTAAACATGTCACAATCTAGATTTCGACCTTGCTTAAGGATCTTCATCAGATAGTTTTGACTCTGCTATACTTGTTCGCATGTTTTCTAAAATAAATATGAATCATAAACATAAGTCAAAAGAATGTTTTCTTCACAAGATATAGAATTTCCATAAACAATGAGGATCTTGAATCTTTCGTGAGATATGAATGATTTTTGAAAATTCAATATCTTGTGGAAGAAACATTCTTTCTGAATGAAATATCATCGTTTTATGTGTTGTGACATGTTTTGCCTAAGGCGCAATGATCATTAAAATACCATGGCCTTGGAGGCATGAACTAAGGGAACTTATTCTTGTTGGATTTTTTATTATCTCATTTGAATCTACTTTATGCGCAGTGTCTGAATGCAAAAACGATGAATCACTTTGAACGATCGTCGCATGAATTAAAAATACTCTATTGATCATTTTTTTGCATCGTAGCTGACGAACCGTGAGTCACCAAATTCAGTTGATAAATAATTCTTGGATTTTATTTTTCAGTGCAAACTGTCTAATATTATAAACTAAGGTCATATTACTACAAAGAGAGCATTCATAAACAAACTAAAAGATATTGCCAAATAAGTACCAAATTTTCTATTTTATACTTTATTTCATCAAATGATTACACATGATTATGTTCGTTGGTTGAGCTATAAAATTTTGTAGAAAATTTGATATTATTACTAGTACAATACTTTATGAGATACTCGTTATATTATACATACGTTCGAAGTTCTTGTTCCGCAAGACGAATTTTCATTGATTCAAGATCATTATTAAGTTTATCAATAATTTCTTCATAAACAATATTAGTTGTATCATGAATATCATCAGTAGATTGTTTTGATATAGATGAAGCATTTGATTCATGTCGTTGAACAGGATGAGAATGTTTTATTGATGATACACCAGAAGAAAGTGGTGTACGAAGAAGTAAATCAATATTTTTGGCTAGTTTTATACAAATATCATTTAAACGTGATAAAAGTACAAGAGAAATATTTTCATCAAGATTTTCTTCATTTAGTTCTTCTTGTTCATCATCATACAATTTATTTTCTTTATCTTCTTGCATAAATATAATATTTATTGATCGATTTATATATGTTAAACCATCAAGTGTCGATCGAACACATTGTAATGTTGTATCATTTTGACGATTTGTTTGTTCTAATCTAGATTTCAGAGCTAAAACAAAACAAATATATATTTTTTTCAAGATCTCAGTGTTATACTCAACGAGTAAATATATGTCAAAAAGTTAATAAATTAAGTGATAGCAGCGACATGCAAAACAATTTCCTAAATATTATGATATTAACGAGATGTTTGTTAGCTGTGATAAATGTTTCTCTAGTATCGAAGTTCGTCAAAACACAAAATTTCGATGTAAATATTTTTACCCATAAATGAGTCTAATGAGTCTTGAAATATTCTAAAAGTTCCAGCTGAAAAGAATGCTCGTTTGTTGATGATATTGGGTTTCCAAGTAAACTTGATTTTTCTGATATATCTGTGGTAAACGACTATTTTGTTTTTTGAAAATTCAATATGCCAAAAAAAAAAGAATGCTGTTTTCAACTAAAACTTTCAGAATATTCTACTGATCCTTTGACCTATTAATGGACTAAAGTTCATGTCAAAATACGTTTTTATTTTATTTTACATTAAATGCCTTAAACTGGATTGAAAACTCAGTAAAGCAATCATAACTTAGCTCTAAAGATCTAAGAAGACAAAACCTTTTTCGGCCTTTTCTCGTCTCATGAAGATGATCTGTAGACTCAATATGAGCATACACACGTCGAGTATCAGTTTGAGTAATTACCTCATCAGAATCAGATCCACTACAGCCATGTAAGATATTATACGATCTCATATGGATTTTGTTCAATTAGATTGTATGTCTTGACATTTTCGGGTCAATGATGATCATTTGAATAACAATTATTTTCATTTCTGAAAGCGACTTTTTTTTCAATATGTTCCATAAATATAAAGATAATTACAAAAGAAAACTTTGATTGTAAATTATATCTTTGTATTTCAAGTCTTTTCATAAGTAGAAAAAAAAATCGTGCGTATTCAAAACAAAGCACCGAAAACGTAATCATGTTTTTTGTTAAGAAATTGTTGAATTGAAATTAATACAAATTCCATTGTGACACGCAACTGCTCATAAGTATCAAATATGTCAATGAGAAAGTAACTGATATTTCATAAACAACACGATTTTTTTATTTGGTATCCTATTTTTTGTCAAAAATTTTTGATGATTTTTATCATTTTCTGTTTGCAAAACTTTTTATTTCAGGAAAAAATAGAAAATCTTTTTCATTGTTTTTCTATTTATGCTTTTCTTATTGCACATCCGAAAATTCAGGAAGGAAATTCATTGTAACCAATTTTGTTTTCTGAAAGAGCATGTCAAAATGCAAAGCATGACAGAATTCATGTTTTGAATTAACCTATTTTATTATTATATTAAAAAAATCAATTCTATAAATAGAAACCCATTTTTGCAGATTTTCTCCGCATAAAAAATAAGAATTTAATAAAAACAAGGACACTACACTGTAATATACTTTTTCAGATTGAAAAAAGGAGGATTTTCATAATGAAGGCCCACAGGGAATTTTGAGTTGGGCAATGAGCTATTTTTGATTCTTGTGTGTTGCATATCTCCCTCAAGCGTCATAATATATCGGTGAAAATTATAGCATAACCTTTCCACTATAGTACGAACATGTCCTGACAATTTCGTACAATTTTAGTGTACCTGACCTAAGATCAATTTTTGAAGAGAGGATCTGACAGTTTCGGTAGTTCATTCGTTCTTCAGATATGATGACATTTTGTAATGACTATCGTATTTTTATCAAAAATCGTAAACACTTCATGTGACAACTTGTTCATTTATAATAAAAGCAATTCTAATAGATAACTACTAATGGCTTGTTTTATATCATAATGAAACTTTCAGATCCATCTCATTCTCAAAAGAAATACAACTTTTATATAGAGAAAATAGATAAAGATAGTGAACAGAGATATTTAAGAGAATTTTGCACGTATATAATTCATTTTAATAAAGATTTAGTTATATATTGATTCTTCATATCTCTAAGTGAATAACTATTTCCATATCACTTGACCAGTTAATTATTACAATTGTTATATTTTCTTATTGAACAAAGAAGGAGAATATCATGGAATTGTTGTTTTTATTTGAGTTGAGAACTGCTAAAATGAAATATCGAATATTTTAAATTGAATCGAAAGAAGACAAGTTTAGAGACGTTTTCTACATAAAAACAATAAATTGATAGTAGACATTCAAAGAAAGAAACTCTACCGTAACAGTACGAAAAATGTCTAAGAGCTAGTCAATATCAATAAAAAAGGATCAATCATATGGTATAATAAATTAAAAAGACAAATTTTTAAAAAACGAATAGAAATAAAAATAACTGTTTAAAATTTTTTTTAAATAGTATTGAAATCTTTTTAAAAAGCTATGATCATTTTTTAATAACGTTAAATTTGGAAATCTTATAACATAATGAAGATCAATAAGCCAAATGTTGTCACAAAGCGTGCAGTTACTTAAATCATTTTAGTAGTTGTATATGATTTGAAAAATTATTTTTTTTGAAAAGCTACGTTATCCAATAATAGAAATCAGTATTTATTAAATTAAATTGTCGTCTGGTAATGCTTTTAATATCTAATGTAATGGAAGATTATTAAAAGTAGTCTATAATTCAAGCAAATATTCTGTTGTTCATGCAAAGTTCATGTTATTCTAATTATATCAACTATTCAAAAAAAAAGCTAAATTACTTTCTATTCTTGTAGCGACAAAGATCGTTTTTTTTAATTATAACTGACTTAATTTTAACACAGTAGTTTCTGAAGCATAGAAAATGCTTTAAAATAATCACTGATTAAAGCAGGTCGTTTTGACATGAAAGAAATGCATGTTTATTAAAAGAAAATAAATAAAGCTGACCTTCGAATTTCTCATTATCATTTTTTGATTTTTCCATCCACCAACTAATTTGTTCTTCTTTACGTTCAAGACTAGCACGTAATCTTCGAATATCATATTTTAGTAGATGATCATTTGATGATGATGGTGATTGTGAATTAACAATAGGAGAAAATACATGTGTTTTATTTAAAGGTGTTTCACCTTCATTTAATGATATTGTTGATGATGCTAATTTAATGACATTTGATGGTCGTTGACCACCTTGAAATGTATTTGTACGACGAGCTGGTGTGATAAGATGAGAATAAATTGGCAATGGAGGACGATTAGATGCCATTAATTATTTCTGAATGAAAAGAAAAGATCTTTATTTACAATTCAGATGTGCATGTCAGATATTTCCGTGTGTAAAATTGAAAAAGAAAACAAACATGAATATCGAAATTTGCACAAAAAAAAAATAAACGAGAAAATAAGCGAGCAATTAAGTTCAATTTAATCAAATGATATCAATGTTTGGTCATTAGATGGCATTTGTGTTGTTGTAGGTGGATGTTGTAGAGGTTGTTGTTGAGAATAAAGATTTTGATTTTGAGGTAATACGACGGGTGCAACAGATGGAAGAGCATTTGATAATTCTATTTAATTTCTACGTATGATTTAATTTTAATTTACATATATCTACTTACGCCCCATCGATAATTGAGGTGAAATTGGATGATAATAAGTAACAGGTGGCGATGGCATGTATGGCATCTAATAAAAATATTCATTTTATGTTTATATTAAAGACTATTTCAAATGGATTATTAAAACTATTGTTAGAACAAAGATGGACAACATAGGTGTATGTTTGAGTAGTCTGATCTTTGGAAAGCGTTCATAATATTCCTATCTATTTATAAAGCTTCATTTTCATGTCGAGCGATTTCTCACTCTTTTTGATCAAATCGTGAACTATTTTGGACTCAATATTTGACTTTAAAAATGTTTTTGCTTCAATGAGACGAGAGAACTACCTCAATGAATTTAGAGTTTTCATACTGATATTATTTTCAAAAGCAGCATTGTTTCTACCAAAAATTTATTAAAGAAACTCTCAAACGCCTTCTTGTTCAGATGAGTATTAATTTAGTTGAGTTCTCTCTATGCGAAAGTTTTCAGATCAAACTTCGAAGGTACAAGTTTTTCGAAAACTTGGGACTTCTAGAAAATAAACATATTAAAATAAGATGGCGTAGTAAAGTCTCAATAGGAATCAAAATCCTTTTAAAGTTTTTATTAGAAAACTATATTGTACCTACAGATAGAAAGTCATTAAACTCGGAAGCAGAGCCCTGCAGAGTAAGACTTTTTCGTAACCTATACCCTACCCTACAGTGATTTTCGTACTCTTACCCTACCCGGTCCTATAGATTTTGTATTCTACAATTTACGATGTCCTAAGATGCCTAGGTAATTGGCAGATTTGGCCGAAAATTTTTGTTTTACATTAATGAAATTAGTGCAGTTTTATGTATATTATTTATATTTAATGAAATATATATCAGTATCATGTAATGAAAAACAAACTATAATAATTTTTATATAATAAAATTATAATTACTAAATACATGATAAACAAGTTAAGTATACAGTTAATAAAAAGTACGAATGTCTGAAGACTAATTAAGTAGAGCACAAAATTAAAATGAAGATTGTAGTTCTATGATGCATTCTGCATAGCAAGAGATGCCAAGAAAAATAAATAGTAATAGGCACTGTAGTCTTAAAACAGAGCTTTTTGCACCGTTACTATAGTGATTAGAAGGAAGATATGACTAATTTAAGGGCTGATTTGACTATTTTAGGATCACAGAAAGAAGAATAACTCATACCGTTATGTCAGCTAGTTCAGTCTAACGGTTCAAGCTAGTACCAGTGCCGTAAGAAAAAAATCCAACCGGTTCCAACCCTGTCTTTTGGATACTCATGTAGCTGAATAATGGTGCAATTACATGACAATACAACGTATTTCATGAATTTTTATGCAATATTTCGCAGATAACATAACGTGGTGCATTATTTGCGAACATAGTGCATTAAAATCCATGAAATCGATTCCGATCCTGAGATCGAAATCGAATCAAATCTCGATGAAGGTTTTCTTATTCTTTTCGGACTCTGTTGCATTATCATGCAATTGCATCCATTATTTTCACAGCGGTTACATAGATAGTCTTTTAAACTAGATAGATGTCAAAAGTATCTTTGAAGTTGCTTATCAATAAATTTTAAAAACATAAACAACAATTTTATTCTACCCTTATGATTTTTTTGTACCACTCTTATCCTACCTTACCTTGTAGGACCTCTGCTCGGAAGGAGCTAACCGAAAACGTAAAGATTTTCGATTTGAAATTTTTATTACATATTGGTTTTATGATCCCTATAAAGCACTAAATGTCACAACCAAAACAAATGCTACCTTCTTGGCATATTGAATCTTCAAGCAATACTCTCATGTCACGAAAATCGACTTTTCTTGAAAATGTACTCTCTCGTAAAAGAAGCATTCATTTTGATTGTGATATTTAAGTCATTTTAAAGTTCATGAAATCTCTTGTTATAGGTAATAAACCTAATAAGACAGTTACGATTCAACAAGAAAGACCTATGGATCTTTATTTTTTTTAGGTGTTTTCTATTTTTATTGGATCCTACTCATGCGACAAATAGGTTTCATTAATTCGAGAAAAAGATGTTTCGATAATTACTTGATTTTGTTGTTCACGTTGTTGAATATAATGTCGTTGTTGATTAAGTCTTGCTTGCATTTCTGCTTCTTGTTCTGTTAAACGTTTTAAATGAAGTTGTCTTTGATATTCCAAATAAGCCTAATGATTAATATATAACGAATCCATTTCTTTTGGGTATATAGAAAATAATTTTACTTGTTTTTTTTGACGCATATCATCAAGTTTAACAGCTAATTGCATTTGTCGTTGTCTTTCACGTTCTAAAGCTTGCCGTTTTTTATTTTCAAAATGTTCTTCACGTAAAGCGTTCAATGCTTCTCGTGCATCTTTTAATTGATTTAATTTGTCTTGTAAACTTTCATAATAAGCTAAATAAGAAAATCAATAAATGATAAAAAACAAAAACTCTTATTTTAATTAATAAATCAAAAACCTTGTTTATCATCGAGTGATTTTATAAAACGATGTAATTCAGGATACATATGTTGAAGCATAAGAAATACTGATTGTACAGCTGTATCATTTGCTATATTTCTACCACGTTGTTGATTACTTAACATACGAAATTTAATATTATTTATGTGTTCGTTAACAGTATTGACAAATATATCAATATCATCATCACGTACAAATCGATCCAATGGATCCTATTAGATTTAGAAAGAAGTTTTTCTTTTTTGTTTTGTATTACGAGAAGCATCATAAGAACGTTGAGTATACGAGAGACTTGGTAAAAGCAACATTTCTATTTCTTTTTATGTACCAAAATGAACTATTTAAATGTACTCTAATATCGATAGACTCACATTTTGTAAGTTCAACATGAATGAAAAATGGTTCTTTGCACTCGTCTAAGATATTCACTTGATAACAATCTATCTTATGTGGGGATTCAAAAACTAAAAGTTCCAAGCTGAATTTTCTATATATTATACATCTTTGTATTCTCTAGAAAATGGTACCTTCGAGACGAATAGGATGCATATTTCTTTTCTAATTTATGGTGCAAAAGTCTTTGAACAAATATCAAACTCTGTTCGACCATATTGCAAATCTCTAAGTCAATGAAACTTTTTTTTTTTAATAGAGCAATGTTTGAACTAGAACTTTTGTACCAGACATATTTTTTCAGAACGAATTTGAGACGGAGGAAAAGCAAAGAACTAAATATCTCTATAAAAGTTCTTGCAACATTTTATTTCTCAATTATTTTGAGCTACATGGGCCAATTTCTAAGAAAAAAACACACCAAAATGTAGCGCGTCAAAATCTCTATTGAAATCAGCTTTAGTAAAAATTTTTGGATCCATTCTTCACTTTTTATTCAAAAAAGCTTGAAAAATGAAATTTTTGCAAAATTGAGTCCCTTGCAATAACTATCAGTTGGCAAGAATATCAGCCACTATCTCGAGAAACCATTCATGAACTTAATTCTTTGTGCGTTATTTGTTCAAAACATGTCAGATCACAGAAACTTAACAAAAAAAGAATTCAAACAATATTTTTTATCATTGCAAAACAGTCAGGTAGTAAAAACGACCAAATAATGCAGTCTCTTTCAGATAAAGCTATATCTCAGTATAAAAGCCAAGAATAAATTTAACTTTCAAAACACCATTGGAAAGAGCGTTCTTTATGCTACAGAAATCATCATAAAACATGTTTTTTTTTATTTCTCTTCTCATATAAAAAAAATAAACAGAAAATAGAAAATAGAAAATAATCTTGCGCCATGATCAAGTTGCAACAAATTTTATACAGGTGTTTAGTTTTTGACCTTTTCTCCTTCTCAGATTCGCTCTGAAAAATATGTCTGGTGTAAAAGTTCTAGTTCAGACATTGTTCTTTTCAACAAAAAAAAGTTTCATTGGTTTAGAGGTTGGCAATGTGGTCGAACTGAGTTTGACATTTGTTCAAAGACTTTTGCACCGTATGTTATAGTGATTTTTCAATAGCACAATTAGGTTAAATCAAATAAATTTCAGAAAAAATTTTTTCCTTTGAATTTAATTCAATGTAGTTTATCTCCTGAATTCTGAATATCGTATTTATTTGACTCTACGATTGCGTCATGATAATGAAAATCGCTGAAAATGTTTTTTTTTTGTTCCATTGAAAAATCACTATGTAGCAAAGCAATGTGTACCCTATTTCGCCCTGAAGGTATCATTTTTTAGAGAATAAAAAATTGTATAACATAAAGAAAGTTCTTCTTTTATCTCTCTGATTCTGAATTCCAACAGAAGATAGATTGTTATCAAACGAACATCTTACACTGATCGAAAGAATCATTTTTCATTCATGCTGCCAGTAGAAAACTTGAGTCGATCAACATTATATCCTATTTAAGTAGTTCATTTTGTTCAGTTTTTTATTCTCTATCTGTTAATATAATTTATAAAAAATTTGAATGATTTTTGAAAAGTGAAATACGTACTTTTTTTTCTTATAAGGATTTGACAGAAGTAAAAAGTTACTGTTGACTAACTCTTCAAACAGTATTAAAAAGTAAAATTTTCGGGTTGATAGTTTCAAACATCGATACATTGAATGAACAAAAGAAATAGAAATTTTTTTTTATTGAGTGCTTCGTATACTTGACGGTCTTATGATTCCTCTCTTAATTACTTTAGGTAATGGTTTAATTGTAATCAGATCATTTTTTGTTTGAGTTTCCCAATAATTTTGTTGATTATCATCAGCTATAGGTGCTGAACTGATTGGTATTGGTGGATATTGAATGGTTGAATTAACATATTTTTGTGTTAATAATTTTTTTTGACGTTCTTTTTCTTCAGCTTCACTTCGAGATAATGTTAATGCTAATTGAAGAGCATCTTCTTCTTCAAGTTCATCTTGATTTTTTTCTTTTGGTTTATCTATTGCTAAATATTGCGGACGAATACTACCAGTTCTATATAGAAAAACAAAAGACTTTTATAGAAATTCCTATAATAAACTATCTTACGTTTTTATACGATCATAACATTCTATGCAAACTCGTACATCTTCTTCAATACCATATTCAAGCAAAGGACATTGTTTTGATGAGCCTATTTTAAAAAAAAGAATTAAATTCATATGTTAGATAGAAAATAAAGTACGAACATGTTGCACAAAATGTTTCACCACAAGCACGACAATGATGTTTTCGAATAAATGCTGAAAATGATGTACGACAACGAAAACACTCGTCACGATCAGTCCTAAACAAAAAAAAAACGGAAATTTTCAAAAAGAAATTTTATAATTTTATATTCTAACCAAAGGGGTGGTATGAGTGTTATCACCATTGTTTTTTTTATTATCGAACGATATTTGGATAAATGATTGATTGATTAACAGACTGCTATTATAGAGTTACGAAATTATTTGATTGGTGATGTATATCGACCAATAAAACAATTTGAAGATAATTTTATGTTTTTGTGTTAGATTTTTATCTATTTATTACGTGAATGCCAACACAACCTGTTACATTTGTTTGTCGTTTTTGTTACTCAACAAATCATGCTTTATATCCAGTTCGTCTTTATTGTATAAGTTTAAATGAAGGTCTTATTATGTGTGCAAATCAAAATTGTACGGGAATTGTTAATGGTCATGTGGATCTACTAAAAATGATCCTACCTATAACATCATCGACAATGCAATTAACTTATGAACAATATCAGCAAACACCATATTATAGTCCAGAGTGTGATTTTCTTGTGAATGATATTCCACCAGAAATATAAATAATTGTTTTCGTTTTCTTTTTGTAATATGTTGTTGTTTGGTGCTTTTTGTTAATTTCGAAATTATTTTAGATAAAAAAAAATATGAGTTTAATGTTGAATGATGAAGTGGCTTTAGGGAATGATATTAGATATAAAAATTATATTGTAGCTATTGAAAAAATTCTTAAACAATTTGAATCATCAACGGAATGGCCTGACCTTATTGCTAATTTAGTCAAAGTTAAAAAAGTAAGATTTTATCTAAGAATTTCGTGTTTATAAAAGATTACTTTAATCATATATAACGATCATTTTTACCTTTTCGTATTTAAAAATATATCTTGGACTTGACTAATAAAGATTTATTAAACTTGATGAGTAGAAGTCGAAAAATATATTAACCCTTCTTTCCCTTGGTTATTAGAGCGATCATTTGTAAAACGATTACAGATAATAAAGAAAATATATATTATGTTGTTGTATCTTGGAAAAAAGATGAATTACAAAATTAATGTGCTTGAAAAAAACTGCAAAAATTGGATTTTTTTAAAATTAATTCTTATCTATCAATAAACAAGATATATGATGAAATGTATTGCGTGATATATATATATATAAGGATAGCAATGTCTACTACTCATATCAATACTATTCGCAAGTTGGAAGAATTCAAATAGAATAGAGATGGTAAAACACCCAATAGTCACTACAGATTTTCCGGAAAACGAAACCTTTATTTTTTCGATATATACAACTCAGGTATCGGATTTACTCATAACACACGAAATGATAGCGTTAAGCATTCTCTCTACAATCAATTATTTGTCGAAACTATGTGTATTAAGTTGATCCAAATGAGCTATGAATATCCGAAAAAGAGTTTGTACTATTAGCTTATTGCTGTAGAGATCCTGCATCTTTACAATAAACTTCTTTTATGAGAGTCTGTCTTCATGCAAAGTTTGAAATCGAAGTTCGAAAATCACTTTTTTTCCGAGTGTTCCGTAGGAAACTAGAGCATTCATTTGAAAAATGCCGTATCTACATAATGAGGACTAGTTTCGACTGAAAAGCGATTTATGAATTGAAGGACATTCTTCTGCAGATAGAATTTTTCTCAAATCATTCTGTTCCTTCTGATCTTGAACGTATCTGATCGATCTGTTCATACCATCGATATATCATAGACACCAATATTCTATTGCAATAGTAGTTTCATCAATGACTCTTCTGGAATCATTATGGAGATTCAAGTTTTTATTTTCGCTACGATTTTCTTTGAATTTTTGTCAAAATACTCTTATCACAAATTAATCTAAATTTTTTTTCAAAGATCATAGAAAGTTATTCACGATTTAAAGCAATACCAAAACGTATAACCCTGTCAAAACGTCTCGCTCAATGTCTTCATCCAGCATTACCCTCTGGTGTTCATTTAAAAGCTCTTGAAGTATATGAAACAATATTTCAAATAATTGATAAATGTCATTTACAACGTGATATTATTTTATATTCCTATGGATTATTTTCTTTATTATCTGATGCTGCATTACCTGTTAAACCTATTTTATTAACATTATATGAGACATATTTTTTACCAGTAGGTGAAGCACTTAATCCAATATTAACAGGATTTTTAATTGGACTATTTTCAGCATTAGAAGAAGGTGCTGATTATTATAATAGAGTTATTATATTACTTGATAATTTAGCAAATCGAATTGATGAATTTTATTTTTATACGTGTATATGGTCAGCTATACATTTTGCTCCAACAGTACGCTATTCAGCAATAACATTTGTTTTAAATCATTTTGATAAAAGAAAAAATATGAAAGCTCAAATTTATTTAATAGGTTTATCAAATGAAACAATGGTAAAAAAGAATATTGTTAAAGCATACATAAAACAATAAGAAAATAGTTGTTTTATATTTGATTAGGTTTCTGCTATTTGTACATGTCTTCATGATAGTCAACAATTATTAGTTCAACGTTTAATTCTTGATTTTCTTCTTACTTGTTTACCAATGCATAGAAAACTATTAACAAAAACAAATATGATCAAAATAATTAATGGTACATTTCATATTTTATTACAACGTGATATGACATTAAATCGACGTATATATACATGGTTTCTTGGTACAAATCAATTAAGTGACGATATTACTAATGAACAAAATCAAGTAAATGATTCATTTGACTCATCATCTTATTTTGTTACACATACACGAGATATTTTCATAGAATCATTGAAAAGTTCACTTAAAACAATATCTATAAAACCAATATTAATCATCGTTAAATCAGATAGCGATGATAACAAACCCTTGACAAATATGATGGATCCATTACCATCATCGACATGGACATTAACTAAATTAATTCGAGTACTTCTTATTCTTAGTAAGTAAAAAACTAATTTCATAGGATAGGACTATTTAGTATTTAATATTATTCTATAGAATTATAAAATTGATTATGGGGAATCTAAGAATATTAATAATAATTGTATTGGAATATTTTGTAACTCATACTTAGATCAAGAAATATGAGTTGTTTTCGGTCAAATTCGGTCACCAAATTTCTGCTTCCTAATTCATATGATACGATTTTCTCGAGTTCTTCGGTCGGAAATGGCGTCGTTTCAGTGAGAATCTGCTACAAATTCACTGATACAGTCGTTGAAATCATTGACTTGGCTGTATATTATGCAGTGGAAAAAATATTCTTTTTTTTTTGCTTTATTATCTATAAACACAAAGAATTCAAACAAATCACGTTCTTTTTTAGTAATATTAAAGTTAGAAGTTGAACATTTCATAGAAAGTAGCTTATGTTTCATCAGAAACATGTCCTTTACAGTGTAATTGATAAGACTGATGTTTGAAAAAGTTACAGGCTGAAAATTTCTTCAGTACTTACAATTAGTTTGTCGACAAATTGTAGCGAGCTATTCTTTGAGTAATTAAAAATCATGAAAAAAACAGATAGAGGTTTATAATTTCTTAAAAACATAACCTGTAATTTGTTTTAAATGTTGATATTTACAATTGATATTGGTTTGTCGATTTAGAAATAATATTTATTTGAACAAAACTATTGTCTAATGATGTTTTTAAATGAATTATCTATTGTTTTAGTCGATAAACCAGATGTTGGTCCGAATATTATCGAATCTATTTTCATGAATTATTCACTTCTTGTTTATGAACAATGTTATCACTCAACTAACAAGTCTGCATCAATCAATATTCAACAGGAAAATAATTATTCTGAGACATTAAAAATATTCAATATACTTCTAGATACATTAGAACCCTATTTTATATGGGAATTGTTAACAAAAAACTTCGATATTATTCTAAATCAACAAGAAAATAACAATTCTATTACAGCTGGGTCTACTATTGAGCAAATATGTGGTATAAGTGATATGTTATTAGATATATTTTCATTAGAAAATTCCCTTGATATTCAGTCTGAACATCTATCTGAAATGCTTTATCGTCTTATACAAATAATGAATGATAATATTGAAAAACTAACGTCAGATCAAATAACATTATTTGTAGAATTATTATTAAAAATTTTTAAAAATATTATTTCAACTAACACAAATCATCATTTATCTATATTTCGTTGTTCAATTACTCATCAATATGAAACATTTGATAATCATATGACTAGTTATGATAGTGAAGATGAAAATGATCATAAAACTTTCATTGAAAATGAATATTCAACAGATATTTATAATAAATTATTACGTAGAGATAATATAAGTAAATTAGAAAATCCAAGTTTAATAGTCGAACAAGAGAATTTAAACGATATTGAACAATTACTTCGTCAGATGGTACATAAAGTTGAAAAACAACTTGATAAGTTAAATAATCCATTGTTTGATAAAAAACAAAGTCGATTATCAACAAAAACAATGTTAGAATTAATGAATAATATAGAAAAATCAATAAAATTATATCAAATTTTTTTTCATCGTTTTATTATCACATATTTAATTGATCAAAATCAAATACTAATGAATGATAAATTTCAAAGTATTTATTCAATTATACAAAATAAAACTAATGATAATCTTTTCACAATTTTTAATCGATATCAACAAGTACATGAATTCCAACTAAAACTAAGTGACAATGTTGATCATTATATAGCAACTTTTGAAAATTGTTGTAAATTACTTACTGAATTTTGCTGTGTTCCAATACAATCATCTTTGAATGATGAGTCATTTTTATCAAAAGGTATAAATTATTAAGTCATTCTTTTATTCCAAAGGATTGATCTTGTATAAGTCAAAGGAGTTTCAATCAAACAGAATTCTTAATAAGATCATCTAATATATGCGCATGCCGATTGTATTATTGAATCATGCGTAGTGTCTTCATTGTATTTTTTTTTCTTAAAAGAAAATATTATTCGATAACAGTTCAATTCAAGTATATATTTTGTATCATTTTATCTCTATTACAAATGAGTCTATATGCATTCAGTAGTAAGGTTAAAACATCAAAATTTTGTCTTAATGTTGCATTGATACCTATACTTAAATCATAATATAATTGGATAGCAATAAATGGAACAATATTTTGTATTCCTTTCTCTTCAGACTTTCTGTCAACTATAATTATTTTGTAGTTGTTCATTTTCTTCTATCATATCATGTCGTTGACATGTGTCCTCAAATAACAAAATCCCTGCAAATAAATAGAAAACCAAACTATTAACGAACTTAATTTGAAAGAAAGTCATATAGATATTGAAACGATGACGATGGTCAATAGTAAAATCTGATAAAATAGAGTTCGATAACATTACCGCTTTTTCATTTATATCAATAAAATCACCCAATATCAAGTACTCCAAGAGTATTTTCCGATGCTTCCACTAGCGGTGCGATCGAATAGGAAAGAAGTTGTAGGAGAGAGTGTTCCTCTCTACTTTTGAAAGTTTGACTGCGACTTTTTCTAATTTTAAAAGACTTTCCGCGTGAGCTTTATTTTCCCTGTCAATAGTAAATGAACTTCAAAAAATTATCACATAACTAGAACTGATCTCAAGATTTATATTCGACGACTAAAGCCTTCAGCTGTAAACATACCGGTGGTGCCTTTAGAGCCGAATTAAATTTGTTTTTTTTTCGAAAAGATATCGCAAGCTCGAAGTTCTAAAGGAATCTGATAGTCCCTCGCATGGGTTGATAGTTGTTGTGAGTGAAAGCCATTTAGAAACTTTTCTCATCTAAACGCGAAAATGTTTTTGCAAGATAATATTGAGCTTTTTAGAAGTCTACACTTAGGTTTTCTACGCATCAAATAATCTGGAGTTCTATATCATTTTATGAACTTGTTTCAAATTATGACTGTTATTTAAAAATTCTTTGAAAGTGATAATCTTTTCGACATATTCATCGCTGCAGAGAAAATTAACACAACGTTCCCAAGCCAATGATTTTGGTAGGTTCCAGTCAGAAAAATTAGAAAGATGATAGGAACTTGGAAGCAGAAATCTAGTGATCAGGTCCCGTGGTCGAATTTTTGTACTTCTGGATAGAGTCAGACAACGGCTTTCTACTTCCAAGTTCTTTCCCTTTTTCCTAGTGTTCCGGTCGGAAACGGCCCATATTTTTTTAATCTGGATCGATCCAATTTTGACAGCTTCAGAACGCTAATGCGCTAGATAAGATATTTCTCTGATTTTTGAAAATACTATTCTTTCTGCTCTAACCTCTTGGCGCCGCCGATGAATAACTTCATATGATTGGTAATCATGGTTAGAGCTTACAATCAAAACATATTATATATTCACAATTCACTATTTGAAAAAAAATATATATATAAAGTTCAATCGTTTTCGTTTTAGGCAAAACCAATTTTGACGATTGGTCAATGGATATATGTATTTTAGCATTATGTATAAGTGATCATTTTTCTCTTCAAACAATTGCAATATCTGTTTTAATTGAATTATTTGGTTATACATTAAGTTTAAATACTTCAAATAAAAAAAATGCAATTGATATTTTAGGAAATAATTTATTAATTATTCCATCATTTACTCAAGAACAAGTATTATTACTCTTAAATGAAACTGAATTTTTTCAATATATTATTGCATATTTTTGGGAATATTTAAGTGATAAGTATGGCCGAGAATATAATTTAAAAGCTTCACATATATTATCAATACTTCATTCAATGTTACCAAATAATTTATGTGAAGATTTAATATGTAATCAATTATCATTGATAAATATTCAACAAATCGAAATTGATATAAAAATTATGGAAGAATATAAAAAATTTTTTAAATTATGGAATTCAACTCGTGATATTCATCATATAAAAAATGAAAATATCGCAAAATCCTTTCAACATTGTTTAATTTATGTATTAAGAGTTCTTAGAGAATCAAAAGATTATTGTTTAAAATCCATTGTACAAAAATGGACTTCTAATTGTTTTATCCATGGTAAATAATTACAAAAAAAAAAAGAAATTTATTTAAATATAATGTCTAAAAAAAATTTTTTTGCAGGAGATGTATGTCGAATATTTGATATACTTCTTATTATGCTTTTACATTCAGATACAGCACGTGTTAGTATACAACGATTTGATCCAATTGTTCATAAAGAATTTTTTCTTAATCAACAAACCAATACAAATGAAATAAGATTTTCGGTAATATCTGATGATGAAAATAGTGAGGATTATGATGATGAATTTATACAAGACGATGAAACTCAAGAAGAAGAAATTGATAAAGATAAACAAGTAAAATTTTATTATAGAAAATTATATTGTATTGAAATAAACGTTTCTTGTTTTTTTCTTTCTTATGAATAGGTTCGTGCAGTTAGTTGTATAAATCCTAGTGAATCTATCGATTCTATAAAATCTTCTCCACAAACAATAAAATTTCCAACAATTTCAAGTCTTTCACAACCAATTCTTTTCAATATTCGTTCATTTTCACCTCCAACATTATTAAAATCAGTTAAACAACGTGCACCTACAATTTCAACTATATTTAATCGAAATAATATTCAAATCGAATCAAGCAATAATACTATTATTAATAGTTCATCTCATTCACATCCTATGCCAAATAGTAGTATCATAAGTGAATCGAATTTGCCACAAATGATGAATAATTCAATTGATTTTCAATATGCTTATATCTTAATTTATACTCAACCTTATGATCATAATCGTATAATATTATCTTTAAATATAATCGACAGTTTATTTGATCTTATTCCACAACAACTTATTCAAACTTTATTAATAACATCAAATATTCAATCATTACCAATTAATATACATAATAAACAAATGCATGAATTAGTTTTAAAACATCGTCGATCTATCGAAGGAAAAGATTATGATTTATCTAATGAAAATAATCAAGAGTATCAATCTTATTTATATTTATTATTAAATATACTTTTAATGTTTACATATAGTTACTATCCAAAATGTTTTGATATTCAAAAAAATCGTACAATACATATACGTTCATTAATATTATTAACACGTATATGTCATGATTTATCATATATATGTATGGATAATACAATGTTGATAAATTATATAACTAATTTATTTAAAAAACTTTCATTTCAAAAAATTGTTTTATGTTTATTTAATAGATTTATAAATAAAGAATCTGATTTATTAAAAATAAAAGTCATATATGATTCTAATGATGAATTATTACATGGTCAATTAACAAAAGAATATTTGAAACAATTACTACGATTATTAGAAGAAATTATTTTACTTGAAAATATAATTTATTCAACAGATTTAAATTTAATTGATCAACTAACTGTTAATCAAACAATTTTTCTTTCAACAATTTTACAATATCTAAAACGGATTTATTCTATTGAAAATCATTATTATATAATTAGTTTAGTTGTAAAAATATTACCTCATTGTGGTTCAGCATTAAAAACAATAATTAGTCGTGTTATTGAACAAATTTGTCGAAATTTAACTTTTGTTGTACAGTGTTATAGTCAACCAGAAAGAAAACTTGAATTCAAGTAAGAATTAAAACTCAGAAAAAAAAACAAACGAGAGAAATATTTCACAGAAATGATGATTTCGTAGACTTAATCAGAGAATCATTTTTCAAATGTTGCTCTTTGTTTATTGAAATTTATTTTCAAAAATGAATACTAGTTGCAAGAAACTTACTTGAATATATCTGGAAAGAAAGAACTGACTATTTCGATTAATATGTGTATCTGTCATAATCTGTAAGATTATGGAGATCAAAAAAGAAGTACAATTTACTTCACTTTTTCTGATTGAATTGCTGTACTTATTGCAGCAGAAGTTCTTAGAAACTCCTTTTTATAGTCTTTATAGTTCCTTGAATACTTACATGTAAAATGCACGGATATGATTTTGATTCAATAATAATATATGTTTGCCTCTATTTGAATGTGTCAACAGGGAAGAAAGAACATAAGATGTACATAAAGTCAATACTTCGTCAAAAAAGAATTTTGTATAGATAAACAATTATATGATAGACGGCAAGAATGATGAGTCTGTATATTGATATGCCACAGCCATCACATGATGCAGTATTTCTGACTTTCTCTAGCAATCGATTATCGTTGGAAAACATCCAAATTTGAGCTTCATAAGAACTGTGCTAACAATTTTTTATTTTGCGCAACAGAATTTTCGATATTTGGCATCTGAGGTTATCAGATACTAGAAAGTTTGATTCTTTCACAATGGAATAGTTCCGTTGAAAGCTTGCTCTTGTACAAATTTTGAACTCGCATGATGATTTCGAAGGTTCTCTGAGGAGAAACATGATCATTTGTTGAAGAACTTACTAAAATGATGATCATTCAAGAAGAAAGAATCCATGAATACGAACTGGGAGTGGAATAATATATCAAGAAACATTTGCATTTTTACTCATGCTTGTGAAAACTTTTTCGAACTATTCATTTTCTATACAATACATACGTCTGAATTATTTCCTAAAGAGAGTATAACATAATCATTTTATTGCAGACAATTATCCTCGTTTGACGTAATCGATTATATCATTTATTTAATTCAACATCTTTCATACATATGTAATTATTGTCTTGGTAGTACAGTTCATAATACACAGCATTTTACTCCAACATTATGCCCACAAAATTGGATAAAAAGAGTAAATTAATATGACAATTAATTTATAAGAATTTGTTTTTTGAATGTTTAGGTGAAAATTAATACAAATGATCAATCTGATGCTCGTCAATCGATGTTAAATAAACTTCCATTAATTCTTTCAAGTCTTTTATTTATATGGAAAACAATATCAATAAATCAAACTAATTCAATATGGTTAGTTAAGAATATTAAACTTGTTCGAGAAAAAATAATTGAATTTATGTCATCATTAACAAAATCAAATGGTGTTTCATTTCTTCGTGCTGTTGTATTATGTTGGAGTGAACGTAAACAACAACAAAAATCATCAATAATACAAAGAGATAATGTTAATGAAATACAAGCATTAATTGATATTCTTATGAATATAAATAATTATACAACAAATGATATCATGTATAATATGAATACACTTATACGAAATTTATCAGCAACTAATAATAAAGTAAAATGATTGAGAACATAGGTTTCGTTTTCTTTACGATATTCAATTTAGAAAAAACAAAATTATATTGTTTGGTGTCTGCAATTTCTTTTGACTTATTTAGAACAACAGAAAAATGTGTCTATTGATTGTTGGTCAATATTAGCTATTATGTTTAAAGACTGTTTGTCACCATCAATGTCATCATCAGTTACATTTTTAATAATAAGGTTTAAAAAAAAAATCATTTAAAGTTTTATTTTAATCTGTTTTTTGTAGAATATTAAGTATTTATGTTAAACAATCGCTATTTACGATTGAAAAACGAGATTTAAAAGATTTACAAGTATGTATTATGATATGATATTTTTCATACGAAGTATATTTATCAACGAGAAATAAACTCTAAAGATTTAATAATTTTGAAAATATAATGCTAATCCAAATTTTTATATAATAAACAACCTATTAATGTGTGATAGTTTAAAGCTAGTATTTTATTAGATTTTCTCTTACCGATTACGAACATATGTGAAACTTTAAAGAAATGAATGCGTCCTTCTTGAGACAAAAACTATACACTATGTGATGATGAATTACATCTTTGAGCAAAGATCATTCTCCTGATCACAGTTCAGGATAAAGTTTCTTCGAAAATCAATCTTTCATTAGAACAGAATTAAAGAGTTCATGAATGGCACTAATTGAATTTATTAGGTATAGAGACATGTAGATTTCATTTAAGTGCAATATTCAATAGATTTTAGAATTGTGATATTTCATGAACAAGGTTCGAAAGTGTGTATATTAATTTCTCTCAAGCCTTCTTTTGATGTCAAATATAACTTTGACAGTAGACATGTTTAGTAAAAGTTTTAATTATTTTCCACAGGATATAATAATGAAAGTTCTTGAAAATTGTAATACAATCGTTGCTTCATCACTTGAACAAACAAATTGGTTACGCAAAAATTTACAAGTGCGTATTGCACAATTCGAGCCAGGTACTCAACAAATAACTCTAGATTCTTCCAATGAAATTGATCGTAGTCTTACTAGTGAAAATAATTCTTTAGACTTCGATGGTTAGTTTATTCCACAAAAATTTTCTAATAAAAAAAAAAGAATCATTTTCATATAGATAATTCACAATCAATGAATTTTAGTTTAATGGCCTTAACAATACTTGCTGAACATGCTGTAAAATTACTTGATATTGTTTATAATTTAACCGATGAAAAAGATCGTATCATAGGACCATATTTACAAAATCTTGTAAATAATGTTATGCCATATGTTCGTATACATGCTTTATCAAATGCACCATGTTATCGCTCAGCATCAACTTTACTTATGAATATATCACAATATTCATATACCAAGAAAACATGGAAAAAAGAAGTATTTGAACAATTATTTGATATAGGATTTTTTCAAGTTGATCTATTAGCATTAAATTCATGGAAAATAATTATTGGTAATATGATAAAAGATGAAAAACCAACATCATTTCGTGATGTTATGAATAGAATAAATGCTGTTCAAACAGGTTTATTAGTTTCGAAGGAACAAGAATATGAACAACGTTCTGTGCTTATTAAACGTTTTGCTTTTATTATTTATGCAACAGAAAAAGATCAATGTAATCGATATTTACCAGACATACTTGAATGTATTGCTGATTTACTTAAATTACCGCAAGTACCTATAGTATATACACAAATATTTCTTCTTTTTCGTGCTCTATTAATAAGAATATCAAATAAAAATCTGATTTCGTTTTGGCCAATACTTATGGCAGAACTTATACAAATTTTATTACAGCTTGAACAAGACCTATTATTCGATATTGAAGGTGATATCAAGTAAGTTTTCCAAATTATTCTGATCAAATGATTCTGGCGCCTGGATTCGTAAATTTCCGATAGCTTGGTGTCGTAAATCTCGGCGAAATCGTAGGATCTTGGAAGTACGAACCCGATGATCGGCTCTGGTGGCCGTATTTGTCTAGTTTTGATCGTAAAAAGACAGAACTGGTTACCGGATTCCTGCCTCAAAATTCCTACCATATTTCTGAATTTTCCGGCCGGAAACGGCACGCATTTCTTGACTTAGACCGTGAAATTGAACGGTTTTTTCATTATATAAGTCTTTACTTGTACAATCAATTTTTTTTATATGTCGATGGCCTTTTTCGGATTGAACGAAATGTTTCGTTCGTGTACTAGTTTGGTTTAAAATGCACAACTTTTCATTAATGAACCACGAAAGAGTAATGACATTCGTGTTTCATGAACTACTGCTTCAACAACAGTTTTATTGCTGCAGCTAAATTTGACCAGAATCAGAATAGACACTAATATCGATTTTAGATTTATCGAGCGTTGAAATCTGAGACTAGGTTCATTTTTACTTAAAATCTATCTACAATGTATTCATCTCTCCTCCTCGATTGTTAACACAACAGTTATACAAATTTTTCATCTTTCAGTCCAAAACTTTTGTTTTACTGTTGAAATATTTCATTTTGATCTATAGATTTTATTTAGATCAAACGTTCAGCGAATGACTACAAATGATATAACATTAACAAATATTTCCAATGGAACAACTGATTCAAATCCTTCACTGAAAATGTATTTATATGCTTGTAAATTACTTGATACCCTTTTGGCAATGCCCTATTCAGAATTATGTCAATTTCAACTGTAAATAAATTTAAAGTTTTTTATCTAAATTTTTTGAAAATTTTCAATTTATTTCATAGATTTCGATCTGCATTTGTTGTTGATCATGATATAATTAATTCGAATTCAAATATTGATATATTTATTGCTTTTTCAATACGTTTATGTAAATTACTTGAACAAAAACTTCAATTAATGCCAATATCTATGTGCGATCAATTGTTAATAATCAGCAACTCAAATTATCCATTACTTCGTTTAAGAACGATATCAAATATTATCGAATTATTTCCATTTTTTAATTGTTTAGCTCGGATACATACTAAGGACAATTTATATTTAAAAAGTGAACAAATTTTATTATTAGATACAATACATGAGATAGAAACAAGTGTGCTTGAAGATTTTGTTGAGTCATGGCTTTAATTTAATTTTCTAGTCTTTTTATTTAATTTATTATTTTTTCATATGAAGTAATTCAAACAGTGATTCATTGTTAATGATTTTCTATTGTATTTTGATTCCTTTTATAAAATAAAAGGTCATTCAAAAAAAGAAAAATGTTCTTGCTCTGCATCTACAATTACGACAATATTAATAATTGGAAAGATAAAAAGAGTACGAGTCATTATTTTTGCTCAGAATTTCATACTCATATGTCAAATCTTGATAATCATAGTTAGTTGACATGTTCTTGTCAGATAAGTATCAAAAGAACTACATAATCGGAGTAAGAATAGCTTAGAGATTATCAAACAAAATCATCAAAGTATGAACAGATGAAATAAAGTTTTGAAACAAAATTTTTCTTCAGTTGTCGACTGCTTAAGATGGTCAGCATGATGTGAATGTGGTGGCTGAAGCTCTGTTCACCCACATATCTATTCAAAACTCAGACGAACATTTATTTCAGCGCATTTGTTATTGTTAAACCGAATACTTTTAAATAAATGATTCTTCTATCTATAATCATTTTGATCTTTGACATTGAGAAGAGGTGCTTATACTTGAACATTTTTCGTATGACTATGATAAGCTATTATTCATTAGAAATGTTCTAGTAAACTATTTCATATAATAAATATGCTTCTACGAATGTGTTTTAAAGCTATTTAGTTGTTTACGTTTTTTGAGAAACTCTATCAATGATATGAAAAGATTAAAGAAATATCATAATCTTAAATACTTTTGACATTGGAGAAGTTATTTCTTTTATTCAATATTTGTCGATCGAAAATTTCTTCAATAAATAAATTATACAATAATCGATCAATCTTATTTTATAAATTAAATTTACATTAAATCAATAATCATTCTACGATTAAAGCACATATAAAAAAATAGACAATGATTCATCACTTGATCTAATCGAATAAGTCTATTGCTATAATATACTAACATAGAACTGTTCTATACAACGGAAAAGTTCGAGGAGTACGACTACTATTCTCTCAAGACGTAGAACAATCAATAAATGAAGAATCATCAATAATATTATCATATTCCGTGGTAGAAAAATCTTGTATACAATTACTTAATACCAACAGTTGTCTATATTAATAATAAATAAATATAGACAGAAAAAAAAAGAATGATTTTCATAACTTCTTATTAAAACCATATGTACAAACTAGAATTTTTTTTTCAATAGATTAATTAATAAAAAAATACTATATGCAACAATCAAAAACTCGATATTGCTTTTTAAGCTAAATTAACCATTCAAACGTGACAATTTCCCTTGAGTAAAACATTATTATAATGAATTTTGACGATCAGCTTCAAAATATTTGTTACTTTTAGTTTTCATATTTATTCATGTATGCATTCAAATATTGGAATATTTTTAAAAGTTACTTCTAGGTTTTTTTTTGTTTTCTTCTTCCTTTTAGACATTTCCATTTGGACTGTTAGCTGGAATAACATTTGCAACACTATGAAACATTCCACCATTTGTATAGTCACTTGTTCTACTTAAACGTCTCATAACAAGATGAGTTAAAGAAACACGATGTTGCATATTATCATATAATGACTGTCGACGGTAATGATAATTTTGATGTTTTTGATGTGGTAATAAACTTAAAAAAATTAAACCTTTTAATTCATTACGAAATAATTTTGATGAACNTTTTACTCACAAATCAACTTTTATTGGCCATAATCTGCAAATACGGTGCATTTTTGGGCTTTTTTGCTCTGATTCCAGTATTTCCGCGGTTTGGCCATGTTGTTCATTTTTTGTCTGATTTTTGAAGTCATATTCGGAAAGAGCGCGAAAAACTACATCGATTCATATATGTTACTCTTTGGTTTAAGATTTCTTTGCTTCCCATACAGAGAGTTAAGGGGGCCCATAATCTAGTTTGTTGCTAGTTTTTTGAGTATTTGACTCTAAAAGTAACCAAAACTCGACTTCAAATAACTTTTTTTATATGTTTCTGATTGGGAAAGCAATTTCACACGTCACTAAATGTATTTTAGACTTTCTAATGGCGTTACCAGGTCGCTTGGGGACGGTAACTGAAAATAGGCCTCTGCCAGTATCCTGCAATAAATCAAATTTTTCCCTACCAAAACCCCACTGTTTTGGAATTTTGACCTCAGATTAGGAGTCAGCATCAAATTCCACGTCTAATGATGCTAGATTTATTAAAATTCGAGAAAAAATAAATTTTCATAGTCCTGAGATCCCCTACAGGTGTCCAATGAACGGTGAAAAATGAAAGTCGTTTTTCGACAGCCAAAAGTACCTCATCTTACTCAGAATTTAATGCTGATTCCGAATATGTAATTCTTTTTAAAAAATATTGTGGGCAAAAAAGGGGCCTTACCGCCACTTGTCCTTTGACCAAAATTGACTTTTCTGAAGGGGGCTTAATAGGTCTTTGTCTTTTCACTCCATATTCACCCCGGTTTACTGATCACTTAAATAGTTTTTCTTGAGAAATGACATATTTATGTAGGTTACCAGTTACTTTCACGCCAATAATGAAGTTCTATGCTGCTTTTTTTTGTTCTTATCTGTGTCGCAACCAGCTAAAAAAAACATTGCTATAAACATACACAACAAAAGAAAAAAGATAGAGATCACTTCAGCCATAAAGCCTCGAGTCGGAGAATATGCTATCTTACCGAAGGATGACATGTTCGATTAGATTCAATATCATTTCAATGCAAACTATACGAAACGATTATGATACCCCCTTATTCACGAGATCCCTTAACTCTGCTCTATTTAATCAACTCTTGACTTTTATTTTAAGACATTTATATGATTCTATTCAGAGTTAAATTTTCTATCGAATAATATATAAGCTTAATCTTAAATCATAAAAATATCCTTTCGAACACGCGTGATACGCTTATCTTATTTCTGGCGCTCAAGGTAGCACAGGTACCTATCATGCAAAACAGTGAGATAGGGAAAAGGTGTGACCGATCAAGCTGCAATTTGTAGGAATCAATATTAATACTCTGGTGCACATTTGCTGAATGTTTCACGTAAATCTATCTTTGTTTTCTAATTGAACGGAAATGGCCCAAAACATCCCCCTTCTTAGGGTTTTCTATTTGGTTCTGTACGAGGTGTAGCAATAGCCTGTGGACCCTACATGAATTCTGCGCAGAATTCAAATAAATTCGAATTTTCTATGAGCGGCCAGAATCCTTTATATTTTATGAAACCCTCATGTTCATTAATTTTTTATCCTATATCCATCCTTACCAAGCTATATTTCTGATAAAAATTAGAGAAAATATTGCCCCAGAGGCGACACTTGATCACAGAAGCAAGCAAGGCATAACTCATAAAAGGAACAGGTGTTTGAATAGTATTCTAAATATCAATATTAAACGCTTTATTTGCGTTGTACTTTAACCAGCTGCCGACATTTTTTTCTCCTAATTTTTTTTTTGTTCTTCCAATAAAGTTTTATGGTATTTGACGCAAGAGTGATAACGTTCTCAGGTAAAAATTCGTATTTTAGTCGAACAAGCTTTAACGTTCTTTTTTTTTAATTTTTATTTTCATTTATCTTCTTGGAAGATCATATCGCTTATGCAAATACGACAGGTAAAAGCGCAGCAACACACCTAAACACAGTCGAAGATGCAAAAAGTTGCGCCAATTCGTGCTGAGGATTGTGACTTAGTCTGTCCCATTACGTTACGAGTCTTTCAAGATCCAGTGATAGCTGCAGATGGCCGTACGTATGAACGTGAAGCAATTATACGATGGATCACAGAACATGGTACAAGTCCATTTACACGACAGCCACTGGATATCAAAGACTTACGGCCAAATTATCATGCGAAAGGTATGGCTGATCGGCGACCAAGCTCGACGTTATCTTACAGTAAATTTGATGAATCAACCATTTATCGAAGTTCACGAGTGACGCCTGCCAACAACGAAGTGCCTACAAATAAAACCGGAAATGACCATGGATCGGATGAAGGCTGGTGCTGCCGACGCCGACTCTTTATTCTAATCATAGTTCCAGTGTTGGTTGCTTTGTTGATATGTGGCCTCATTGTCGGTCTTCTTATGCGTAAGTATTCTAGTATGTTCTCAAAGAGTACACCATCTATCTCTATATGTATTCCATGCACGTAGTGCTTTTCTCGCATGTTGATGAATTTTATTCTAATTCTCATTTTATAATAGTCTCTCTTAACGATATATCCGACATCTCTATCGTGGTTTTTATTTCCAGCAGGTTTTATTCTAAAGCCATGGGGTTTATTCAATCGTATTTTGGATTTCTTTAAGTGTCTAATATTTTTTTATCGAGCATAAAATGTAATGTAAGCTATTGAAATGATTCTTAGAAATAGTTCAGGATAGGTCATTTAAGATCCCAATGAATACGTTAGTGTTTGTAAAATAGACAAAAATATAAATGCAAGGATAGCAGACGATTCTCTGTTGACTGTTTACTTTCAAGAATGTACTGTAAGCAATGACCACAGACCTTGCAGGCATTTGAAATGATACACCTTTTCCAAACTCTTTTCACTTATGTGTTCACACACATATATTGACTCCGTAATAGTTCAGTGAATGTGTGCAGGAACGCAAAAAAAAATGCTTAGTACTCTAGCGTAGGAAACTTGAACGATGTTGTTGTAAAGCATCATGCCTTAAATATGAGAAACGTTCTTGAAACAGAACTCAATGAAATTTCAATAATGCTTTGTGTCGAACTATTCTGGCATGAGACGTTCGTCTTGTATCAGCTCAAAAGAAAAACAAATAAGAACGAACAATTCCATTTAATACTAAAAGTTAGATTGTTATTTCTACTTTTTCATCGAGAAGTCAAGCTGTCGCCAGTGGTATTCAATCAAAGAAAATAAATAAGTATTCACTTCGCAAATGTAACCATGAATCAATCCGTAAAAATTTCGGAATAGCTGTTCAATGATCGAATTCACAGCTAGCCATCTGAAAGAATAAAAAATAATCTTATATTAACTGATTTATTTTACAAATTAGAGTAAAATCTACTCGTTGGAATAGCACATCTTTATTCTCGATAATAGATATTCAGTGTACCATCATTAAGATTATTTCAATGACATAAAAAAGATGGTAAAAATTTTATGAACGGCATCCTTGCACATTGCAGAATTATTCGTAGTCAGAAACCATTCGTAATTTTCTCTTTCTATTAGTTTACTAGCAGACTTTGACTTCATGGGTGTTTCATTATTTCCTATACGATTTATTTTGGTTTAAAGAATTTATAACCACTGCATTATGAAATGAATATGTTGATCATAAAAGCACATACCCATCAATGTGTAACTTGAAACTAAACCTTATGATTTCATAACGTATCTCAGCATATCACCATATCTGATCAATCTGGAAGCTTTTAAGAGCAGTTGTCATTATTGAAGGATCGTGATCACCCTTTACGTCTTCGGAAGTCATCAGTTATTGCCACTTAGCAGATAACTATCGTAGAAAATATCAAAGTTCTAGATTACTCGACGGCGGAATTAGAGAATATATAATTTTAAAACAAGACTTTAGAAACCTTTACTGAATCTTGCGACCAATATAAGGTTTCTTATCGTGTTGGGACTTTGAAATGCGAATATACATGCTGACATATATTGAAACGAGATCAATTTTTACTGTCAGGTCGAAGAACCTGACAGTCACTCCAGGAATCGAACAATGTCGATAATTTCGTAACTAAACGATGCTCTGTGAGTTACTGCATCGTATTTTGCTACGACTTCGTTTTACATAATGATCGAACAATTAATGACCTGCTTTTATGATGTTATTTTGCTAAAATTCTATTTACCTGCATTTGTATGCATCAACTTAACGTTGTCATCAATCTCAGAACAACTCAAAAGAACATAGTCCTCAATTTTTTATTGCAAAAGAAATTTATGACTGTGTTGTCCAATAAATATGTCTATAACTGAAAATTCATTCATCTGAATTGTGCATAAATTCGTTCTAGAAAATGCAGAAATTTTAAATCCCTTCAATGAATGGGTAGCAAATTCTCTAACGGATTCCTTAACCATTTTCATAAAAAAGATGGCTGACCTAGAAGCCAGGTACATAAAACTGTCAGTTAATCGAAATAATCTTTAAATATAAACTCTAAAAGATTTCTTTTCTTTTTTTTCTTGCGAACAAGTGCGATGATTCAACCGTAGACGCATATAACTGTAATTACCAATGACGCCGAATTGGAAATCTAGCAAATTTATTCTTGCCAACACTCGCTTTTTAACATGCCTGTATTGACTCAAAAGAGTATTTTCTTTTTCATATTCATCCATATCTTTGCATCTCATTTTGTGATTCTATCAAACAACATTTTCTAATATTGAATCTTTTTGTGTGACCTATTCTTGATAATGTCTTCAAATATCATTTTAATCTATCTACTCAACATCAAAGATCTTATCAGTTTTATTTTTCCACAAATAGGAAATCTGTTTTCAGAGATTGAATCGAAGTATGCATCATCGCTTACTGTAAACAGTCCAACATTTTGTCGTACGACTTGCGCACAAGAAAGATTTTACTATGATGCCATAACGGTGAGCGTGATCAAATCTGGTAAATACCACTTTACTAGCAAGGGCCACATTGATACATATGGTTATATTTACAACAACAGTTTCAATTCGTTCAATCCCAGTCTGAATTTAATTTCAGAAAATAATGATAGCGGTGAGAAGAAGCAGTTTAAGCTCAAAGTTTATCTTCAGCCTTGGAAAACATATGTATTAGTCACAACAACGTACTTGCCGGCTGTCATGGGAGCATTTGCAATTGTTGCATCTGGCCCAACATCCGTAAGCTTCTCTTCGACAACCAATCGTTGGACAACAAGACCGACAAGTGAGTATTCAAACTACTCAATAGTGTCTGTCGAGTAAAGCCGCATAATAGCCGATAAAAAGATATTTTATGTTTGTGGATTGATCAATGACTTAGCGTACACCATTCACTATGATTGTAGCATGATCCTTAAAAAATACAGCTATGCTCCAAGACTAGGCAGTATTTTTGGTTTATATTGATCACATTTACAATTGAATAAGGTGCACCGAAATTTGACACACTCGCCTTTACTCTACATGATCACGATATTACATAGTACCATACTGATAGCACACTTAAAGAGGAAGAAGATAGACTATAGTTATTTTTTTTGTTCTTTCCCTTCCTCCAACATATTTCGGATGTCTTTGTTGAAATCAAGTAACAGTCAATTCATAATATCATGTCAAGGATTGATTTCTTGCGACCCAATATCTTTTTATTTCCATCTACTTCAAAGCATATCTGATCGAATTTATTGAAATTGAAATTGAAAGCTGCAGTACTATCGACATGAGAGTACATGTGAGATTTCTCAGACTTAGTTAGAATTGCTGAATTTTCTCCTTTTCATAATGTTTACTCACTTGTATCTTCGATGGCGAGAATTGAAAGAAAGATGATCGTTCTTTTTTCAGAAGAGCAACACATTTGATGTTATGCCAAACAGTTTACTAAAGTTGTGAATATTCATCTTTTTTTCTTACCAAGTAGCAGTTGCATCGAGTATTTATTCGAATTACTCATCATCATTGACCTTAAGTAGTCCACAATATTGCCGTCCAAGTAAAAAGTGTTCAACATCACCGAACTATTACTATCAAGCCTTGCAACTTAATGTGTCGATGAATGGCGATTATCGTTTCATGAGCACTGGTAGTGTGAAGACGTATGTCGACATCTACATCAATAGTTTTGATACGTCGAAACCTAATCAAAATTTAATTCGTAAAGGTGATGATAGCAGTGAAGAAAACCAGTTTAAGCTCAAAATGTCTCTCCTTGCTAGAAATAAGTACATTTTGGTTGTGACAACAGACAAGCGTGACACCATGGGAAATTTCTTGATCACTGCAATTGGTTCTGGGCCAGTTACTTTCCTTCGATTACATCAGTGACATTAACACTCGAACTTGAAACTTGAATCTTCAGTTGAAATTTATCAACTTTGAAGTAAACAATTTCTCTATTCTAAACTCGGTTTATTTTCTAATGAACGATGCCTTCCTTAACATTCTTCTCATTCATAATGGATTGTGTCATTGATTTTGAATTTATCAGATTTAATCTGTTGTCTTTTTCAGCTGAAAGTTGACTAATCTACACTTTTTCATTCATATTGTATATATGCTAAGAGCTTAACTTGAATAAACTTTTGTCGCAGTACGACATGGTTTATAACATGTGTGGGTGATCCAATATTCTTACGGATTTGGACTGGTCATATATTTTTCATGCCATGGAATACAATTAACCAACTAGTTAATATACGTCTATTCATTTTTAGTTCTCACAATAGTACAATGAATACGAAGACGTTGACCTATAGTTGCAAGGCTTCAGAAGTCTGCTGATGCCATGAGTTAGCCCTAGCTGATTAGTCTTTGAGAGAAAGGTTTGAGCGAATTCAATGAGGCTTAATTGAAGAAAGTCTATTTTAAAATGAATTACCCTCGGTCCACCATTTAAATCTTTGGCATAGATTTTCTTCGGCTGGGCCCCATCGACTCTGCTCAAGTTTTTTTCCAAGCACTAATTGCTAAGGACTACCTAAAAGCTACTGCACAAGAGTCACGATCAATCGTGTTCAATCGAAAATTTTAGATTTGGATGAAAATACAGTGGGTGTGGATGTGCTAGAAATATAGACACACACATCCTTGTCGAGTACGATTAGATGTAGGAATGTGGTTGTGGCAATGTTTGTCCATTTTTCGCCAACACCCAAGCCCACACTCTGCAGTGCATATATCCAATACTGTCAATGTCTGATAACGTTTAATGCCAGCTGTTGACCAGTGGATGTGGGATGAATACGTTGACGTCTAAAGCGAAGACGATCAAGAGCAATATCCTTCACTTGTTTATTCATCGCAAAGAAGAACATCATCTTAAGAGTAAGAAAAAATACTATTGTACTCATATTCATCAAATATAATTCCGTCGGTGATGACCTCTTGGGCGCAATGACATGCCAACAAACAAGGCTTGCATAGATTATTCTACTGCTGGCACAATTTCTAACTAGAAACACCATATTTCGAGCAAGTTTCATTTCACGATTCGCGTTTGGAATATGAAAAGTGATGGCATCAAATGCCATTCTGAAGAGTTGCTGAGTTGCTTTATGTAATAAAGATAGCAATGTTAAGTGAAATGAGAAATACAACTACAATGATATACAAGGATGAAGCGAAGACTCCAGTTTTAACTACACAAAGACGCGGTTCTTTTCCTAGCCCCATGATACCATCAATGAAGAACGGTTCAATCGATAATAGAATATTGATAATTCAAGTCAGAGCAATCAAATACCAGTGAATATGAAGTATGAGAAGAAATTTGTGTTTATAGAACATAGCAAAAAAGAGACGACTGATAGCTTGTAAAACATACGAATAGCAAATACCGGCACATGATATAGTGCCACAAACTGCTTTGAAGACGCAGAGCGGCTGGTTTTCTGCCCAATCTGCACGATAGCCGTAGAAGGATCCGATGAGAGTGCTAAGTAGAAAGCTAGCAATCATTACAGTTGTATTGAATGTCAAAAGATTGGTAACTGTGCGGCACAATCGATATCTAGCAAAAATGATAATCATCATCAAACATATGATCAAACCAATAGTGCAAATTATAATGGAGAACGTATAACCGACAATAAAAAATTGTTCATTAGGCATATTTCCAAAAAGGATTGTTTCTATTTGTATCTTAATATTTCGTAATAAATTACCCCACAATCTTGAATGCAAAAACAAACATTCAAGAAGTTCATTTACTGTTATATTTCTTTCGCCATCAACATCTTTCTTTATCACGTGTGCATTCGTTACTGTTAACGAAACATGACAATATTTGTAAGGTTGAAGAGTGACATTCCTTCATATGAGATATCAGACTTCTGCCATGCATCTCAAATGACAGACTGTTCATGAAGGCTTACCAGATTTTTTTTCCCTTTGCTTGATTACTTTCCGAGTTCTTTCAACGGTAAGCCCATCTAAAACAAATGTTTAACTCGTATATCAATTTCGCTTTCACAAAAATAAACCTATTGTTGAACTATTCTCAACTGTTAAGGCCATATTATAGATGATAATCAACAGAATTTCTCATGCTCTTACTGCAAGAACTTATCTTCATTTTTGAAAGAAAATGTCTATCTTACATATCGTGGTCGTCGTGACATATCACGTCTAGATACAAGAGTTACTTGAAGTTGGTTTCTTAGCAAGAAAATAACGGCTTTTACATCGAAGAGGTGTCAATAGTCAAATATTCATTGTGATAATGTTGAGCGATTGCACCGTGGAAATTTTTGTAAGATCTGTTGATATACGAATCTAACCAAATGAAAATAAAGTTTTGAGCAATATGAGATAACTCTGGTTCGCAGGTGTCTCTGAAATGGCTGATAAGTTTCTGTTTATAACATGATCATTTGAATAACTCACATTTTGCTCGATCTCAGTGATCGACTATTGTTTGGCACTTCAAACATAATAACTGAAAAGTGTCACAAAGTTACTTGCAAACCTGAGAGTGGTCGGTTTGATTCGAATTCAAATATCGCTAGCTGTTGGCTACGTATGTGTTGGCTTGAGTGAAGAATGTATGTTGACAATGATAATTTGTCGTTTTTTCTCTACTATTATACGCATTTCAAAAGTAATTATTTTTGTCGAACTATGGCTTTTCATCAACTCACGTAAACCGTGACATACATACAATAGGTTTTGTCTGGCAGGTAAAATGATCGATGAAACGATTTCATCGTGAATTCTCTCTTCATTCATTATTTGATTTACTGCCTGAAGTCATTTCTTTATCTACAGAGTGGCCCCAGCTTCTTTAGCGTAGAAAACATTGAATATTTCTGTCATAAATATTAATTCGAGATCTATTGATTACATGGTTCCAAAACAAAATTAAAAAATCCTACAAAACTCGTTAACATGAACGAATGATCTTAGCAGAAGTTTTGTTTCAGACTATAGTGAGGGATCTAGAGTGCTGCGGGACAGTCCCGAATCCCGAAAAATCCCGTTTGACCCGTCCCGCGGGACAATCGGGATTGTTTCGAAAATTTTTCGGGACGGGACAAACTGGATCGGGACAATATAGAAAAAACCTATGTCCCGAATTTTTTTATCCATATATAAAAACGTGTAGTACACTTTAACCTTTTTATTTCTAGCAAACATGTTAATATTTTCAACAAATGGCAGAAAAAAAGAAATATTGAGAGACTTGTCTAAAGTTGTTCATCGTCATTATCTTCGTCGGTTGTTGCTCCATCGACTTCCTGAGTCTCTGTCATTAATTTGATTTTTTTATTTGGTGTTGTTGATAGTGTTGAACAGTTGAAATTCTATGAAATTGAGAATGAAGAAGCAGAGCATAATGACTTCAATTGATGTTCTTTTACGATGTGTATTTGTTATTGCGTTTGAGTAAATCAATTTCTTATCTGCTTAGCATGATATATTATTGGATCATTCATTCATATTTATACAGTATTAAATGCACAGTTTTTGTTTTGCTCTATTGACTTATTTTTTATTTATAATGAAACTTTCTTATTCTATGCAAATTTCGCTTAAATTTTCTACTTAAATTAGGCAAGGGAGACCGAGCACTTTTGAGAGTCTCTAATGATCTTAAATGGAGTCCAGATGGATGACCGTCGGGTGTTTTTGGTTGTGTTATCGTTTTCTGTGCACAATAAAACCGTAGCAGTCTAGATGCGAAGCCTTATCGAGGCAAATCGAAGCACGATATTGAAATCAGTCAGCTAATTTGTCGTTATTATCAAACTCTCTATAGAGCTGTCGCGAGCAGATAATGCTGAGAAGGTGAAATGATCCACACTCAAGATTCTGATCCACGACTACCCTCACACATAGCCTTCGTTACTTGCTAGAATTTCTCATATACGGTGTTTGTCAAGCGAACACCAACTATGTTAGAAAAATATATTGCGCAACAAATGTTTCTATAATTTAGCATCAACAGCATAATAATGCATTCTCTATTTCAAATATGATGGCATTTCAATGCTGTCATCCAAAGCAAATGAAATAGCTAACAATGAAAATGATAAGGATTCTTTACATTCTTATAGCTATCATGTGACACAACAACGACCGAGAATATATGAAATTCAAGGTCACACAGAGGCGTTTGTTAAAGTACCTGGCCTTACCATACCTTTTCATCACACAGTACCCTTATTATACAAAATTCAATTTGAAGGAAGTTGTTACTCAGGTCAATCAGCTTGGTTATACTTGCGTTTTATGATTGATGATTATCTGCTTTACGTCGATAAGTTCGTACCGAATACAAATGATCGGTATCAATTGTTTCCAGAAGACACAGAGAATAATGGCATAGATTATATTGGTGGTTTTTATTGGTATACAAATGCAGTGGCAGTCACAACATGTGCATTTAGCAGTATTGTTAATTTGAACCCTGGTGTGCATGTAATTGATGTCGGTGCCAGAGGTGGATATCGCAATCATAGCAATTTTCCAGTAAAGGTTATTGGTGGTATTTTAAGAGTTGAATTAATTAATTTCAAATCTCAAACAAATATTGGAATGACGCCCATGAATGTCACCACGACCCATTTCAGTGGATGATTATCAATCGAAATATGGATGAAAACTGTGTTTTTCTCATTTTCGGAAAAGATAGTGCTAACAAACAATAATAAACTCATAGGGCACTACAAGAGTTCTTCGAATCATTCTCATAGAGTCTTAATTTGAGTAGAACTACAGTTTAATCCAAAAGTTACTACATCGAAGAAAAAAAAAGAACATCTCCGCGATATTTTAATCAAATGAGATAATTTTTTTGCCACTGATAACACCATGATTGTAAATCGTATTCATAAGAAAAACATTGACACACTGTTTGAAGTATCATTGTTGATTTCAATAATGACTTGTAAATTTTCACAAGTTATGGAAAAACAATACTGCAGTTTTCTCAACAAACTCACGGTTTATGGCTGAAACTTTTGGAATGCGATGCATGTAGCAAGATATGTAACTATAGTATACATTTCAGAACAAACAACAGGTGTGGAAAATTAATAGAAATAGCTAAGTATAGTTTACTTTTGCCCATGACAGCATTTAAATGGTTTTTTTTCTAATTCTTGAAAGGTCACAGTTCTTCATTTAAATCAACGATGATACTTCAAAGCAATGTTTATCAATGTCTTCCTTATGAATATGACCTATGAACACTTCCTCATTAAAGTAAAAGAAGAAGTTTATTAACTCAACATATGACGGAGATTTTCAATTTTTCTTCAGTGTGATAATTTTGGGCCACGCTATATTTCATTGCAATGCTTACACATATTTAGGATTAGGTGAAGAATTTCAGTCTTATAAGGGCTGTGCATTGTTGGTTTTTTAATCCTTCGTAGATTGATGGCACGCTATACTTGTGAAACTCCCTATAAGAATAATGAGCGTAGGTTTATATCCGAAAATGTTCTGCTCCTTCTCTGACCAACACTCTTCTTCTTACAGACACAAATGGTTTTTAATACCACGCATGGAGGGGAACAAAGCAAAAGTCTCTAGAGAGTATGGAGTGTGAGTGGCTGAATTTGGGTAAGCATTTTCTTTTCACCTATCGGTATTCATTCAAGCTATCACCTGGACTCTATCCATACCCACACTCTGATAAGAACATAATGATGAAGGGTGTGGGTGTGGGCGCCAATGAAGAGAAAACACCCACACTCCATACCCATATATACCATTTGCGTATATTCCATTCTTTATTTTAGATCTTTTCTAGCCAGTTGAGACAAGCGGTCTTGGTTTTTCTCTTATAACGAATATAGATAGCAAAATACCCAGAATAACATCATCAATGACTTTATCAATGTTTGCATATGAGTCAAAGCAAAGTTCACTTATAAACAACTATCTTCGAAAACATTCAAAGAGATTGCATTCTTATTTTTCTTTTTTCGCCCAGTCCTGATTGATATGATTCATAAGCTAAAGTGCATATTCGTTTGACAAACCGATAGTTTTTCTGCGATTATTTTACTAATGCTTCTCATTGAAATCCATTTAGCGAAGGGTAGAAAGCTTTAGAAAAGAGTATTTCAAATCTCTCATCTGTTCAAAAGAGAAGCTTGAACAATTTCAATGATGTTTCAAATCTTCTTGAAAACAGCTTCGATATGTTAGAAAGAAAAGAGATTATTGATCGATGCGTTCCTTGAGAGCTGACGGCGTCAACATAGACGATCAGGAATTACAAACAACAGTAAAGATAGTATATGTTTCAATTAATCAATCGACGAACTGTATGCCATTTTCGTCTCATAGAACATGAAGTAAACTTTCACGATGGTAAATAATATGTTGTATAATCTTGGAGGTCATTCACCCTATCATCATTGTTTTCATGCCTGGTCTCGTTTTCTGTCGAAAGAAAAACAGTTTCTGACAACGATGAAAACATCAATTGATACTGTTCATTTTGTTCTAATTATCTTTCAGTTTGATGTAACTTTCCAATATTTCGACAAAATCTAGTGAGTTAAACATTGATCGAACCAACAATGACTAAATCGAGTTAAGTTTGTTGTTCAACTTGAAGATCCTTGTATATGGTTGTTTAAAAAATAAACAACGTGTCTCCATTTTATGGATGATCATATCAGAGTCGTATAATTTCGGTTACTCTTTGAAAAAAGTCTCACATGATTCATCAACGCTCATTTGATGCATTCACTCGTCATTGTTGGGAAGTTAGTATCCATCTCAGCTCCAATTAATGAAAGTTTTATAGATCAAAGAATCTATTCGAATGCCTTTCGTTGATCACTGAAAGCTCAAAGAGCTTCTCTTGCTGATCTGGCCAATGATCAAACAACACGGTGGACAAATTGAAGTGATGTTTACCGTTGTGCATTTGTTTCTTTGAATGATGCTTGTATCTTAGTTTTTTTCTATTAGTGACTGATTGAATGATACTGAGTATTTATCTTAACATACTCCTCTTCTCAACAATAAAAAATGTATATCAAGGCTTGCAACATTCATATTCGATTCTAGCAAACATCTGCTCAGAATTTTATCGATTTATGCTTTATTCAATTGATCGGTCTTAAACAATTCATTATGATAATTGAAACTATATTTAATCTATCTGTGTTAGTCTCATTATTTGTCGGTATGGATGAAGGTTAATAGAGGACTCATATCCTCTGACACTCACTCAAAATTCTTTCAAATATACTTAGAATCTTGTCTATTGTTATTTTTGTATTGATACCAACTGATATCTTTCTAAGTTACGTTACATCACTCGAATCTTGTCAAAACGGATTTCAAAGAAATGCATCGACTAAAGAACTAAAACGATTGCTAGAAGATTGCTGTAATTTCGAAAGAATAACGATACTGGTTGATCGCCATTGCCATTTACGAACTCTTTCCTACAGATCGAATCAATGTCTAAGAGCACAGTCATTTTTAGTAATGATTAACAGATTATGTTGACGACTGGAATGAGACAAACAAAAAACCGATGAACACACATTCATACCCACACCCACTCTCATATGAACAAAAAGTCTCGGCATTACGCCGAACGCAAAAGCCAAATTTTAATCGATAAGTTTTTATTGTTATTTATTATCTTGAAAATAAATACTTCTACATTAAATTTTTTTTATAAATATAGTCGGATCAAACATCTTCACATTGATTAAGTTCTTTTTCTGTAACCTTTTTGCTTTTTTTGGCATTTTTCCTATTAATAGTTTTTTGGTTTGACTGAACATTAGTTATATAACTCATGACCTCCACGACATTCACATTCATTGAGGTCATGAAAGTCAATTGTTTTCTCTTCCATAGACTTGCACAATAAATCATGAACGACAAGTTCTCATCTAAAAAACACTCTAGTCTATACTAAATCATCAGAGCATTATTTCAATTCTACCATGATCAATGTAACACAATAATTGATTTTTTTTCTACCAAATAAAATTCATCGAGAGCATCTTTTGACATAAGACACATTATACACAATATCATTTACATTCATGACGTGCATGATTTTCTCTATTATAAAAAGACAAAAAACAATCATAACATGAAGAACTCCTCATCTCGCACAATTATAAAGAAAGCTATAAATAACAAGAAAATAATTAATGCCGTTTAAAATAGTTTTTTTTTCCATAAGGTCTAAAATAAAAATAGAACATACATATATATATATATATAATATTACTGCGTATAATTGAATTTTATAAAGTATTATAATTAGAAAATGACTAGAAGCTGTACATTTCGAGGTAAAAGAATCATCAAAAAGCCAAGCGATTTATTGCCGTTATGATAATCAATTATATAAATAAATCTGTCTATAAACTTATGTTGTACATAATAGAAGCCTGGTAACAATAAGAATCGAATGATTGATCTATTTCCATTGAAATAGATTAAGATAAATACACACATAAAATATATTGATTAATAAAAACATATGTTTTACATTGATTGATCAAGGTCGTAGTTGTGGAGAATAATTTGAAGTTTTAATTCGATTTAATTCATAATAAACTGTCATTGTTGTATTATTAGCAGATGAACGTCGTTTATAATCACTATTTGTCATTAATTCTTGAGTACGACGTCGTTGTGTATGTTTAATTGAATGTCGTCGAGAACAACATGTTTTATTGGACCAAAAACATAAATAACGTTTATAAAAATGACGGAATGTTGAAGAAAGAAAATAAAGTGCAAATGGATTAATACATGAATAAATATAAGTTAAAATTAAAGCAACTGTTTTATTTATTTGCCAAAAATGATTCCATTTTGATGAATAGACAAGTACACCAATAAACCTAAAATAACATTGAGAAATTAGAAAGAAAAAGAATTTTATAATATGTTGATATTACCAATATAAATCATGTAGTTGTTTTGGTAACCAACATATAAAAAAGACCAAACATAAAAATAGAACAGTTTTAGCAACTTTATGTCTTGTTCGTAATTGTTTTGTTCTTCTTATATCTTGGTTGAATTTACTTTTTGTTTGATGATTAGACAAACTTTCAGGAGTATGTCGGATATTATTATTCAATTTAATACTGATTAAACGATTTTCTTCATTTATGGAACTATTTTGAGATAAACGTAAAGAAAAATTTGGAGAATAAATAACATCTTTTTTTTGAAATAATTTCTTAGCAATAAGACAATAAAATATTGAAATAAATATAAGTGGCATTAAATAATAAATAATTAAACGCAAGATTTGACGAGTAATCATAAATGTATGATTAGCAAGTAATGCATTTTCATTTGGACTCCAACAGTAAAATAGTTCAATTGTTTTATTACTAGATTGATGTATTGTTTCCATTATAAGACCTTAATAAATATGCATATATAAATAGTCATCAATTGTTCAACAATGTAACAATAAACCTTACCACTATAGACTGTTTCGGGTAAAGCAAAACATGCTGATAATAACCAAATAGCTATAACAACTAATTTTAGTTTAATTGATGAATCACTGGCATGACTTGAAAATGGTTTAGCTATAATTTTATAACGATCAGCACTTAATGCTAATAGTGAAAATACAGATACACCAAGAGAGAGGTTAATAATAAAATTTTCAAAACGACAATAAAATGTTGAAAATGGATAATAATTAAGAGAATAGGCAACGGCACCAAATGGAACACAAAAAAGAACAAATAAAAAATCTCCAAGGGCCAAGCTAACAACAAGTAAATTTGGTACTGTATGTAAATGTTTTTGACGAAATACAATAACTAAATTATATTAAATATATAATCGGTTCCTTAATCAATACTTCATACTTACACATTAAAAGACCATTTCCAATAAGACCAACAATGTAGACAAGAACAAAAAGAATTAATGCTATGATACGATATACAATCATCATTATTTACTAATGTTCAACTAAATCTAAAAAAGTGATTTGTAATTAACTAAATAATATCTAAGTATCGAAATAGTTTTATTTTATGAGTTTGTAATCCACCTCTATCAATGATAGACTCAATACTAACATGAAGATCTCGATTGTGAATCTATTGTTTTTTCTTCTTCTTTTCTCTTCTCTTTTATGGAGCAATTCTCATTTCTCTTCTTCTTTGTCTTTCTCATTTCCTTTCATGTAGAATAATTTACGTTAAGTGGAGTGTTTTGCCATCAATCTTTAAACAAAAACATGAAAGATTTATTCATTTTTGAAGAAAAACTGACTGCTTTTCTTGAAACACGTATGAATTACATATTACTGGCACTCTAAAAAATGCTTCTATTTTCTTATTCGATGTCAATTACATCCTACTCATCTTAAAGAATAATAAAAAACAATGGCAAATCTAAAAATTTATTGATGGGATGGCGATTTCTAAATCATACATTCTGAGATAGTGTGAATTTTTCTTATCTGAACTTTGTCAGACAGTATGCATATACATCTCCGCACCATTTTTATACAAAAAAAACAGATATCTACAAATTCATGAATAAATGAGTTTTAAGAAAACAAAACAGTTAGTAATAATACTTAGGAATGCAGACAACGATTGGATTCAAAAACATTTATCCAAATAGATGCAGCTTCGCATCTAAATCTAAAAGAGCATGCATCACAGTTCATCTATTAAGCTTTGTTTTTTATATTATTGCCCTCGAAACTTGGTTCTTTTTTGAAAAATGCTTTTTACGCACGCTCTAAAAGAATTGCTGAAGTAGTATACCGATAAAAACTTGGATCTTTCACAGACCTTGACAGACATTGTTGAGATACGATCACAAGTCGTATAAAAATAACGTTTCGTGAAAATGTATATGAACCACTTTTTTACTGCATTGCTGAAGGATTAAGTAATGAGAATGTTAAAGGAATGCGCTCGAAAATAGATATAATAAAACAATCTTCTTATAATTAGCAAAAGCATCTACGTCATCTCTCAAACTCTAATCCTGCAGAGATTTAATAAAAAGATTATATCAATCTTAGAAAACATTTAAAGTCTTAAGGTAAAACGTTTGTTTGCCCTTGTTCAAATGGAAGTTGCACAAAGGTTTTATTTTGAATATTTCAACTTATGTTTATTTTTGACTTAATCATCAATTATTCGTAATAATAACTCATGTTCTATATGAATCATTAGCTGTTACTCATCAAAGAATTCCACTAAACATTAAAAGCACACCTGAACAATTATGACAGATTTTTCTTTGTAACTTTCTTGATGTCAGAAATTGAATTCTTTTACGCAAACATGTATTGTAGAGACTATCTAAAAACTTTCTTCATTACATCTATATTACGTAGATCCGTCACTGATGTTTAAAACAATAGATTTTTAAAACAAAATTGAATTCGAAAACCATAAATAAGCAAACAAAACAAGTCTAATAATATTAAAAATATTTATTTATTATAGACAATAAAAAAAAATTATTCAAAACAGTTCTATATTAAACAATCTTCTTTATTGATTCCATTGTTATTAAATAATTTTTTGTCAATCGATCATGATTTATTATCTTATTCAAATTATTTTCTTCCGTATGTGTTACAATAAGCAATATATATAATATATCGCACAAAAGAATATATAATTTTAAAAAAACATTGGTAAATATGATTGATTATACCTTTTCGAACGACTTTTTTTATTGATAAAAACAAGATTTATAGTTTTGTTCTATTTATTTATTTCGAACAAACAGTCCATTTCTTTGAGATATTTTTGTTGAACATCTGTCACATATGATTACAATATTTACGATATTTCAGTCAACTAAAATCTCTGAAAAAAGAAAGATTATATGAACTGATATAAATCTTTATTCGATGTAATTCAATAGAATAAATTGATGCCAATTTTTTTTTACAATGGGAGTTTCATTCGTCATATATTTGTTTGCTATAGTTGCTATATTTCAATTGATCTATTTTACCGATATTTTTTGCAACAGCTAGACAAATATTCAGGGATTTCTCGATTTCATCACATACAACAAAATCAACAAAAAATGTGAGTTGTCTGTGAAGTATTGCATGTATGACAAGAGTATTTTTTTTCCAAATAGGTACTTATTCAAGTTAATTTACTATAATAATGAGACACTAGTAAAATCACTGACGCAATGAATACTATTTAAATTACTAAGATGAATCAGCCTTGTAAAAATACTTTGTAATAATTTTTAGGTGTATAGTTGTTTTGTATTTATATATGTGTATCCAACAGTCACTACTTAGTTGAATATTACATATAGAAACATTTCTATTAAGAAAAATGCGTAAGTCCTTTTTATATGAGTTTGAAAATTGAACTATCATAGATAAAATGTGAAAAACATATGGATGAATGACTTTATTTTTTTCTCTAAGATAATATAAAAAGTTTTAAAAAAATAACAGATCTTGGGTTTGCTTAGTTAATTTTAATACACAAATCTTTGAATACATGATTAAAATGAAGATTCACATCTATAATTTCTCAATGCAGTTTATACCAAATTGTTGCTCTTGACTGTGATATTTAAACTTGAAGAGTTAACAGACAAAATCTAAGACAGACGCAACATGTTAATGTAGCGCTTAACAAATCGTAGTTAACGATGTCGTTTAATTTTGTTTTCGAGAATGTTTTTTTTTTCGAAGATAAGAGCACGTTGTCAATAAAACGATTAAATCTTTGAAAGTTGATTTTCAAAAATTTAATTAATGAGAGTGCATATAGAAAATAAAATTTTTTAAAAGACTCATCTAAAATATTGTTTGTCTTTTTCAAGACAACTGAATGCACTTTATCGAGAACATGGTTTTTTTGTTGGATACGGAAATTTTTATTGAATAAGAATTTGCTACAATTTATAACCAACGTAAGTTGTTAAATGATAAAATTTTCTGATCTACAAAGGATCACAACAAATGACAGAAAGCTAGACGTGCTAATTATAAAGGAAGACTATGATAATTATTTTCCTTTTTTTTATAGCAATTATTAAGTGCATCATATGGAATAACGTGACACGTATTTACAAAATTAAATTTGAAAGAAAGCTAAGCAATTAAAAATGGTTGTTATTATTGGTTGCATTTAGAATTAATTTTCTGAAAGAGCATTAAGTATCATGGAAAAATCTTGACTAAATGAATTCATTTTTTTTACTAAAATCTCTCATAGAATGGAACCTCACGTCCAGGATCAGAGTTTCCCGTAGAAAATAGAGTTTTACGTTGTTCAAAATGAACAGAAATCAATGAAAAGTGCAAGAACATACATATTTCTATTAATGAACGAAAAAATCGATCTCAGCGTAAGCTTCCTTACAAAATTATAGCTTGCGGAACAAAGGAAACATCCATGGGCTTCTATTCTGTGGGAGAGGAGTTGGTGGGTAGGACGGGGCAGCTACAAAACTTTAACTTGAAACTTACTTTTATTGTTTTCTTCAAAAATATATGTGAGTTCGACAAAACCTCAAATCGATGATCTGGTAAATCCTCACAATGAACTGCAAGATAAAACTTTTGTTAAATCTATCTTTGACTNCAAATGATTCCTGACCACTAACGATCTCATCTATATCAAAACCATGAGAGGCTGGTGTCTTACCGGAATATCCGGTGACTCCAAATGATTTATTTAAAGAGTACGACGGTGTCTGAGAACCTTTCGAACCACAAAACAAAAATCCGACACAAACACCTTTTCTAATAAATCGAGGATACGCGGAAGTGTTAGAAAGGATAACGTTAGAACAATAGTTTTGAAAGTTTAAACATGTCTGTATAATAATTGACGGCGTATTATATTTCAAATGTGAGCGTGGAACGAACGAGGAGTAGACAGATGAGATAGGTATAGAAACATTTGATGAACGATTGGAATGCGGAGGTATATATATTGCTTTAGAAGAAGTAACAGGAATTTTGTGTAGTTCGAAATCTTGATCAATATTCATTGTTAATATTCGATTGTTATATTCAATAGCAATAGTTTGCTGTTTAACATCGATGTTAAGATTGTATTTATTGATATAATCCATGCCTAAGATCATATCGGCACATAGATTTCGAGCAATATGAGCTTGAATTGTTGTTGTCATATTGACAAATTGAATTGATAATTCAATAGTTCCAAGCACTTGAAAAAGTGCTACACCATCAGCCAAAACAAACGAATAAGGATTTTTATGAATAAATTGAGAACGTTTCATACGATGTAAAATCTTTTCATTGACGAAGGTTGTAGTCGCTCCGGTATCTATCAGAATTTTTAGTTTATATTTATTGACAGATGTGGTTAGAAAAATTAAAGATGACTTCGATGGGTTTTTATTATGTTTTCTGGAATCAACACCATCATTCGATGATTCCGAAATTAGAAATTTGGACAAGTCGAAGCCTCATGTCCAAACTCATTACAATGAGTGCAAACGATTACTGGAAGAGTTTCTGAGTATACATCGGGAATAATAGTTGAATCTGATGGAGAGATTGCATTTGCTGCTTGTTGACGTCGTCGATCGATATTGGACAAATTTGGTTGATATTGCTGTGGTCGAGTTCGATTAGCATTATTTGAATTAAAGAACGAATTGTTCTTATTTGGTTGAAATCGTTGAATGGTAGTTCTTGGTTGAAATTGAGCAGATTGAAGTAAACGAAAAGATGAAGTTGTAAACGCTGACGATTGGGAACTATTACGATTATCTTGGTTTCTAAATGTATTATTATTATTATTGTTGTTAAAATTTCTTGAATAGTCGGATGTAAATTTATTCGAAAACGGTTTATTTGAATAAGTAGTACTTGAAGAAGGTACAGTCATTAAAGGAGATATTTGTTGTTGTGTAGTAGTTGGAGAATTATTATTCTTATTATTATCAATGTTGATGTTTGATAACTGATACCATTCTTCTACATCTTTAGCATATTCAAAAAATTCGGTGATAGTGGTAGGTTTTTTTCTTTCGAACTTCGAACTGTATAGTGGGTTTGACTTTATTGAGAAGATGTTTTAATTTGGTTGATTCGCTCATGTTGGGATCAGCTTCTTTGCATAACTGTAAAACTTTATTGAAAAAATTTCGAATAGATTGACTGCCACCTTGAGTATATGTTTCTAATTTTTTAAATGCTAATTCCTCATGAAACGAGGAAGTAAAAGCTCGTTTAAGTTCATATACAAATATTATCCATGAAGTAAACATTGCTTTGTTAGCCTTATACCATTGGAGAGCATCTCCTCGTAGTGAATAAGAAATTATATCCAATCGACCAGAATCAGGAATATGTGCTACATCTAAAAGATGTTCAATTTCTTTGATCCATTTGTTTACATCATCTTTACCACCTTTAAATACCTTGAGATTCCTAATCAAATCACCTACAATTGCTTTTCGAAGATCATTCGTAGTTTGATCAAGTATATTAATCGAAGAATTTGTAGTAAGGTTGCCTGGTTTATTGTCTAGTGTATCACTAATGATGTTGGTGGTATTACAATCAGCAACAGCAGTAGAATGACATGGAGGTGAATGACATGTAAAATTTGTAGTGTCGGAAATATCTATTGATTTTCCTTTTGCAGCAGTAATTGATTCATTTTGACATGATGTTTGTTGATTTGTAGTATCAGGAATATATGTTGCTTGAGATTTAATTGTAGATGAACTGGAATTATTGTTATCAAAATGTACTAACAAGAATTCGTAAAAATCATCAAAACTACGAATCGCTTTTCGGTTTTTTATGTATAAGCGTTTAGCATCACCTTGAACGAGAAGTGAGATTGCTTCAAAACGAAAATTTCGAGAAATTTTGAACTGATTGAATTTACTTTCAGTTTCATCTAACCATAGATTAACTGGTTGTTTACCAGAAAATGGAACAAAATGTTCTAAGACAAATGAGTCAAATTGATGGTCTTCTTCATTTTCTCCCGGTTCAGACTGATTATCAGTACAGCCCATCATGTCGTCTTGTTTAAGACTATTAAGCAATTTGGTTACAGTTTTTGAAGATTCAATATCAGCATTACCAACAATTGTATTTGTTGTTAATTCATCATCAGGATTTTTACAAGTAATTGATTGTGATACAATGGTTGGTCGGTTGGGTGTAGGTATGATGGCTTTTCTACGGTTGTTATTTAATAGATCAGCTAATGTTGCTTCTTGATTTATTGTTGATGTTAAAAATGACGATGCGGAAGTAGTATGTAGATTTAACGAATCAATTAGTGTGGATTTAGAAATAAATGGTTGTTGATCGTTGTTAGACATTTTTGAAATGTCGATAAAGTAATGGATTATGTTTATGGTGGTAAGAACTTTTAAAGTAATAAAGGGATAGCGAAAATAGAAGAGAAAAAAATGAAACAAAAAAGACAAAAAACAAAACTGAAAAAATAGGCAGACTAATTCTTGCCCAACTTCTCCACCAATTGTGAGACTCTCGTTCGGGAATATATCAAAGACTTCAGCCAACGTAAGCTACGTAGGCTAAATGATATATAAATAGGGGTTTTGTCTGCTTCAGAGTATAAGAGCTCACGTAAAAACAGCTTACCGTATTTTGTCTTTGTGATGTATGGATAAAATTTGTTGATGTTGTAGTTAATATGATTTATTCAAGATAATAAAGAAAAACCATCAATAACAGGGAAAATCAATAACAAGGAATAATAATAGCGACAGTTGAAAAAGGGGTGATGGGTTATCACTTGTGAGAGGAAAAAGAAAAACTGGTGAAAAACACAAAGCACCAACGCGAGATATCAAAAAAGTCCACCATGACCGAAAAAACAAAAAAAGATGAGAGAGGAACAAGCATAATTAATGATAATAGAGTTGGCGTCATATAACACCATCTATTGACGCTAACACGAACATAACACAACTTACTTTTACTATTCGCTGATTGTAGTGTTGATAAATGAGTAAAGAAAACAATTCTGTAAGTATTTACGTTCTGCATATTTTTCTTTGCCTACCTGACGTTGACATCCAGTTAATTTCTTAAACATTGACGTGTGTACACTGGTGAGAAAAGTGAGCAAGAGTTGTTGATCAGACTAAAATAAGGTTAAATGGCAGAACGTGAATTGACTCCAGAAGTTCTATATCATATATTTCGCAAGTAAGTATTATCATTGGTAGAAAAATTTAGAGGAAGAGCGAGCAGGTTATACTCTTGTAAGAGGATGAATTGTAAATTTCTGGTACAATTTAGACTTTAGCTATATTTCGTCAATAATTCTTGTTTCGTTGAACCGATTGAAATCAGTGTTTTATATTTTGCTAATGTTTGGGTGTTCCATAACTACACAAAATTTTAGTTCTCTGGGTCCTACAATCATAGAGTTATGAGATATACATTGTTAAAATAAATCGTATTTTACATAAAGATATACTTGAGAAATGAAATGTTCTAAGTGTAAAAGAAAAGACAAAAAATATAATGAATACTTTATTTTGTACAACTTGAAATACTCTATCACGTGTCATATTTATTGCATTTTTTTTCTTTTGATGCTCACTCATCTTGTGGGTGTGAGTATAGGTGTGCTATTCATTTGATATTGATCTTCATATCTATACCCATAGTCACACTCACTTTGTAGCAGAATTTTTTGAAAATTTGATTCCAAATAACTTCTGAGCTGCGTGTTAGCCTTCGGTCAAAGTTTTATTGAAACTACATTTCTTAGAGTTCTATGATTAAGTAAAAATTCGACTTTGTCTTTTTTGTGTATGAGGAATTTTACAAAATATAATGCAATATAAAGGAACATTATTCATTAAATCAACGATTGCTATGGTATATTTACATTGAAGTTTGCCTTATCTCAGTTAATATTCAGTAAAATGTTGGGAAAATTTTACTGTGTAACATAGGTATACAGTATACTAATATTAATTGCTGAAACATTGCTTCGGTTGACTTCCAGTTTTTGCATGAATCATATCGAAAATTTGAAATTGATTTAAATTCTTTTTATTTTTTCCAGGATTGATATCGACGATTCGGGAATGGTTTCTTCGGACGAATTTGCAGCAGCTCTTTCTGGTGGCATGTGGAGTCCGATCAATCCTGTAAGAGTTTTGTTCGTGTGACAGCTCTATGATTATGTGATATTGTTTTAGGAGACCGTCCGAATCTTATTCAGTGAGTCAGCTAAATGAATATTTTTTTTCTGCATCCGAAAGAAAATGCCGCGTACTCAATCCAAAACGACTCATGCTTCATATAAGAATTGTGACTTTTATAAGATTCTATAAGAAACTTTGAAGGACATCCTAGAAACTAAAGTAGGATATCTCTTTATTGCTGCAAAAAGAAATCTTGCACATATTTGTATACCTTTCTTAAAAGAACCTCTCATCCTGTTTCAATTAGAGGCTTTCAATTCTTTCATTTTTCGTGGTAGATATGCTGATTTAAATGCCCACTATTTGATAGACATATTTTAATAAAGCAAAAGCATCTGTTTATATATATAAGAAGTTTAAGCACAATACGATCTCATCCTAATCATCATAGCAACAATTTCAGATAAAAAAAACGCCGTATGAAGTTTTTAGGGGTGAGAACTTTCAACTCATTTATGACCGTTGGTAGTTTTATATCTTCCTGAAAGAGAGAGCTGAAACTGTTGCGTCTAAGACAATTTTTACAATGACCTGAAAGTTTCATAATTTGCCGTCGAATCATTCTCGAGCGACTTCAGAAAGAGAGGAAAGAAGGTTTCATTAAGAGTTAAATATCTTCAACTCGTGACATTTACTAATGTTAGACGGAAAACTTTAAGGTGAATTCTAGCTAAAACTTGACGTTTTCCTTTCTGAAATTTACTAAATGGCATGAAAATTCGGTTAAGAATGCAAAAAGAAAAGAGTCGCATCTTGTGTGTACTGCAGGCTATGATTGTCAGCAAATTGTTTATTTTTCTCCTAACGATCAAGCTATCAATATTCTTTCGTTGTGCTTGTCTCAATAGAATTTTTCAGTCATGTTGGATCCGAAACAATCGACTACGAAGAATTTTGTGTCGCTTTTCGATTCATTTGGGACAAAGAAAAGTACTTCAGGTAATGAGTGCGAATTGATGTATTCTATCAGTTCATTGTCTTATTGTTTGTTATCATAGATCACATTCGAATAGCACTAGCACTCTCGATAAGCATCATGCCAAGGATATGATGAACTCGATTGGTAAGTTTGTTACTGGAATTCTAAAATAGATGATATCGCTGTGAAATCATTAAGAAATAGAACAGTTGCAGAGATCAACTTTTCTCTATGGTTTCAGCATAAGGGATACGTTTGGTTCATTTTCATTTGTAAATATCTGTAGGATTACTATCGGCGCTATTTAACAAATAAAACAATTTATCTTGATTCTCCTCTTTAAACTGCAGCATGTTTCATTCCTCTCCAAAACATTATTTTTATTTTAGTTTCTGTGATTATCAGTAGATCTAGTACACACATCTAAGCATTTTTACATAGTCTATGATCATTTTCTTATTTACTTCTAATTACAGATTTTCGGGTACCAGATAATATTCAGCATCATCTAGATACAAAAGTTGATGAAACTAAGGGCACTACATTGACTTGGGACGAGTTCATTCACATATGCGTAGAAATGGAAATCATTCTTGATTCTGTTCAACAGCATGATTGACATTAGAATAAATGAATGACTAATAAAAGTTTGACGATTTTGTTGTACACGTCCTTTTCTCAGAATATTAAAATGTCAAACTGCCTTGGCGATAGTATAAATTACATTATTATGAAATAACATTCGTCATTTTATAATTTCGCAAAGAATGATTCATGAAATGCTTGTTCTTTATTCACTAACATTATTTTGCATTTACTCGTATTTAAAAGAACATGCATAACGATGGTGATATATATTCTTGCGCAGAGGTAGTACCTTATCCTATGAGCGTTTGGCGAGGAAAGGTTATTGCTAATTGCAAACTACTACCAATGCTTCACATTGACCTAGTGTCGATGTAATTTTTACGTGCTTCTTCGGAAGTATTTAGTCAAAAAAACAATAAAGAGCTACAAAGAATTGACCAAACGAATGGATATTTTGTCCAAATTATGCAATAATTCATCATATATTTAGTATTTTTGCAATTAGTCCATGCCGAGACAGTAAAAGCACTGTTTTTTTTTCTTGACGAAAATTGACTTTTTCTAAAAATTTGCAGGTAAAGAAGGTTGCTTGAATTTTTTTCCAAACGGCTACTCGATATCTATGTACACTTAAAATTTGAATTTTGGCTTGCCCATGATACCCAGACTCATTTATTGTAACTATTTCGTAGTACACACTGTAACAAACAATTTGTGATGGAATATACTGCACATTTTGTACATAATTTCCAAGTAATAGAGAAGGATGCAGGTGTAGGTTACAAGACAACTAACATTCACACGCACACGCATAACTTATTAGTGTAAAGCTATCAAGACACTTAAAGCGTTTACTCTGAGCATATCTTCAGTGAGAATTAAAGAACTACTCTGCAATTAATGGTGGTGATGGAAAAATTTTCTTCCAGCAAAAGATTGGTTTTCATTGCAGAGCTCTTTAGGATTTCTCTAACAATATTTTTCCTCATTCTTTTTTCTTTGGTTGTTTCGTTGAGTACTATTACGATTTAGCATGCTATGGAACTATGTTTTTCCTCAAAACTTGTCCAATTTTTAATGTCTTTTTTGCAGTTCTAAAACGTATGAGGCTTTTCATCAGTTAATCTTGAACATGTTCTTTGTGAAAAGTGAATGAATTTGTTTGTAAAACTAAGAATTACTAATTATCAATGCGTGAATAGTCAATGTTCTTGTTTTAAAAATATTTCAAGATGGTGGAAATTAATTTAGATTTGATACATTCATAAAGCTCATAGAGACAAAACTATATTTCACAGAATATTGTCTGGACGAAAAAAAATCAAACGTTGATGCTGATGCATCAACATTCGTACAAATCTAGAAAATGCCCAGTGCATTTGAAGTCTGCTAATTATATGTGAGGTTTAGCATAGCTTGTGGAATATCATATATATTTGCAGTTATTGAAAAAGAAAAAATATTAATATTACAGCAGCGAATGTTTCTTTCCATAAGAACTGCTTTATTGAGACGAATTAGGGCCCAACAGATTTCTGAGAGGTTTGGGATTTAGCACTAGACTTCTTATATTTGGATTCACTTTAGATTTAATTATGAACCTAAGTGTCGTATGATTTTTAATTCTATTTGGTTCTCAGAGGTTTTGGACATTGTGTGCAGTTGGAAGTTGGAAGTTGGATTTAGGTTTCTAGGTGAAGTTTGTTTTTAATCTGGGGGTATAGATATAGATAAGTTCTAGGTATCGACATACGCACAGAATCATTCCCATGCATATGCACATCCCACACCCACACTCTAGAGAAGATGTATTTAAAGTTTCAAATTTCCCAAAACAAAACTAAGAACAAACAAATTACACAAACGGCGATCTGTGATCGATATAGGCAAAACTCAACGGCAACAAGAAATTGTGGATAGTGCAGTCAAATATCGGCTCGGGTAGCACAATCGGTTAGTGCATTGGTCTAATAAGCCAAAGGTTGTGAGTTCAAGTCTCATCTCGAGCATTTAAGGTAACGTTTTTTTGCCCTTCACTACTATTTTTAAAATGAGACAAATAAGTCATTGCGTAAGTTGCGAAATAGACTCATCAGCTATTATGAAAGAAAAGAACAGAAAAGCAAAGAAAAAGCGATCACAGTGAAATCCACATAGAACAAAAGCAGACCACGACTTTCAATAATTGATTTTTATCATGCTCTAGTTCTCACGTCTGAACAAATGAGCAACGTGAATAAAACAATGAAGGGTATGAGTGTGAATTTGAGATAGCAGAGTAAATCTTCACATGGACATCGACACCCACACCTACCATAGTTCAGCAGAAGAGTATAGGAAGAACAGTTTGTACCAACCAATATCATAGTAATAGCATCAAAATCTGGAAAAAGCAACAGCAAGAGTTATAGTACTTTTAAAAACAAATTTAAGGCAGTATTTTCGAACCAGAGCTGGAACCGGTCCGGCAAACCGGTACCGGACCGGTTGAAAAAGCCAACCGGGCCGGATGAAACCGGAATTTCACCGGTATGAGTTTCTAAGAAAAATTTGTTGCTTAACGATANGAATGGAGTATTTTCGAACAGAGACTGTCATTTATTAATTTTCCCTAAAGGATCAACTAATTTCATTCAGTTAGAAGATATTTCTTTATTTCGTTCATGGAGACATATTCATGAAAGACTTGAGCATTGCGTAAATATTAATCAAATAGAAATGACTATCAGCGATCGTCAATACTTTATTAATATGCATTCTATTATTCAAAGTCAATTCTTAATTCCGAAGTTTACCAATTTGATTAAGCATGGATCCATACAAGCTGGAACAATCAACGATACAATTGGTGAAGTCGTAAGCCAACAGATTTTTGGGTCATGTTGCATGACTTCTTTTGTTGTATCAATAATTGCGATAAGCGAACTTCATTAGTTTATGCTTGGGGCAGAGATCACCTTTGCTATCTTCATTTAATTGAAGGTCACTATCGACACTTGTGGTGAGTTTGTTGCAATAATAAGTTATTTAAACTACGATTTTCAGTTGAAATAAAATTCAACTATTGATCATGTAAGTTTTTATCAGATTCTAAATTGATATTTTTCAATGCTGATATCACTAACGTTTCAGAGCATATCAATATTTATGCAATCCTTATACGTTTGATTCATTTCAGAAAAACTTTTAAAGTGTATTGTCCAAATATTCAGTTGATTGCATAATGAATCGATCTAAATAATCCTCATATCTTGTTGTTTAATACTTATATGGGTGACTTCGTAAAATCCAAGTATCAATCTAATGGCATGCCAACAGTAGTTCATATTTTAAACTTGTTACTTTGGTAAGGATACCTTTCATTTGACACCAAAATACCACATTGAGGGTGTGGGTGTGGGGTGTGGGTGCGTGCGTGCGGGTGCGTGGGTGTGGGTGGGTGTGGGTGCGTGAGTGTGGGTGCGTGGGTGTGGGTGCGTGGGTGTGGGTGTGGGTGTGGGTGTGGGTGTTTGTGTTCCCTCTAACTACACCGACACCCACACACCCCACACCCACCCACACCCACACCCACGCCCACCTACACCCACACCCACGCCCACGCCCATCCACACCCACACCCACGCCCACCCACACCCACACCCACGCCCACGCCCATCCACACCCACACCCACACCCTCTCACTATAATTCATTTCAGTTTGAAAAAAAGGCGTCTACTTTAGATTAAAGAGAATAATTTCGACTGAAATGAACATCTTAAAAAATTACGATTTGGCTGCCAAGTTTAGGTCGAGAGAAACTGTTGCAACGAGACGAGAATCAGAAATTTGGCTCAATGGTAACAATTCTGACGAAGACTATAGAAAAAAACGATTATTTATCATGAAGCATTGATCGAACCATGCATTTACGTGAGCTTCACTTGAAGGTGGGTCATCTGTCCAAAGATAAAACGAGTAAATAGTTTTATTCATCATCGTCTATTTGATACACCTTTGCACATAGTTTACTACATACAAATGAAGGTTAGTATGGTGGCTGTTTTCTTTATTATTGACTCTTTTGTTGTTTGATTAAATTTTATTCGAGAGCATTCTCACACTGTTTAGATGCTAACATATTTTACAATTCTATAATTACAGATTCCGTAGAATATTATGCTAATTTCATTTCACTACATGTGTGCAACTCCTTAGGCGATAGTAGAATTGAAACATCTGGTTTGCTTTGAAAATAAATTATCTTTGTGATTTGCTTATTTCAATTTTGACATCGTCGAGCGTTGTNCGTTTCTGTAGTGGTCGTTGTCGTTTCTGTAGTCGTGGTTGTTATAAATATAGATGAAGTTTGAATGTAGTCATAGTCGGTTTTAGGAAATAGAAGCAGAGTTGAAATCGTATATCGTGGAAGTCGCTAATCGTCGTTTGAAATATTTTGCTAGTATTGCATCATATAAAAATTTAAAGGATATAAATTGTTTTATATATTTTTCATAATTGAGATCACGCTGAACAATTTTTTGATTCAATGAAACATTTTGAATAAAGCTACAACGTTTGAATATTTACGAGAAATTCAAATGCTTTTTGTCTATGCTTGTACAAAAAGGTTATATATTTAATAAATTTTTCTCAATATTTTTCTTTTTGTTGATAATTTTTTTTCTTCAGGAAAACATAAAATACATGAAATGAACAAATAAAAGTTCTTTCATGTGTAATACTTTTATATAAATATCAACAGATTATTTTTGATTACTTTTCTTTGATGGTCGTTAAAAGTATTTATATATTTTTCAGATAATATGATAACAAGATTTGAATGGTTGCCAAATGAAATTCTTCTTATAATATTTTCTAATTTATCATGGTCACAGTTGTTAAGATCTTTCTGGTCATTACGTAAACGATTAGATATTTTAATATGCTCTATTCTTTCAAAAAATGACAATCAATTTAATAGTGGTCTTGTTATTGGTGAATTAAATTTATCATTTAATCAATGTCATTCATTGTTATTACCATTAATTTCTAATTCATCATCATTATTTGCTTCTTCTATTCGACGTATTCATCTTGATGGAACAAATTCCAATGCTTATGATTTAATTGATAAATGGTTGTATGATAATAAAAAAAAAATTGTTCGTTTTCCAAACCTTAAATCACTTATTCTTACTCGGTGTTTAGTAATAGAACCTTTAATTGAATGTTTACCGTTCCTTATTAAATATCAACTTGATGAGTTAATATTAACATTTGATGAAGAGATTATGAAATTACTTCGAAATTCATGTAAATTAAAGATAATAAAGCTTTATTTAAGTAATTAAATAAGATTCTTCTTTGAATAAGACAATAAAAAGCAATATATTGAATAATACATTATTTATTTCGATTGATTTTTTGCTCTTTATTTTAGAAAGATTAATCGCCATTCAAGAATTGATATGTCAATTTTTCACTAGTGAATGTAGACTAATTTCACTTCGACTTGATATTACTTGTGATGATTCAGATTTAGATCTTCATCATTGTTTGAAACCTGATGATAACATTTCTGTACATTCAATTTTTAAGAAATATCAACCGTATTGTCTGACTCTGCGTCATTTACATATTCATCTTGAATATACATGTTTTTTTGAGCATCTTATTGAACATGTACCTTTACTTGAAGAACTAAATGTTTATTTTCGAGATTCTTTGGATATCGAGCCACGATCTAATGTTGAAATTGAAACATTGATACAAACAAATGGAAATTGGTTTAATAAGGTAATACTAAAAAGAATTATTAAATGAGCTATCTATACGATTAAAATGTTCCGTAAGAGGTACACGTTTATACCTGTTGGAACTTTATTGACATTTTTATTTTCTTACTACTTGATGAGAATTGATTGTTCGAAAAAATTGGACATGGAATTAAGGCTTTATTAGTCATTGCTTCTTCTTTACGAATTATATTTGGAAAAAAAACATACTGATTCTCGTCAGTTTCAAAGTAAAAAATTTTCAACTCGAAGGATTTTTCATGTTTATTCAATACATTGTCTATCACAAATTCAGTGCTCTTATATACTTTGTGTTGTGTCGTCAGCTACATGGATTACAACTGAGAGTGACCAACTGACATTATCGGCGTGTTTTCAAAAGTATCTGTATAGAATATCTACAGATCTAATTACATGAAAATGTATGTTACTAAAGTATAGATATAGATTATAGATTGACAATTAGTGTTTAGATGTATCTTTGATAAGACTACTTGGGGTGACGTACTTTTCGTCTTAGGTAACCCGAACACCCGGTCACATATCCGGATATTCGAAAATGACTTTTATCCGTAAAGATTTATGACGGTAGATCGTAAACACATTTGCACAGGAGATCGTAATGAAAAATCTGGGAAATCGGAATGGTTCGATCGGATGTTCGGAATAGAATGCTTTTGTTAATCTGAGTAACACCCGGAGATCATAGTGAACAACATCAGATGTTCGGAATGTAAGTGTAACGGTACTTTTTACAGGAAAAGACCAGAAAAATGTAAGAAATATGGCGAATAAAAACTAACAATAGAGTTAAAATAGTAAACAGAAGAGCAATCTTAATTGTTTGAATTCATCAGAACGTTAACCATATATCATCTTAGACTGGAAGACTAGTGTATTACTTCACACTCTCTCACAGATGAGTAGACCTAAACATGCTTATGAGCATCCTGTAGTTTTCATTACGAACTTTTGAACATTCTGATTCCGGTCTCTAGTCAAATTTCACTGTTCAACCACTAACAATGGATTGTCAGAGTTCGTTATGAACTCCTGGACAAATTACATTCCGAACATCCTGTTGTTTTGTTATATTTCATTGGCTTCTGCCAATAAGAACTCTATTCCGAACACTCTTTTTTTCTTATGTCCGAAGATAGTAATGGACTATTTCAACTGGAGTTTGTAATGAAAAAGTGAGACGAAATGTCACTTTCCCACTACTTTTTCTTAAAATTGCCATCGAAGTGAATCTAAATTTTAGTTCTAACATAATGCGACAAAGTGCACTCAGTAGATAAGTGGTCATCAGAAGCAAGTGGACGTAAACTGTAATTAACGTCGTATGACAATTGCATAGATGCCAGAATAAGTTAAATCAACTCTTCAGTATGATCATTTCCTATCACATAGATATAATACTTAAAAATCATGTAGAAAAAGAACATTTCTTAATTCATCGTCAATTTCATGAATATGTAATAGTATGACTCATAGTCTAGATTTTTTCTATAATATAGGTACCAAAACTGCAATATTTTGTATTGAAGACAATCATTGATAATGATATTGAATTTGCTTATTTGAAATGGATTTTAAATAATCTCAATCATATTCAAAAACTTAAACTTCGTCTTCGAAATTATGGATTATATGGGAGAGATAAAAAATCATTTGGAATTCTATGGTTGATGCAAATTTTATTCGTCAATATTGTATGCCTGATACAGTTATTAATTTAACTCATTTGGATTTTTATATTCGTTCAAAATGTGAATCATCGATGAATAACATTGAAAAAATAATTCATTCATTTAAAACTCATCGATTTTTTATTGATCATGGATGGACAAATGTGAAATGTTCTTTTGATCCAATAATGTCTTATCAACATCTATCTTCATCTCATATAGTTTATATACCTCAATTCTCTAATAATTTAACGTAAGAATACACGAAAAGTTGTTTTATAATCATGTTTATGTTCTAGATGTTGTAATGATGTTCTTACTTTTTCATCTAGCACATGTGTTTGGATTAATTTACATCCATCTCTTTATCTCTTTCTTGAACAATTTGATGAACTATTTCCCAATGTTTTTTGCATCAAAATTTGTACAGGTGAATATTTTATTACAATTTCCAGTTTTTTTTCTCCAGAAGGGTAAAAACTATTTCCGGAGCGCAAAATCAATCGTCGAAAGGGCATGATCTCCACGCTAGATAAAACTCTGACAATATCAGTACCATATGACATGAAAACTTGTGATGTTAGTATATAATAGCTTGATTAAGTGTAGTACCGTTCTTGTGCTAAAAAAACACACAAGTCCTAGTGATTGTATTGAATTCAAGATACGTGTGTACTGAAGCACTTTTTAACAGGGTACCCAAAAAGGTACTCCACTACTAGCATGTCATATGATCTTGCAGTCGACCCTGATGAGAATTGTCTCACTACATGGGTATCTACCATACCTATTTGAGCACTATTCACCTCTATAGAAATCTATGAAAAATTTCCACAAAAAGGTAGTTGATGGGACACGTCGAAACATTTGAGAGTCAAATTTTAAAAACTACTTCGCGGTAGTTCAGTACCTTCAGATTCCTTTTATATAATAGCAATTGGGTATCCATTTGGATATCCGAAACTCAGTACATTAAATAATTTCTACTGAAATGGAATGTAAAGAACTGTTTATCACAGATTTTAATTTGTGTGCTTAATTTAGAATAAAATAGAAAGGAAAATCACGAATTTAATGAAACAGAATTGTATTAAAAAGAAATTTTCCTGATCTAACTCGGATATGTTTTGTTATTAATTGAACAATTTAAAAAAAAAACAGCGATTTTTAGGAATTTCATCAATTTGTTTTTTTTTAGATGCATACAGAAATTCTGACGATTCAAACTATCTACCATCATTGGAAATGCCGTTCAAAATTGGAAAATTCAAATTAAGCGATATTGAGTTTTGAAACGTCACTAAACTTGATTTTGGTCCTTATTCTGATGGTAACTTTGGTAAATTGCCTTCATGATATTTAATAAAAACGTATCGAATAATATATTTCTTTTAATATTGATGAATCGTATCATTAGAATAGCTGATATTTGCGAAATATTTCGTTCTACAAGCAGTTTAGAAAGTTATTTTTACAAAATCTAAACATAAATTTGATAAAAGGAGTTTGCTTTTTGGAAAATTCATTAAGGGAGGTCCCTCAGAAAAGTCGATGTTTCGAGACACAATCGATTTCGAATTTATGTATAATCTGATAGCCTTTGCAATGGGCTTTAAGTTGGCATAATTTTTTTTTGTTATATAACATAAATTGTAGAGAAGCCACGAGAGGAACTAGAAGTCTGAATCCCCTACCGGTTGACTGAGTTCTAAATGCAGAACTAAATCTCCAGTCCATGGAAGGATGGATTCCCCAACACATGAGGCCCCCCAGCGCCAAAATCCTCACTGCGTCACTAAACATAAGCAGACTTTTCGAATTGAAACACTTGCTAGATGAAACACCTTGTTTTTCGTTGGTCCCAAAATCAGTTTTTTCGAGTATACTGTTTATGCAGGCAAACCTTAGTCAATAACGGCTCAATGTCAAAGTGGTAATGGTTTTTTGTTATACAGCAGACACTTTGAGCTTGATTCTAATAGAACCTGGTTTTTGAATTTCTTTTTTGTTTAAATAAAAAACTTAGATTTATGATTTTAATTAGCGAGTTTTTGGTCATAAGTTTGAGAATTTTTCGGAAAAGTTTTTTTAAAAAAGTAAACAAATGGAAACTAAAAGATTGGACTCTATTAGGATCTAGCGCTAAGTGTACTCTACAATTTAAAAACTACCCCGATATGCTTAGCTCGTATCCTCATATTGCAAAATCTTGCCTGTGTAAAGAGTGTTTTTGACCAATGAATTGACTATAACTCATGAGTGTCTGAATTACTTTTTTACTTTAAATGGTCAAAATAATAAAAAAATTGTTTTTTTTAAGGAAATTATAATCATTCAATTGATCGAAATAAAGCACGGGCAAAATTAGTTGCTCATCTTATTTCAATGCCTATTCAACTTTATGATCTTCGACTACGTAACTTTGAATGGCTTTTACATGTTATTCAATATGTAAGTATTTCTTATGTAAATTATCTTGTCTTGTTCTTAGAAATCTAACTGTATTGATAGTAGAAAATAATAAAGAGTTAAAAAAAAATCTCTTTCCCTAACATTAGTGTCCTAACCAAAAAACTTGTGGTTGGGTGCTGTTCTCTCACATTTGTTAAACGGTGTTTAGCGTAATGCAAGTTTGCCATTTTTAGACTGATAGGTGGCTAGGCAGTGCCCAACCTACTCCTACGCTCGTTATGCCAGCAGAAAATGTTGTTCTTCGTGTCGTGTAAATATATTAGAGTTTCAAGACCGAATGTGTATTTTCTGAAATATTCTCTTTTCCGTTCAAATCAATCTAAAAAAGTATTTATTTTATTTCTATTGTAAAAATAAACAAAAGATTATTTCTATCTATTTTTTTATTTTGCTTTTAGGCATCCGACGAATTAAGAAAAGATGCATTGAACACTGTTCGACATGCTAGATTTACTCTTCCTAGTTGTCATCATGGTTCAAATGAATCAATTCGTATTGGTGAACAACTTGTGCCGTTTCTTAGTACTTATATGCCGCATTTACAAACGTTGCATCTTTCGCGACCAGATGATTTTCCATGGACATCTAGTATGTATATTTTCAATAAATAATCATGATAAAACATTATATTTAGACTCACAGAAACACATTTGGATTCTTCCAAACGTGTTTGGATCTTTGTTTGCTTTGACTTAGATTACCGTTTTTCTCTTTTCGGATATCTGAAAAACTAAAATTGAATTGAGTCGAAAGATGTCATTTATAATACCGATCGAAACAAAATTCAAAAGACTAAAAGTTCTAGCATTTGTTGATTAAAGAAATTGAACAATGAGACTTTCAGAAATCTTTCGATATCGTGCGAATTGATCTTTAATTAGTTTTCTTAAAATTGAATCGATACCACAAGAAAAGTATTTATCAAGTCAGATTCGGAAGCAAAAAATGTGCTCTTTTTATGCTGAAAAAAATGCTAAAACACGATTTTTCTTCTTTTGTAAAAAGTAAGTGTGTTGGTTTTATCGTCTTCAAACTCGCTTTTATTTTCGAAAATATTTTTAAGATCGCAAAAAAGCGCATATTTTTAAGCGAAAACGCGTTTTTTTTAAAGATTTTGTCTGACTCGGTAGTACATGTAAATCATTTCTTTTCCACACCGTCTGAGAACCAAAAAAGAAAGAAAACGAATCGACTGATCTGCAACTTTTATTCATCAATTTGTTTCAGAAAGTAAATTAATTGAGAAAGAAAAATGTTAAGAACAGAGATATCGATTGTGGATTGTTTTTTATGCAAAGTTATATTCAAGTTTCGTCTTTCTTTGTTTTAGTTCGTCCAGATTTTCATTCAAATTGTCTCGGAGTTTTGGTTCCAAGATGGTATGAGTCTCTTCTAACACCTGAATCGATCTGTATGTAAGTAAATAAGAGATGTTTATATGAGAAAATAAAACAAGAAGAAAATGTTTGCTGTTTTTAGGTCGACATACAAAAATTTTTAAACAAGATCTATGCCAATTAGTTGAACAAATGAAAGAATTTGTTTTTCTCAATATTTGTGGTAAAATTCATAAAGAAAAAATCAAACCTTATCATGCAATGGTCATAGGTCGTTTGCCGAATAGTCGAAGTAACGTTGAAACAACGAGATTTCGTCTTTGGCTTTGATTTTTTTATCAGTTATATACAGTAATGCTCCATCATAATTGTCAGAAAATTTTTGTTCATGCTTCGTCAATAAACAATAATCATATAAATTTTGTACAGAATTAATTTTCTCGTTTAATTTTTATTCTACTCTTATTTCTCGATGTATAGTGTAAGCACTGTCAATAGAATCAGTGTTCCTATGTAATTCTGAAACGCATCTGAACGTCATCAAATACATCTAGATGCGTTTCCACACACAATCGTACTTACACGCGTTTCACGATCGAATTAATAACTAATTCTCATGTCAAATAATTAACAAAACTATTGTGAATATTAGTACTTCTGAATATTTCGTGTAGCATGTCGTCGGCTATTTGTCTATCGACTGCTTTGCTAATAAGTGAAGAAATCAGTTAGGTGTCACTGCATCATCATTTTTATGTGTTTTTTCATCACCTTCATCAACTCGTGTTTTTCTATATAAAGTGGTGGACATAAATTTAGGACATTTTGTTTTTTGCTATAACTCAGCCGCATTTATAGCTGGAGACCTGGTTCTTTCATAGTTAGAAAGATCTTGTTAAGTGCTATGTAACCTGAAAAAATTGTCAAAATCATATGTGTTTTCGATGAGGTATGGCGAAAACAATTTTATCCCAGCGGACATTCAAAAAATCTTTTTCCGTATAAGAGATTAGACGTCTGATTGTCTTCCTATAAATTTATCTCAATTTCAACTTTTCTGACGAAAATTAACATTTTTAAGAGGAGAAGGGCTTAAATTTGAATATACATTTATAATAAATAACTAATCGAGCTACAATGAATTCAAGTAAATAAATATAATTCAATAAAATGTTTTATATGAATTTCGTAATCCAGATTTTATTCAATTTTTTATATAAAACCAATCATATACATGTAATATATGTCGCCATTTGTTAAAAGCAAACAAAATACCTTAAAAGGAATTATTCTTCTTTTTTACTAGTTAAACAATAAATCATGATGATAAAGAAGATTTATTTCATTTGTTTATTCTAGAAAAAAAATACAACTATGCAACTAGGTGGACAAAGTATTCTCGATCGACTTTTAGCTGCAAAAAATACTATATCTGGACAACTTGTAGCTAAAGTTGTATGTAAAGCAACAACAGAAGAAATTCTAGGGCCTAAACGAAAACATCTCCAGTGTTAGTTAGAATACATGTAAATTGAAATAAGAATGATGTTGTTTTTTTAATTTTTAAAGTTCTTTTACAAGCAACACATGAAATGAATGTTTCAATTCCTGAAACTGCTGATCTTTTAATTGAACGTTCACAAAATTCTTCATGGGTTGTTTCATTTAAATCATTAATTACAATTCATCATTTAATGTCATATGGAAATGAAGTAACAAAAAAAATTTATTAAATATTATTTTTTATTAAAAAAAAAAATTTTTTTTTGTCTTTCGAATTTTCTTAGCGTTTTGAAGCTTATATGGCATCAAATAATTATCATTTACAACCATCTGCTATGATGGATCGTATAGGAATGCTTGGTACTGATATGTTAATATATGTTCGTCGATATGCTGATTATTTAAATGAAAAACGTGAAGCTTATAAATTAATGGGTTATGATTTTTGTAAAATAAAACGAGGGTTTGTAATCGATTTTATCTTAAATATAAAGCGAAAAAAAAATCAGCGTATGTTTTTTATTTTATTTTAAAGAAAAGATGATGGAATTTTGCGAACAATGCAAATTGATAAGGTATGAAGTAATGGTTATATTAGAACAAATTCTATCAAGGTTGTTTTTTTTTTCAATCTTTTTAGTTATATAAAGCTTTACCTTTGCTTCAAAAACAAATTGATGCTATACTTCATTTTGATGTAAGTCTACTGAGAGTTGAATTAAAACTAGAATTTGGCGGTTCCGATTCGATTACCAAAATATTACATGGAACCGAAACTGTTAGATCATCAGGTAGATACGAAAATTTTAAATATATTTTAAAAAACTTTCCACTGTTGAATTGTTGAGATTAAAGATGACACATATTTTAGTACTTTAAGAATTTTTGTATCTATCTAAGGGTTTAACGATTTCAATTTTTTTCGAACCACCGAACTCTAATTAAAACATAGGTAGATTTATAACAGGATTATTTTTTTCCAACTTCTTTTTGCCTTGTGCAACCTTGAACTTGACAATTAGAAGAAACGATTTCATCTTGTTTAGTACTTCCAGAACAGCATGAGAAGCTCGGAAGTTTTTTTGTCTTTCATGACAGTAATGAGTGGGCGAAAACATCTTATATTCCATGATATTGAAGCAATAAAAAAATAGTAATAATTTAATGCATTAAATCCAAATTTGAAACAGTACATGGGTTTGAACACATTTTATCAAATAATTTTTTTTTTAGACGTTTTTTGTCATGATTGAATGGAACTCATTGATTATGTCTGAAAAGTTGCTGTTTTTTAGTGAAACTTAGGCAAATCAGATTGAAAAAATCATAAATGCCTATAAAAATCAAACTAAGTCAAAAGTATCAAGTCTCATTAGCCAAATTTCGTTTTTGCTTTTACTCGTCATATAGTTAGGAAAAAAAATTGTTTGATTGTTGAGAAAATTTTTTTTTTCGAGATAATTTGGTTACCGAGAAAACTGTTTGTTCGAAGATGTCAAAAACAACATTTTACAGGTAATTCGGCGAGCTCTATCCAACCATGAGTAAAGAAAACGCTAAAAAAATGTTGCACAAATTTCGAATTGCCATAATCATTTAAGATATTTTTATTCATATGAAATATTAATTGAATTTCTCGCATGATGAGGTTTAGAATACATACTTTACTATTATTCGTGATTGTTCTTTGTCTATCCAACTGTGATTATACAATCTATTTTGTGCCATATTTTCCGTAATTCGCCAAATTGTTGTGAAACTTTCGGAAGTTATATTAATCACGGAGGTCTCTTCATTAATCAATATCACATAACAAACCTCAAAGATCTATATTTCATGAAGATAGAAAAGATTTTGTTTAGAAAATTTCAATTGCTTTTTCAAAATTATCGTTTTTGGAAAATCCGTTGTTTCGAAGATGAAGCGATGGAATAAATCACCACTTGATAGTTCGTGAAGTTTACTGCAAAACATATTTTTGGAACTTTGATATTCTATGTATCGTTTAATTATTGTAATCGATTTATAAACGATTACTTCAGCAAGGAATAAAGGATTAAACTATATCATGCGAATTTATAGATGACTTTTCTTTGAGGTTGATATGTCAAAATAAATGATTTTCATAATTGAAAAAAAACGACATGATTCTGTTTTTTTGATATTTTAGGTTACACCTAATCAGTTGACGAATAATGTCATACATAGTTGTTTTTTTCTTCTTATCAAAGATCTTATATATCTATATGCTGCTTTTAATGAAGGAATAATTAACTTACTTGGTATGAATTGTGGTATTTCGTTTTCAGATTTGTAACTGACTTTGTTTTTCTTTTGTTTAGAAAAATATTTTAATTTGAATAAAAAAGACTGTCGTGAAGCACTTGATATGTATAAAAAATTTCTCGATCGAACAGATCAAGTATCACAATATCTTAAAATAACTGAAGTAAGTTCAGATTTATTTTATGATTAAATAAATATAACTAAACAAAAACAAAATAATATTAGCGTTATGAACAATTATTTGATCGATGTTTTGGGGTGTGGGTAATATTAATGTGTGCTTATCAAATTTGTTTTTTATTGATTATTTGACGTCATAATCGATCTGTTTTAAGCTTTAATCATAACTAACCTTCGTATAAAATGTTTTTGTACAATATGTCTGATCAATTTTGCATTCGTTAAAGAGAATCAAAAATAATCAGCTAGTATTTAAACTTTCTAGTTCTCTAGAGTACTCAATTTTCTACCCAATAATAGATTCACAGCAAATTAGAACTTAAAAGTGGCAAACGTTTCTCAAGCAGTAAGTCTCTAGATGAGACAATATTTTTGGGGAAAAAAGAATTGTTTTTTTTTTGTCTCCATCAAAAGTTTTATCTAGATGAACTAAGTTAATGCCAGAGAGAAAAAACATTGTGAATAAGGTGAAAGCAAAAACTTTTGACATGCAACACCTATGAATCTTTTTCTTCTAAAGGTACCCTTGTCCTTTGTTTTAATTTCTGGTTCTTGAAGAAAATACAATGGATTCGGATGAAGTTTTTACCACAGATAGAGCACCTAAGACGGAGAGACATGTGTTTGAAGGAAAAAAATTTAAACAAGGTTCTTCTAGAAACTCTGAATTTCCATAGTACTACATCGGAACTGCTTGTGATTCTTCTTTAACTTTGCCTGAGTGGGCTGAGTTTTTGACCATAGATCCTTGGATGTATTTTCCAGAGATGAAATCGTTCGGTTTCGTTTTTGACCTTACAATCCGGAGTTATAGAGCTCTGAACAGCAGCATCCGAGTTTTGGATCCGAACCTTTACGTATTTCTTTTATAGAAGCAAAAAGAAAGCGAGATTTTTCGAAAGAACTTCAAATCACCTCTGAGATATAGTCTAAGGTACAAACACGTGTCTCCTTATTCTAGGTGCCCTATTATTTGTGGCAAAACAAAAGGCTCCAAAGTGTAAAACAACAGAAAATGTTTTTTTAAGCTTAATACGCAATAATTGTTGTTTGCTGAAGATAGGCTGTGGAGAATTGAGAGACATTCTATTTTGTTTAGAAATGTTTTCTCTATTAGATGAATGAACTGGCTTGGTAGAACCCAGAAAACTGGTTTCGAGAATTCTATTTTTCCGGAGACCTTTCACCAAAACGTGTTAATGAGAATTTGACAATTACTTCTTGTGATAGGAAAATATTTCAGCTTCTCAAATCATTCCTTTGATATGTTCTAGCTGTTACAGTTAGAGAAAAATATTGCGTTTCAAAACGTTTTGCTTCGAATTTTTATAGTTAGAAAGAGCATGAAATTCTGATTCTCTTCAGTGATTTTTAAGTGAAGAATAATCGACCAGACATATTGTGTAAAGAGTTTTTATATACGCAGGTTAATCTTGATAACTTAATATTTAATCTTTTTTAAAATTATTCTATTTTTTTATTTTAGCCGTCCAGTATGGAGCGTAGTGAATTTGCTGATTTAGCTCAGGTAAATTATTATGAATGAAATGAAGTATTTATTACTTATGCGAATCTATATATCTAGGGAGTCGAGAAAAATAAAGTGGGTGAAAAATTGATTTAAAAAGATTTGTTTTCTTATGATTCTAATATATAACTTTCGATGAATATAATAACTAATATGAATGTTTTGTTTTCAATTCTAGGCTCCAAATAGTCTTTTAGAATCATTGGAAAATCATTTAGCTTATCTAGAAGGCAAAAAACCGTCACCACAATCATTAGTCTCAAAGTAAAATTAAAAGATTTGTATATCATATGTTTCGTTTCTTTTTTTTTTGTATAGAAAATTAATAGAACAAGATATAAAGAATTTTTCAGATGATTTTGTTACTCATGTTAATAATGATTCACAAAAAATTCTTCAAGAAGAGGCGAAAGCAATAGCAAAATTTAATATGGTATGTATAGTTCATTTGTTTTAAAGAAAGCTAGCATTATTTTTTTTTTGAATCGAAAATATCAATGAAGCGGCTATGAAAATTCGATTGACAGCTTCCGTAAACTACAATAAATTGAAGCATTGCATTTTCGCTAGCTCATATCATGTTTGAAAGACGAATAAACAATTAAATATCACACATTTTAATGCTAGTAAGGTTATTCAAAAAGTTACGAAACATTGAAACCATTTGTAAAGGACAGGGTGCGGTTGAAAATAAGTGTGGATGCAGTGAGTTTGACAGGATGCGTTTTGTTTCCAAACCGTTATTTCTCGTTTCGTACGCATCTTTCCTATACCCATTTCGTCCAAAAATAGTGTTTGGAAATAAGCTTTTATGTCTTAAAAATGATTTTCTAAGTAATATAAGATCATCTCTAAGCGGTTGAAAGTCGTATGTCCGTCTGTCTATGTGCAAGCTCACAACTTCGTAGACAGGAGAGAGGGTTCAAACATCTACGAACATTTGGAGAATTTTTCGCTTTTTTAAGCATTAATAAAAAAATATTTCTAGAACTCCCATATAATTATTTTCAAGAAAATAATAAATGTAAGTTTAAATCGAGTTTTTTACGTCCTATCTTTCCTCTTCCTAGGTTCTACCAACGGAAAAAAACTGCTGAACGGCATTAGCCATAATGCTTAGGCTATTCTAGAACATTCCAAAGTCTTCCTTGAAATTTCTATGACTGGAATATGTTCTAAGTAGTGCTGTTTTTGATTTTGTACAGATAAAAGTTTACATTCAAGATGTTAAGAATGAAAGATAGTGACTGATTGGTGTGCCACAGCTTTTATATGATCAACCTGAAAAAGCTTGAACTGATCAAGTTATAACTGTAGCAAATAATCAATATCAATATTTCTGAGTTTATTGAGATGCACAATAACACGTCGAGATCTGCTGTGGATATAATGGATATGCACGAAAGATTTGTTTTCAGTTTATTACATGATTACAATAATAATTATGTAAAATTAAGAAAAACTAACGAGTGAATAACAGCAAGTCAAATAAAAAATGAGGTGCCAGTAAAAAAAACTTCAAAATATAGAAACAAATAACATAGATCGATTATCTTTGGAAATCAACTATAATCTACTAGAGAGTTTTCATTGCACGTATTTTGTATTAATATAATGAGTCTAAAGAACATATATGAGTTGAAAATTTTAGCCTTAAAATAGTTGCGGTGACAAGCTTTTTTTTGAATCGGACGTTCATTAGAATGGTAAGGTGTTGGTCTAACACCGAGCGGGCGTCAAAAAAAGCGACTTTTAATCTAACGTCTTTTCTGGGTTGTCCTATTGATTGTTGGATTTCTCTTATGAATTATTTGTGACAATCAAAATTTGAGTCTTAACAATTCAAATTATACATTAGTTTTCATTCGATTAAAAAATCCAGATATAATCAATATTTATGTATGGTATCTTTAGGAAAAAGAAGCTTCATCTCCACCCCTAGTTTCTACTCAAACAACGATAACAACAAATGAAAATATTTTTGATAGTACAGATTTCTTTTCTCAACCACAATTATCAAATGGACAACAACAACAAAAACAACAACAATTATTATTTACGGATGATATATTTACAATAGCTACACCATCATCTCAAACAAGTACGATTACATTTCCGACGTTTCAAAATATTTTTGATACATCGACATCGACATCAAAACGTAAGTGAAATTTACTTATTTTTAAATATTAAAATTTTGTCTTATATATTCTTATTCAGCAAATGTTTTGGGAGATGTTCTTCAACCAACTTCAGTATCAACAAATAAAAATACTAGTTCAATTCCATTATTGACAAATACTCAAAAGATTCCAACGATTACTAAACCGCTTCAATCGGGTGATCTTAATTCATCACTTAATCAATTAATTGACCATCTGAATGTAAAAGATTATACGAAAATTGGGTAAGAAACTTGTTTCTGATATTTATTCTTATTATTTCTATTGGTTGAGTATGTATTTTCTAATAGGAAAGATCATCAATGGACACCAAATGATGGAAAAAATCAACAAATAATTGGTCTACCCGCTGGAACTACAAATACACCTGGAACAACATGGTCGAATCCTTCCATAATGAGTACACCATTTAGTAGTGTAGGTGACTTTACTAAATACAAAAAAAATTAGAGAAAGTTTTTCTGTTTAGATGACTGTTCAATCAGGTCCTATGTGGCAACAACCACCATCTACATCATCGATGAATAATCCTTTTGTTGTATCTAGTGAATCATCAGTATGTTCGAATCATATGATCGAATAATTTAAAATAATATATTATTTTAGAAAATGGGCTTCAATAGTATGAGTGATCAACCGACGAATGTTAATACAAATCCATTTGCTGCTCAAACATTGTATGGCACTACTGTGGTTAATCAACAACAGATTGATAATCCATTTGGCGATCTTTAATCAACAGATATATATACGTATATGTATTTGTATGATCGAATGACCAAATAAAAATTTAAATAATCGTTCTATATATTATGTGCAATTCACTTAATCATACGAGAAACATTCGACATCTTTGCAAATCTACAATTATCTTTTCACTCAGTCTGTATCTTTTTTTTAATACAATTTTTTTTTCTAAATTTTTTTGTATGTAATTTATTTTACTTTTTCTATTCATTCTACTGTGATTACTTATTTCTAATTATCTATTTATGATTGTATATGTACGTATGAAAATTATGTGTTTTCTTCGTATATGATCCCGGTTTGTCTTGGTATATTAAAAAATGAGGGTTATGTTCATAAAATAAATGTGTATGTGTGTGTTTTCATTGGTAATTGAACTTTTTTCTAGAATTTTTTTTTCTTCAAAAAAACAAAAAATTTCTATTAATTTATAATTTTTCTTTTTCCAACAGAATACTTTTGAATCATAATTGTAAACTTTCTTTTTCGGTTGATTAATACTTTAACTTGTCGGATACTATCATTTTCGAGAATAAACGATATGAACGATTAAATAAGTTTTTTTTTTTAAATAATTGCCAACGTCAAATAGTATTTATTGAATGTTACAATAAAATATTCTTTTATAATGATAAAAAATCATTTTTAACCATAAGAATTAGCATAAAAATTAAAAATAATCATCATAAAGACTCAAATATTATTCTGAAGAAAAAAAAAGAAAACATAAAATTGTTATTTTTGGCTTTTCTTTTTCGTTGGTAAATAACTGTCTTGACGAGAAAGAAGATTTTTTTTCCTATGATATTGCATCTTAAAAGTGATAAGATAAATCTCATGAATATGTTGCTCTATTTAACATAGAACGAATAACAGTTTGCTTCACTTCTTCGTCAACAAAAGTAAGTGTTAAGTATTGTAGCCATTTGTTTCTCGTTATAAACACAATTCGTAATTCGTTTGCATCCGACATTTTATTTGATGGAAATAGATACAAACGAATTATTATCCTCAGAGTATTATCGATTGATAAATTCGATATCTCCTCAGGATGGCGTATAGATGCACAGATTCCAATTCCTACTTTTCACTTGACATCGATCGAAATTTGTTTCAGGCGACCTTGAAAATGTTGGAATCAAATTATTAATTGATGTGAATATATGCAAAATTAGTAATTTTACAATAGCCAATACTAATTAATTTCAATTGTTGGAAATGGTCGGAACCGAAATTGATACATTCCTAGGACGATGATTACAGGCGTTGAGACAGTCAATAATGATACTGTATACTATCGTTTCATACAATATATGGTCATAAATAGCTAAAAATTGACGTGTGGTATATGCAGTATTACAATCGTATTCTATCATGCTACACACAGTTAATAAACAGTCTGAAAATCGATTATCCGATCATTACCATATATTGAAATACAGTCGTAATAGAACACCTACCAAACATCGAAGAAACCATCTAAAACCGCCATTTACAATCGTGTTCATTTGACACAGGTTGTCTAAACAATATCAAAAATTAGTTTTTTGTATTGTGAGATATTTGTATTGTTTGGATTGTTTGAGTCAGAATGTCTAAGATATTTTCTAATAGAAAATTTATAATAAGGAAACATATTTAGATAAATATGAATTTGTCAAGCTATGTTTTTATAAATATATTTTGTATATTTCTAAAAACTAGTGATGACCTTTTGTTCTATTTAATTTCAAGTTTATTATACGATTTTTGTTTCAGTTTTAGTTTAATATTAATTATTAATGGATATTTCAAAAGAACTTATTACAAATAATAGCGACATCGATGATGATTATCTCTGCCCTATTTGCTTTCATTTGTTATGGAAACCAGTTGAATGTCAAAATTGTCAACGACTCTTTTGTAAGATATGTATTGATAAATGCTTGAAAGATAAACCGAATATTTGTCCTCTTTGTCAACATTATCAAGAAAAACGTTGTTCACATATGTTTTATGCTTTATTATGCGACTTAAAATTGAATGTGAAAACAAACAAAACGGTTGTAATGATATATTATTATATGAATCACTTGAAAAACATCAACAAGAACAATGTCAATATCAAATAAAGATATGCCATGGTTGTCAGAAGAATATATTAAAAAAAGATTTAGATCAACAGGAACAAATCTGTGGTGAAATCAAAATCGAATGTAAACGATGTAATCTAGTTTATAAGCAGAAAGAAAAACATGAACAATTAGATTGTTTAATTAGTATGGTTGAGAAAAATGATAAGAAAGTCGAATCGTTAGAAAAGTTCGTTGAAAATCTACAGCAAAACGTTCAGAAAAGTCAAGCTACCATTGACAACCTACAACAAACTCTACAGAAAGGTGAAGCTGCCGTGAATTTACTGGTTTTCAGGGAGCCATCGAGCATTGTTCATGATGTACCATTGTCATCGTTAAGTCCTTCATGGAATATCTGTCACATATATATACAGACCCGAGACCGAGAAATTTAGGATGCCGAATCAGCTATTTCTGAACCTTGTTTGGTGAATATCTCTGCCAAACGTCATGATATAGAACTGAAAATTTTAACATAGCTTCTCCATTACAGCTACAACGGATTCTCCAAATGTCATGGCATTAGAATGTTCCTGGGCTGAGATCGATTTTTGAGAGTGGAGAGACCATAAGGTTGAGTCATGTGTGTTTAGTCTATTTTGAATGTATCTATTTATAAGATTTATATTTCAAATTCAAATACCTAAATCAATACGACGACGATGCATTTGTGTATATAATTTCCATATTGCATCTGGATTTATATCGAGATCTTTATCGATGTATGCATCAGCAAAGAAATAAACAATTCAAAAAAAGTAAAATTTCAATGGGCAAAGCCTTACGTTCAAAAATTACAATGGGCAAATCTTAAAATGAAATGAGCAATTGCCCGTTTGCCTTCCCCTTGGATATGCCACTGCCCATGCTAGATTTGATTGATTTTTCATTTAAAAAAACAATTCTCAACAGAAATAACAACCTTCTGTCCATATTTTCATCAGCTTCATATGATACTGTACTCTCAATTGAGCAGAAACAACCTACTGAGATAAGGGTTCGTCATGGATTTTCGAACCGTTATGTGTACCATTCTATTTCTGTTTACAATATCATTTTCAGCAACATAAGGAGATAGAGAAAGAAAACTTTCAGTCGTCACAAAATGAAAGCGAAGCGCGATGCGATATAAGAAATACAAGAGGGAAAAAGCAGATTTTGGTATCGAAGATCTCTCGAAATCTTTTGAAATCTTAAAATCTGCTTTTTCTCAATTGGGTACGCCCCTGGGAAAATATTATTTCCAACCCTGTATAACCAATCGATTTCAACAACTGACGATTTGTTTGTTTCATTATTGTAGTGTTCTCTGATGTTTATTGCAACTTTTTATGACTCATCTACCTAAACACGGACAAAGTCCAAGAGTGAAAATATTTTATTTTTCAGATTGATAATATCCTGAATAAATCTTTTCAAATTATCGAATGTTTTTTATTCGAGCGTTATAAGAAAATTGAGTTTTTTCATTCTAATCTTTGACAAATATTTGTCCTGACTTCTGCTGTACGCGAGAAAGTTTTGAAAATATATGAAATCTGAAATTAACTTTATAGAAATCATTAAAATGTATCTCCAAATTATAAAAAAATACTATTGTGGTTTCACCTTCTCAATTCGCTACGACAAACGTCTATGAAATTCATTGCTTACTTTTTCTAAAGCAAAATATATAAATCAGAGTATCAATTCTATGCTGTATTAACCCTTGAAAGTCGAAGGAAGTTTTCTTGACAATGAGAGGAACTTGATGAATAGATGAGAATTTCTCGACTTTCAGTATGATTATGTTATGATTAAAAGAAATTTCTTTTCTTTGTATAGGGATATAAAATGTCCACCATTGGAAGGAACATTCGGCTCGTGGAAGTTAAATCACTTTTCCTACGATTAAATCGCAAGATTCTTTCTTTCTTTCATTTGAAAGTATATTTTTTTTTATCTATATAGAATAGAAAATGAGGCAAAGCTGTCAAAACAGTCTTTGAAATTAATCATAAGATAATATTGATCGAAACTGATCTTTTCATGATGCTACACCTGCCATGTAATTAGAAATATTTAAGTAAACAGTTTTGTCTTTCACAGAGAGATATATCAATCAGCTAGCTTTTCCAAATCGTCTTTTACTCGTATGATAATAAGAAGTAATATAGATAGATTCGAACTGACATCCTTTGTTTCTGAAAGAAGTACCGCATGATTATCATTGATTGGTTTTTCGCTCTTCTTCGTTTGATATAACATTATGAACAAACTAAATATAGAAAAAAATTAAACGAATTGACATCATCAATACATCTTTTCTTGATATTCTTTTTCATATATCTTGAACTGAGCAGACGTTTAAATAATATTTCATTTTATCTTCTTGTGTCAGTATTGCTCATAGACTGTTAATTGTGAAATATAAAAGATATTCTCTTGTAGATATTCACTCATTTGATATTTTCATTAGTTAAACTAAACTCAATTGTGCGAATATTATCATTATCTATTCTCATATTTTCTAGAAATGAATGTAAATACTCATTTGGAAGATTTATCAAATGAGATATTCTTCGAAATATTTGATTATTTACATATATTTCATATGTTTACTGGCTTCACTTTATTGAACAGACGAATATCGTCTGTTTTACAATCAATTCCAGTTCATATTCTTATTTCAAGAGAATATTGTCAACATCAAATTGATTTTCTTTCTTTTCACCTTACTTTTCATGAACGTCAAGTTATCTCAATAATAATTTTCGATACCATTCCTGCTGATTCATCAATTATTAGTTTATTATTTAATCGACACAATTTTTCTAATCTAAAATTATGTAAACTTCTGTCAATTAATTCAACGGCTAGACTTGGTAATGTTATTGAGCAAATTCAAAGTCTTAATACACTTGTTATACTTAAAATTTCTCAACTAGAGGGTGACTACTTAAATGAAAATAATAATGATGAATTGACTCGAATGATATTGACACACAAATCATCTTCTCTTCGTTCAGCGTGGAACTTCAATATGTTTGCCAGTACTGAAACATATCAAATTATACATCCATAGCTTCAAATCTTATCTTACTTTACGGATTACTGGTTCATCTTCAACTATATCCATTCGTTCAGCTTTACGAGTTTTTCATCTTTGTCATAAAATACGATATCTATGCATTCTATTATACAATGACGAACGATTTGAAAATAATAATATTAAGTAAGTTGCCAATGCAGTAAATATATTCGGATAAACATTCAAAAGATAGATTTTGTTTTGTTTCAGTGCTCCAAATGATCTGCCACCTATGAATGAAAGTGATCTACTTACATTATCATAATTGACATCTTTCGAATTAATGATTGGTACTATATGTGATATTTGATCGATTTCGTAAATTTTACGTTGTATGCCTAATCTCAAGCATTTTTATTTTCAACTTCTTGTACAAACATTATTATGGTCATTTACTAATCAATATCTTGATGGATATGTATGGCAACAAATATTGAAACTTTATCTTCCATGTTTATCTAAATTTGAATTTCATATGACTATCAAGAAAAGATCACCAAAATTAGATTTAGATTTTGTTGTTAATTCATTTAATTATTTTGTTAACAAATATCCTATATTGGGGCATGATTATTGATCGATGGATATATGGTCCTCGCCTTCGAGGTAAATAAAATTGTTTCAAGAATTAAATAAGAGTATGAATATGAAACAACTAAATTTTAATTAAGAGGCACATTTATTATACATTTTTTCTTTTAGATGGCTTTATTATATTACGAACATTGAATTATACCAAAGGCAAATTAACTGCAAAAGTAAACTTTCCTTTTGTTACTTGTAGAACATTTGAAACACGATCAACGAGAAAAACAATAGATGATCATCATTCTTTTTATTTGATATCACAAATTTAAAATTATACATAGAAAATGAAAGATCTAACGTTAATTGGTCTTCTTCTTTATTTCAACATATTACTGATCTTCTCGTAGAAGTGCCAATAATACAATTATTATGGTGAAACAACTTATTCAATATTGGTAAGAAACAGATTTTCTATCAATTTATTTGATCAGAATAATTCACTTTATACCGTATAAGAATGAATGTTATTTGATGTTTCTAGTTGATTTTCAACAAACAAATGATGGCAATAACAATGCACAACAAAATCTTACTTATGTATCACGTTTTGTTCATTTATCAAATGTAACCAAACTAGAATTTCAATCAACATTTCATGTTAATCGATGGAAATATATTCAGTTTATTCTACAGTATGCTTATTTACTTTCGAAAAGAAAATATTTCTAATATATTTTTTCTAGCATGTTCAAATGCGATTAGTCTTATAATTAATACTGCATTATTACTGTTACCAAAACTAATTGACAATTCATCTCTTATTTCGATTTTCAAACAAATTAAAATGATCGAATCAATAACAGCAGAAATCTATTTTCCTTCGAATTTTGCCTTAAAGCTTGTTCAACGTTTTCCATTACTTAGTCATTTAGAACTTCAAGTATATTCATTTGATAATTGTGTATTTATTATTGAAATGGTTCTCATTCGATTGGAACAATTATCTTATCTCAAAATCTGTTATGATCAAGATACACATTACTTGATGATCCTTTTTCACGTGAATATATCATTACAAAACGTCGTCAAGCATTTCCCGTTAACATTATTGATGAGCAAATGGTTAATGTCAAAAATAATGGTCAAGTTATTGAAATTTGATTATCACGATTTGGTTTTTGTAAGGATTTGTTTTTGATTAAAAAATCAAATAATTTTGGAAATAAAAATATGGTTTTTGAGTCAATTTACTTAGGGTTAACCAAAAGTTCTAAGAACATTATATAAAAATATAAAAATAAAAACATGCTCAATTTTATTTTCTGAAATATTCAAGATAGTTGTCCTGATTCTTGATACAAGGTCCAACTATATTTATAACAATTAACTAAAAGCTATTTTGAATTCATTTTCTGAAATATTTTAAACTACTGTGTAAATCGCATGAGTAAATTATGTTTCATGTATCTCATCAGTTAAGTGACGTTTGACATACTATTACTTATTTAACAGAAGAAAGTATTAATATAATGCCACATCTCCATATTAGAGAGACCTTTCACTATGTAATCTTTGGTCAAATAATTATATCGAACGTAGTTTAGGTGATTAAATATTTAAAATATAATTCGCACATGCGATTTCATCCGTTATTCAAAATGTTTCAGAAAAACTCTTAGTTAATTGTTAGAAATAGTTAAACTTTGTATAAATAATCAGGATAAATATTTTGAACATTTAATAAAATTAAATTTAATATATCTTTTTATTTTTATATTTTTACATAATGTTCTTAGAAGTTTTGGTTAACCCTAAGTAATAGTGTAATCTTCGAATGATTATTCACTCCAAGTTCGTAGTATCCATATAAGTGAAGAGGAAAGTGCAAGTTACATTTTAATTACGAAAAAATTTTAAAAAATGACTATTTACTGTGTAATATGGGATCAGACTGATGTCAAATCTTTGTCATTGTATTGTAGTGACTAGGTTTGTTTTATAGATTCGATGTTCTGCTATATTCCTTTCGTAAAAATTTACAAAATTTTGTTATTTTATTCAAGATTTGAGAACCGCTCGAGTTCTGAATAAGAAAATTAATCGTACGAAGACAATGACAAAATACTGATATGATAGCCATCTGAGGTAGACCTAATCTCAGTATTGTTCGTTGGGTCCGAGTTCGGAACCGACAGAATGGATACCTAAATTGAAAAAAAAAGAGACAATTATAACTTGATTCTCTATTGCTCGTAAATGACAGACTATGCGTATTATTGAATATGTATGGTTTTCCTCGATCAGTTTTGTTTCAGATCATCTTGAAAGGTATACACCGTGCATGTAATAAAATAACTAAAAGCTTTGGATTGCATCGTACTGCCATATTCTCTATTATTCTAATATAATCGTTTGTATAAAATATCTCGATCAATAACAAACATTTCGGTTAATATATAAATTTAGAGTAGCTGTATTATTGTATCTTATATGCCTGACTTCTCGCTTTTTGTCTCTCAATAAAAGCTGGGAACCAGATATTGTTCCGTGAAAAATTGTTCTTGATATTCTTTATAAAATAAATAGAAAACGAATAACTCGTAAAAACAGCTTGATTTAATTCGAAATCACGAAGAAATAACTTGGACTCAACTCAACTTGAAAAACAGATCGACTCGCTCAGCTTTGCAGTCTTTTATTTCCAAGCATGCACTTTTTGATTTGTATTCTTGATCATTTCATTTCTTTTTCCTTTCATCTTTTTCAAGATACATGTACGCGCATTTTTCTTTTCTGCTTTTTGATATAAGGATCATATCTTCTTTTCTTGAGAATCGATCACGATTTCTGCATCTTCTTTTCTTATTCTTATTTATTGTCTTTTTTAATGAAAAACAAAAACAATCAATAAGTAAATAGCTATTCGTCTATTTTATAAATCGAAAGCAAACATAGTAGAGTATGCCATATTCAATATAGAAATATGTAGAGTTCAATGTGGATAAAATGCAATCAAAGTTTGAAAAAATAAAAACTTGGGCTGATTCTGGACATAAGCAACAACGAAAGAAAGTTAAAATAACAATGGCAAAATCTAATTCTCGCTGAAACCAAGAGTATATATTCTCTAAAAATATGTTCTTTTTCTGATACCGTGAAAAAGTCTCACACAAATAGACATATGCAGAAAAGCCCAAAGAAAAATATTTTGTTTTTCATTGCTGTAAAAAAATTATGTTTCTACGATATACAACCTACATAGAACTGTTTTTCGTTATTTTTAAAAGATTTAATTTTTCATCTGTTCTTTTAAAGAATACTCCTTTCCTGCAGTAAAAAAATGAGCAAGCGAGTCTTATTAAATAAGACTTGAATTTTTTCTTCTTAGAAAAGTTTCAAGAAATTGAATGAATGTCAAATTGAAAAAGAATCAAGATAAAATGTCATTATAAAACAATGAGTTAAATATCTTATTCTTTATAAAAGATTATCAGCTGGAACAAGTACCATAGAACTCTGTTTTCATAAAGTAGCTCCAAATATAATTGTCCTCTTGAATTAAAATGAACTATCAGATAATGAAGAAGATCGTCTAAAACTTTCGAAATTTTTCATCGACAACTAAGGGCAACTACTGATAAATTTTGATATCATGTATAGCAAATCGGTATATTATGGATTGATGGATCGACTTATGCTCACGCCAACTTAATGAGCTTCCTTCATACGGTCAATTTTTCGTCGGTATTTCTCATGATGATTGTTCACATTTGTGGTAACCGTTTAAGGGAATCCAACGAGTTAAGGGAAATACTGAAAAATGAATAGAGGTCACATTGGAGTTCTAATGGCGGACCAATGAGCTTCAGTTTTAGTAAAATATGGAACATCCATACTTTACACACTCCGAATCCTATTGGTACGCCATGAGAGCTATACCGTGACCTCTATTTCTTTTACACTGTTTCCCTTAACTCGTTGGATTCCCTTAAACGGTTACCACATTCACATCTATTATCGACAAATCAAACACTACTCTCAGAGAAAGAAACAAGTGAAGTGTATTAATCGAATCGATTACAAAAAGAAAGAAAAACAAAGCTAATCGAGATTTGATAAGTACTTCTGAAAAAATATATAAATTTATATATAATTTCTTCTACTGAGGTGTCTGTTTATAATCGAAATAATCTCGATTATTCGAAAATCCTTGTTAACATGAACAATTTCGGATGTACAAAGAGTACTCTGTTTTTCTTAATACTTTTAGAGGATGAGTTCTTCAAGTTCTACATCATCATCAAATGAATCAGCAGCTTTATCTTTATCGTCATCATCAACCATTCGCCAAAGATCAAATACAAATATAGTCACCGGCGAAGAACTTGTTGGTAAGCTCACTATTTCATCTTTCTATTATTCTATAACGAAGTGCTATTATTATTATAATTAAAATGACTTGATTTAAAAAAAAGAAATAGCTTCAAAAAACATTTTCAATACACCAGTATATTTTCGAGTATGAAAAATGTAAATCAAACAATACCACTACATAAATATTTCTTTCAGCCGATTTTTAATGGCGGCATTTTTATTGAATCTATTAATGGTTCATTGTCTTTTTTAGAATCAGTGTTATCATATGTAAAAGAATTGAAAGTTGCTAAAAATTTCAAATTGAAAATTGAACGTCAATTAAGAAACATAAATTTTCAAGAAAATGAAGCTGATAATACAACGACTGCTGAACCTGATGATACAACAACTGTTGAATCCGACAATGATACAGCTGTTGAACGTGATCAAACATGTGATTCTAATTGTCGATCGCGTACAATAAACTATGCATGGAGTAAGTCAATGATGAATATACAGAGAGGGGAGCGGTGAGGCAATCGTAGCCCTCTTCCGCTGGAAAATTTCTTTTATAAGAAAAACAAATTTACGATAAGAAGTATTTTCTATATGTCACATAAGCGAGATGGATGTCTTTCTCTTTAGTTTTAAATTCATTGATTAGACTTGAAGCAAAATATCGTTGCTGAATAAAATCTATCCAAAATTACTAATTATTTTTACATCAGTACTTCATTAACAAAGAAAACATTAACGATTTCACGTAAACTATTGGTAAAAATACTGCCGAACAGTTTTTCTTTTACAGCGCAAAACATAAGTCGATTACATCTCTAGATTCAAATGGGGAGCATTCCATGAGTTAACATAAATAATAGATAGATTTGTATTCGATTTGTTTCTCTCAGGTGACCTTTGCACTCGAATCTATAAAAAGTGCAATATTATTCGGCTTCCGAATATCTTCTGCCGCAGCGAACATGTAAAAACGGATTAAATCATATGCATTAACTGAACATTGTGCGACGTTAATTCAGTTTTTTTTGGTGTTGATTTATGTAAGTTAATTCATTTTTCTTATTCGAATCAATATATGACTTTGGTTGTTCCAGAAAAAGTTTACTTCTTGATGGTTTTCCTTTTCGCCTAAATAAGACGAGAATTTTACATGAATAAAAAAAGTGCATGTGTCTAGATGCCTTCAATTTTTTCTGAGTTCATATTTCTACTATCAATTCAGCTCTTAGTTTTCGATGAATGCAATATGGTATACTACCAAAAATGCACTTCATCCAATAATTAGCTTTTCGGTTCTTTGTGGCCTGGCTTCGTAAGAAAATAGGATTGTAATACATTTACAGAAAATAATATGAAACCCATCGTTGATATTTTAAAGTTTTATTTTCAGCTTTTTATTAGGTTGAGACAAATTTAAATATAATTCTGATCATTTCTACAGAAAAAGGTTTCCGATATTGCTTTTTAGTAGTTTTATGTTTGATAAAATTTATTTATGAGTGCAGTGGATGATCTGAAAAAAAGAATATGAAATATGCCTAGAATGTTCGTTTTTCTGAAGAAAATGTAGGAAAGAATGCTGGTAAATCGATTATTCTGATTTGTTTCATTTTCGCCATATTCATAAGTGAACTTTCCTTGTTGTAGAGGTACAGTTAGATTTTACGTATATGTATCAGTGGTGACCCGACGGGGGGAAGGGGAATGTCGAAGGTAAAACATCGCCCTCTCTCCATCCTCTGAATCTTATTAATATCGTTTTTGCATCTTTACATCAATTTTAAGCATGTTATTTTGTAGATGTTTTAGCTTCTGTAACTGGTGGCGTGATCTTATTCGTATTGACATATTGGCTTACTCGGTGGTTTATCAAATTGTGGAAATCCACATCAAATTCAACTTCAAATAGTTTTTTACCATAGTTCATATTAAAAATGATTGATATTCTTTATTGTTATTACTGTTCAACTAAATAAACTAGATAGCATCTTCACAAAGCTGGAAATTCGAAATAAGGCGCGAAGCGCTTTCTCTCGAATATCTGAAAAGTGGATATTTATTTGATGAGTAACAAATCATCAATTCGATGAGATTTGAAAAAAGGTATCAACAAATTTATGTTTCCATTAACCAAGTGATTGTAGTTCGACTGAAGTTGTAGAACAGTTATTATTGAATTCATCGGTAAAAATACACAATAAAAGTCTATCAACATGTTTTTAAAAGAACGATGCCGATTGATTGTTGTAACTATTTTTGTGATTCGGGGTGGATGTGGGCGAGAGAAGCTAAACAACTTGCACTCCCTCACCTCATACCCATCCACACCCACATCTATACACCCTTATTAACAGTCTGACTTCTGTTTAGTAGACCCTAATGGGATGAACTTTGTTAAAGTAGATTTTGTTAAAAAAAATTAGCACGAATCGTTAGTCTATACTGTTGTTTCGATGAACCTTCGCTTTGGATGAATTAGTTTCTAAACCTGCAGCTCTCAATTACTCAGTTATATTCTTTTCATTATGATAAAACTGTATTGTGTCGCACTACTGATAAATATAAAATAAAAGATGAAATTACAGTTTCGTCAAAATTCTTGGGATACTAATGACAGTGCAATTGAACATGGAAATGCTTTCAGTCATCAACAAACTGATAATGCATCCACTGACGATGGTGTGGGTGTCTTAGTTATCGTTGATTTTTCGAAATCTAGGAGACTTGATACTATAAAATGCAACAATAAAATGATGAGAGTGACGAAACAATCTAATCTATTTATTTATTATTTTGATCAAGACATGTAACGTTTGGTTCTAGCTTAGAATATCATCAGAAAGCATATTAGCAAAAGAACAGAAAATAATGTTTGTTTTAAAGAGAAACCTGGAGAAACAGCAAGTTTTTATATAACTTACATTTTGGATTCAATAAAAAAGAAGCATTTTTCATTCTAGTTGACTTTGCAAACATTGAGTAGGTCGGGTATTATATTATATTTAAATAGCTCAATTTGTTTCGTTTTTAATTCTCTATCTTTTAGTAAAATTTAAAAAGACTTTCAATCAAATGCAAGCCATTTTTGTTTATGTTATCAAACAAAATGCAATAAAAGATCATATTATCTTGAGAATAATTATTTTAATGTTTAGAAAACAAAAGTTTTGTTTTAAAATTTTTCTGCTGAAGGATGAAGATCAGGTTCTTGTAACCATGTTGAACGAGGTTGGATATGCAATTGCCAATATGTCTCAGCAATCTACAACAGACAAATGTTCTATTCAAAGAAAGAAAAGAGCAATAAGATTATACGAGTATAAAAGTAAGAGTTAAAAAACGCAAATGTGCTTTTTCATATCCCAAGATCAGATATACATTCATATTTTACAAAATAGATCACGAACTGCTTTTTTTCTGAGATTCATTCTGTAAATTTATTCTTCAACTAAGACTAGGAGAACTTTTTTGAATTAAAGGTGTGTTAACAAAAATATCAAGGCATATTCTATTATTGTTTTTTCTCTTCTGATTGTTTTATTCTTGAAATATTTTACTTCGATAAGGAATCTTTGATTCATATGATACGATTCTATGCATATATTTCTTTAGCATAAATCTCAGTCTTTTGTTTGCTCATATTTACATCCTAGATATTTAACTTAGTTGGAAAAGTTAATGAGAATATTTGAAAATATATCTTATGTGTAGTTTTCTTAGTGTAATTTTTTATTAAACTTTTAGAATAAGTTGAATGTTTGGAAGATAAGTATGTGAACAAATGATAATAGATAGTAAAAAACTAAATATGCCGTTACTTTTGGTCAGTACAATAGAAGAATGATAAATAGAAATGTCTTTTATACAGATATTTTTCTTCCGGAGGGGCCATTCAAAATTCCAGAAGGACGAACATCTATTTTCAGGAGTGCAGGCACATAGTATGCAGTACATTACTACAAACTTCTTGAGGACCAACTCGATTTTCGGAGGTCCGCCACTCATTCAACTCCCATACTAGACAGAAGACTGTCTACTGAGTAATGCTAAAAATGTCTTCCCTGTAAAAATGATCTTCGAAAATATCGTATGTTTCGATTTTCTAAACCGATGATAATACTGTTGTGTAATAAATATCTTGTTTGAAATCAAAAAAAGAAACATTTATATAAGACTTTTAATTACTTAAAAATTGAAAATTTTCTTCACATTTGATATTTAATGCAAAGTCAATGTTGTTCTTATAATATTTGATACTAAACCTAAAATTACACAATTAATTTTTTTTACGGTGTGGGTGTGGGTGTGGGTGTGGAACACTCACACCCACACCCACCCACACCCTAAATATAAATTTTGAAAATTTACATTTACTCGTAAATGTAAATTATAATAATTTACATTTATTTGTAAATGTAAATTTTGCAACAAAATAATTTACATTTACAATAAATATAAATTACTTATCATTTAATTTACGCGTAAATTAAATGAAAGGTAAATGTAAATTGACACCCCTAATTCGAACTGTTTGAGTGTATTTTTGATCATACCTTCTTATCTGTTGAATAGTGTTTTATAGAAGGCTAAAATTCTGAATTTTTACATCCTTTAAAATGCTCTTTCATTAATTAATTTCTTTGAGGAAATCATAGAATGGACCATCTATATCCACAAGCTTTAGTATTAGTCGAAAGTTTGTTCATTATTTTAAACATTTCGTCCATATTGATAAAGATCATATGTCAGTGAATATTGCACATATAAACAATCTTTGTTTTTTTTTAGAAATGTTCGACATGAGTTCGCATGTACTGATATAACATGTGATGATGCAATCAAAGAATTATATGAATGTTATTGTTATCTACGTTTTGTTTGCTTACGTCATTCAATTGAACAGTTGAAATATAAAAAAACAAAATAAACAACGATTAGATAATGTTCGTTATGAATTAAATACTGTTGTTATAGCAAGACTTGAACTATTTGTTGGAAAAAAGAAACTATTGACAATTGGATACGAACAAAACTTGATTGAACAAGCAAATATATTTCTTAATAAACCAAATAGTTCAATTAATGAAACACAAAATATTTTTGAACAAGTTAATCAAGTCATTCTATGAACTAGTTCAGGTAAAAACTAAATTACAAAATCGTTCCTTGTGTTCATTGGTTCTTGTTTTTTTTGTTTTAATTTTAGACAAGATGGTAAAAGTCGAACATGCATTATCAAAAACTAAAGATTGTTCTTCTATTTGCAAATGTAATAAGGAAAACATAAATTCAAATGGTAAATTGAATTTATGTTGATCAATCATCATTGAGAAATACTCGTTGAACATCAAAATATTTCATTTCTCGCTTACTTATTTTTTGGGATTATATTGAGCTCACAAAGAAATTTTGGTAAGAGTAGAAAAGCCCAGTGATGAGCTGAGTTCTCATCGTCTTATTCAATTTTTAGCCTATTTTAGATATTAACTGCAAATTCAACTAATAGAATTTCGACTTGTAGTTTACTCCGTAGATAATTTCAGAATATCTTCAAATAAATTCGATATTTTTGATAGAAAATTCTCTGTTGGAAATTCAATATCTTGACAGATGAATATTTATTTTGACTGAAACTTTCAGAATATTCATGAACTTATGAGATCTTGTTTGCTCGATATAAATTCGTGTCGTTCTTTTGTAGGATAGAAGAATTTTATTAATTAATCTTTTTTTATGTTAAATTCTAGTAGAAAAACTTGGAATTCCAAAAAGTAAGTTAAAGTTTTGTTCTGAACTTTATACAGGAATAAATAAAGATGATTGATTTAAGATGATAAATGATTCGATAAAATTAATTTTTGAACTAAAATATCAAATATTATTTTTTTGTTTTTTAATGTGTTTAAATTTGAATAGAATACATTCTTCTTTGATTAAAGAAACACCATTATGAAGGATAAATCCATGGACATAGTACTTCTCAGTTACAATGATCGAGATCGTAAAAAAGTGTGTAATAACGAAACCACTCAACACACTGAATTCAAAACATATCGTTTTTCTTCGAGAAAAAAAGATTCACCATTTCAAACACTTCGTGCACTAATTCCAAAGTGACCTATTGATCAACAAGCAATTTGAACAATGACTACGACAAATGCAAAAAAAACCGTCATAACATACATAAAAGCATCAGCAATATGACCACGCATACTCATTGCTCATCTATATCTCTCACTTAGCCGACAAGGTCGAACATTCATTCACTTCTCCGCCCTACTCTAGCTAATAACAAAATCCTGTCATTCGTTCCAAAGCTGCTAATCGATGTACGAAAATAGGTCAAAAATGTAGTTGAGAGTCTTTCGTTCATGAGAAAAAGAATCGTAAGAGATAACAAATGATAAGCAATTATTTTCATCCAATTGTTTTTTTCGATAACATGGTACATTCATTGTGCGATATTATTCGATCTTACTAGTGTTCTATACTCACATAACAGTGTAATGATTAAAATTCTTTCAAGAAAAAAACAAAGATTTAAACATGTTCAGCACGTGACATAAAGAGAGAGTGTGTATTATAAATCATAANTTGGTTGATTTGCATCTATTGAAGAATTACATGGCACTATATTAATCATATTTTTCAACTCGAACTCAAAGCTATTTCTAGAACTGTTTTAATGTAACTATGGAGCTTATAAGTAAGTATCGAATATATTACATATTCTGTTAATATTTATCTATATAGAAGACAAGAATACCATGCTAGTGCCACCAGATACAGAAGTTGTCTTCTGTACCGAACCATCGAATTGTACTACAGTTGGAAATACAAATATACCAGCAGATCAAGAAGAAATCAATGATTTTGATCTTAAAAATTTCAAACAAAGTTATCATATAAATAGAAAATTCTATCTTAATCAATGCTCGTGTATTTAGCTTCTTCTCAATCCTTTTGAACAATTAAAGACATCTAGAGATGATCAAATTGATGCTCAGATTTCACTTAAAAATCGCAGTATTAAGATAGAACATGAAATATTTTCACTTTATATGTAACAAAAATAAATAAATTGTTAATTTTATTCTTTGATTGGTTTAAGGACGATCTTATAATGATTGATTGTCGTACACATATATAGATAAATGGATTTATTCGTCTCTTCATATCTTGCTTCCATTCGTTTCCATTCGCTTCAATTCTATTCACATTCAGTATGGCAGCTGCTGGTTCAACAAGTGATGTGTCATCTTCTTTTCTTTATAATATTCACAACAAATATCATGTATTATTAGTATATATTATTGAAGTAAATGGCATTTATAAAGGTGCTTACTATTAACCAACATTAAACGTAATTGGTGCTGTTGAAAGTCGAACATTTGAAAGAATGATCGATGATGCATATGAATCATTAGCATTTATTGTAGAAGAGTTTGATGAACAACCGTTTGATGTTAATATTATCGAAGATGTGGTCGCCTTCGATCTTTTATCTGTCAATACAGAAGAATTTAACATGTTTATAGAAGCACAATCTAATAGGTCAACATATGAAGATACTTATAACATTATTTTAGGGTAGGATGTTTCATTTATTATATAATAATCCCTTTTTATTATTTTCTAGGGAGCAAGATTGAATTATACGTATGAAATAGGAACAAGTTATTGAACTGATTTTTTTTTAAATCAATTTTTTTTCATATTTTTTTTGTATCTGTTATATAATAAATATTTATCTTAACTAAAATATTTTAATTGGATTTTTTAAATCAATATTTTAAATTCAACTAATAAAAGTATGAATTTATTTATTAATTAGTTTGATTTTATTTGATATTTTATTGAAAAATTTTATGTTTTGCAATTTTCTTTACTTTTGTTATTTGAAAGACAGATGATGATAACGAAGCTGCTGAATATATGGATTTATCCAATGATAAAGAATATTGTAATTCAAATGAAATTTGTTTATTATTTAATTGATTTGATGAGTAATAAAAATAAATATTTTAGAATAAATCTATTTTTTGTTTATCGACCTCCTATTCGCTTTAATCGATTAAACAAAGCTGAAATAATCTTTTTATTTCAGGCAAATAAATAATGAGTATACAAAGATTTGAATTTCTTTGTTAAAAATGAAAAATGTTTTTACTTTTTTTCAATAAATAGATTTCAACAATAAATCAATATTGGACATGGCTAGAAAATAGTTTTCTTTCAAATATTCATTGCCAACAATGGTATAATGACGAATCACCTCATAATCTAAATGGTTTCAAGCACGTCTTGTTATTACACCACTTACTGACAGGTTAATTAATAATAAAATTATATTTTTTATTTCATATTTTTGTTTATAGATGTTATATTACATTAACACAATCATTTCATTTTATTATGGGTGATGCATCTGCTGGACCGGGTAAGAAATTCTTATTTATTGTAATTATGATAAGATTGTTTGCTTTTGTCTTTAGCTAGAACAGGAAAAATTGAAGCAACAAAAGATTTAGGACGAGCATTAGGTGTAATGGTTTATGTATATAATTGTTCTGAACAAATGGATTATCAATCCATTGGAAATATTTATAAAGGATTATCACCAACAGATGCATGAAGATGTTTTGATGAATTCAATCGTATTTCCGTTGAAGTACTTTCTGTAAGTTTAAAAATTCTTTTACATAAATTTGTTTGCAAAATATCTCAATAGGTCGTTTCTGTGCAAGTAAAAACAATTCAAGATGTAATTCGTGATCGAAAACAACGATTTAATTTTATGGGTGCTGAAATTAGTCTTAATCAAAATGTTGGTCTTTTTATTACAATGAATCCTGGTTATGCTGGTCGAACAGAATTACCTGGAAATTTAAAAGCATTATTTCGTCCATGTGCTATGGTTGTACCAGATATTGAAATCATTTGTGAAATAATGCTTGTTACATCTGGTTTTAAAGATGGAAAATTATTATCATGTAAATTTATAACATTATATAATTTATGTAAAGAACTTTTATCAAAACAACATCATTATGATTGGAGTTTACGAGCTGTTAAATCAGTTTTAGTTGTTGCTAGTGCTTTACGTTGTGCTGATCTAAATCGACCTGAACGAGAATTTTCAATGAGAGCATTACGTAATTTTAATATACCAAAAATTGTTCATGATGATTTACCAATATTTATGGGTTTAATTGGAGATTTGTTTCCTGCACTTGATGTTCCACGTAAACGTGATTTAAAATTTAAAGAAGAAGTTAAACGTGCTGCATTAGATCTTAAACTTCAATCTAAAGATGCATTTATTCTTAAAGTTGTTCAATTAAAAGAACTTTTTGAAGTTCATAATTCGGTATTTATTGTTGGTAATGCTGAAACAGGAAAAAGTCAAATATGGAAAACACTTAATCGAATGTATATAAATCATAAACGACGATCTGTTGCAATTGATCTTGATCCAAAAGGTGTTACAAATAATGAATTATTTGGTTTTATGAATCCAGCAACACGTGAATGAAAAGATGGAGTATTTTCAACAATAATGAGAGATCTTGCAAATATGGCACATGATGGTCCAAAATGGATTGAATCATTAAATACAGTTATGGATGATAATAAAGTTTTAACATTAGCAAGTAATGAACGTATTACATTAAATCCAACCATGCGTTTAGGGTGTGGGTGTGTGGGTGTGTGGGTGTAGGTGTGGGTGGATGTGGGTGTGGGTGTGTTATTTTCCTGTACGTCCACACCCTTAGCATAAAAATTAAAAATAATCATCATAAAGACTCAAATATTATTCTGAAAAAAGAAAACATAAAACTGTTATCTTTCGCTTTTCTTTTTCGTTGGTAAATAACTGGCTTGACGAGAAAGAAGGCTTTTTCCTATAATATTGCATCGTAAAAGTGATAAGAAAGTTACAAAGATAAATCTCATGGATATGTTGCTCTATTTAACATAGAACGAATAACAGTTTGTTTCACTTTTTCGTCAACAAAAGTAAGTGTTAAGTATTGTAGCCGTTTGTTTTTCATAATAAAACACAATTCCTAATTCGTTTGCATACAACATTTTATTTGATGGAAATAGATACAACCGAATTATTATCCTCAGAGTATTATCGATTGATAAATTCGATATCTTCTCAGGATGACGTAGGGATGCACAGATTTCAATTCCGACTTTTGGCTTGGCTTCGATCGAAATTTGTTTCAGGCAATCTTGAAAAAGTTGGAATCAAATTATTAATTTATGTGAATATATGCAAAACTAGTAATTCTACAACAGCCAATACTAATTAATTTTAATTCTTGGAAATGGTCGGAATCAAAATTGATACATTCCTAGGACGATGATTACAGTCGCTGAGACAAATCAATAATGATACTGTCTACTATTGTTTCATACAGTATATGGTCATAAATAGCTAAAAATTGACGTGTGGTAGATGCAGTATTACAACCGTATTTTATCATGCCACACACAGTTAATAAACAGTCTGAAAATCGATTATCCGATTATTTGCAAAAATTGAAATATAGTCGTCATAAGGCACCTACCAAACACCGAAGAAACCATCTAAAACCGCCATTTACGATCGTGTTCATTTGACACAGGTTGTCTAAACAATATCAAAGATTAGTTTTTGTATTGTGAGATATTCGTATTGTTTGAATTGTTTGCGTCAGAACATCTAAGATATTTCCTAATAGAAAATTTATAATAATGAAAGATATTTAGATAAATATGAATTTATCAAACCACGTTTTTATGAATGTATTTTGTATATTTGTAAAAAGTAGTGATGACTTTTTGTTCTATTTAATTTCAAGTTTATTATACGAGTTTTTGTTTCAGTTTTAGTTTAATATTAATTAGTAATGGATACTTCAAAAGAACGTATTAAAAATAATAGCGACATCGATGATGAATATCTCTGCCCTATTTGCTTTCATTTGTTATGGAAACCAGTTGAATGTCAAAATTGTCAACGCCTCTTTTGTAAGATATGTATTGATAAATGCCTGAAAGAAAAACCGAATGTTTGTCCTCTTTGTCAACATTATCAAGAAAAACGTTGTTCACCGGTATTTTATGCCTTATTATGTAAATTTAAAATTGAATGTGAAAATAAGCAAAACGGTTGTAAAGATATATTATTATATGAATCACTTGAAAAACATCAACAAGAACAATGTCAATATCAAATGAAGATATGTCGTGGTTGTCAGAAGAATATATTAAAAAAAGATTTAGAACAACATGAACAAAATTGTGGTGAAATCAAAATCGAATGTAAACGATGTAATCTAGTTTATAAACAGAAAGAAAAACATGAACAATTAGATTGTCTAATGAATATGTTGGATCGAAGTAATAAGAAAACCGAGTCATTAGAAAAACTAGTTGAAAATTTACAGCAAAGTGTACAGAAGCTTGAAGCCGCTATGGATTTACATCTTTTAACAGGCTTGTCATTGAGTGTTGTTCATGATGTATCATTGTCATCATTGATTTCTGCGTGGAATACCATTTATGATTTTCCATATAGTCATAAAACAACAGTCGAAGAACTACGAGCATTGAGATCACAATGTAAGAAGCACATTATTGTCGGTGCTATACAAGGAAGTTCATCAATGATATTGAAGATAGCAGCAATAGGACCATCAGAAATTTTATCGTTGGATAGCTCATTAAATCAACCAACAAAGTTTGGCAATGTACATTGGTATTTAACACAGAGTAAATCATTTGGATTTGCTCCATCATCAACAACTATAAACTGTCAGTCGGCAGATAATGGAGAGAAAGATAATTCAGAAAACCGATTGAGTTGGCATCTCGACGGACAAGGAGGATACCGTGCAGGAGCAGTCAAAGGCTTAAATAGTAATGACGAATGGAGAAAAATTATCATGACAGAGAAGCATTAATTAATTGAATGGTTTTCTTAGTTCTTAGATTTCTCGAACTAAATTTCTAACTGTTTTATCTATCCTGTATCTCACAATTCAATTCATGAAGCCTCTTTTTCACAATGTTATTTTTTCGAAATAATATGAATTTTCTCTTTCTTTCTTATTTGGACAATTACATCATTAATATACTTTGAGTTCTTTTGTCTCTTTTCCCAATCACATGTATTGAATGCTAATAATACGAACGTTAAAAGAAATTGTTATTAGGCGTACGTTCGAGCGTCAAGTTGAACAATGGTGAAAATAAGCAGCAATTAGAAATAGTCATTGACAAATAAGAAAATGATATGCTGTTATATGAATATGTAAATGATTGATAATGTTTTAAAACATTTTTAAGGCAGAAGAAATGATAATAAAATAGTGTAACATTGGAGGACAATTAATACAGAAAATCTTAAAAAACATGACACAAATATAAAATGTTCAGAGTATGACAAGAAATTTTTCTGAAGAGTTTTACTGAGAAAAAAATCAAAATTTGTCATGTTGAATGATTTTTGTCCAATAGATTTCTTTCTTTTGCAGTTGTAAATATAATTTTCTTTCAAAAAGGCTTGTAAATTATCTTAGATGGTATCATCATATATACATATATATGTGTCCTATCTATATCTTCTTTCGTTCTACTGTCATGCATGAATGCATTCACGTTCTAAGGATATGTAATGCTGGTATCATTATTGAGAAGTGAATAGTCGGTGCAAGGTCCACTAATTGCACTTGTATCGGTGTTCATTGAAGCATCGACTACAATGATATTAATGTTCGATACAACTGTGAGACATCAACTCTATCACAATATGTGCTTTTTGTAGTGGCGTGTTCTAATACTTCAGTGAACATTGGTGTCGGTGCACACTAACTAGACCAAGTTGATGACATAAGTAGTTAGTAAACTGAAACTATATATCCCTAATACGTTCTCTTTTCTAGCATGTTTAGTAAATATCTGCATTTCAGTTACGGTTGTGACCAAAAAGAAGAAAGGTTTTCGCAACAAGACTAGAAAAATAACTGTAGTTAAACATTTTGTCCAAAATTTTCTTACGTTCAAATGTCATTTAAGATGTTACGATAAAACAATCTCCAACAAAGAAAAATGTTTGTATTGGCCGCGACCTATGCAGAGTATTTTTCTCTGTCGGAGCGTATTGCATCTTCAAGTTTCAAACAGCATTTCGAAAAGGATACAATTTTGAACAGAAGGTTCAAGTCGAGTTATTCTTAGAGTCTCATTAAGGAAGACTATTGCGAAAAATTTTCTATAGATCATGTCTCTTATCTCTCGTATTCTCTAGTGGAGTTCTTCTGTCTCCGCATTCTCATTGCTTTAAACAATCAAAACATTATACATACGCGATAAGATAATACTTATCTCTGACTAACAACTTATTGGTTGTCGCCTACGTTCACAATTGACTCAACAGTCATCCATTTGCTTACTTTCTTTCTATCACTCATTTGCGTTTTTATTTTTCATAATGTGACATCAACACATTCTTTAATAGACTACAATTGCATCGACTAAATAATTATATTCAAAATGTAGAACCTTATATTGCACGTTTGTTCGTACTGCCACCGATAGATCAGTAGTCGACTACTAATCAGAGACTAAGTATCGGTATGCCATGGTAGAATAGTGATCATAAGATGGCCAACTATTTAACTTGATAGATACATTCCATGTTTTTGCTGAATGTCAGAAATCTTAAGTTTAAAATTATATATTGCATTTTTTTATGAACATGTACAACTGTATTCAAGATAAATAGACAGAAAAAGAATACGGATAACTTGTTATAAAACTTCGAATAAAAAAAAGGCATGCATAAATAAATAACAGTGAAAAGTGACTAAATGTTTTTGTTATTTCAATAAAATAAATCAATCCTAATGACTGACTCCAAATAATAATAGAAAGAATAAATGAATATGAAAAATATTTTTCTGGATTTTGTAAAGTTAAATATTGAAAAACCCATAAAAAAACTTGATGAATATATAGAAGAAAAGAAAATGTAAAAATAAATAAATAAGTTCGATTGAATAGAAAAGAACTTAATAATGTTAAATCGTTGAAATAATTCTCATGTGATTGTGGATTATTTTTGTTAATTGATAAATTAAATTTTAATAATTGAAGACTTTCACTAATATTCTTTTTTATTATCATTAAAGTACTCTGTTCAATAAATTCGAATATTTCTAATTTATTTAAAGTATTTTGTATTAATATTTGATCTGTATGATTCTGATTATCTTTAACTAAATTCTTAATTAAATCATGTAAATTCCTTTGATTTTCAATTAATGTATCAATTGCTTGACTCATCGGTTGTAATAAATGTTTTTCTTGTGTTATTATTGATTGAAAATGTTTATTATGATGAATCATTTTTTTATTAAAATATATTCGTTGATTAGGAAATTCATTAGCTGTTTGAATCGATAAATATAACCCAATACCATATACAACTGTATCTATTAATCCTACACTAATTGTAACAATTAAACGACATGATGTTACACTCGTAGAAGTAGTATCAGCTGTAATTAAATAATAATAAGATGTGCTGAGAATAGGTCCAACGATAATGGTTGTCAGAATAAGAAAAATAAATGAGAAAAATCCTTTAATGAAATTCAACATTCCAATAATATTTCTTCTCTGTTATGTTTTTCTTTTGTATTTATTTACTTATACAATACTTTTTGATAAGATGAGTTTTTTATATAAATATTTGTATTGCTGTATGCAAAGGCACGACGGTGTGTATAGTAATGCATATAACCATTGCTGTTCTTTTTCCTTTTGAAAGTATCATGATACAGAAGAAAAAAAAATTGAAATGTGCAGTCAAGCATATTGCTGTTTTTAATCAGTATATGAAAATTAAACAGCTGGTGCATTTGATTCTATAGGTTGACATCGAACTTGACAGAATAATTTTAAGTATATTAATAACAAGAAGAAAATCAATAGCTGATAAAATCGACCCTCATGAGAAATTTAGTTCTTTTTTTCTATGTCAAACCCTCATACTAATTATTCGAAAGTGATTTCTGGTAAAATTAGTTCTATAGCACTAATTTGTGTTGTGTCTAGATCGATTAAGATCGTCAATGACTGTCACATGTACACTGAATCGAACTGTTGATAAGTCAGCTTTTTTATCTATAAATTTGATAATTGCTCATGTTAATTTTCACTTGGTTTGATAGAACTTCCTGAGTGTTACAAAATGGTATAAAAATATTGAGAAAAAAAAAACCACTGACCTCTAAGAAAAATTCGAAGGATACCTTTTTTTAGACGTGATTTTACGGTTTTTTGACTAATATTTAATAGATTTTGATCAGAAAAGTATGAATTATATGATATTCTAAATGAGCATTCGAAACTGAATAAATCTACGCAAGTTTCAAATACTTCTATGAAGTTAATTTTTCCTAAAAAATTCACTCGTATTCTCATCAAGGGTGAGTCAAAAAATTATTTCAATAGTCGAAATAAAATTTTAAGGTTGTAAAATGATCATGGAACTAAAAGTTTGAATATTGATTCAGAATATTATATAAGCTTCATATAAGTAACACTTTTTCGAATCGAAATCTACTAAATACTAGTCAAAAAAGTATAAAATCATGTCTAAAAAATAGTATCCTTCGAATTTTTCTTAGAGATCAGTGTTTTTTCCTTGATATTTTTAATATTATTTTGTAGCACTTGAAAAACTCTATCTAATAATATGAAAACTAGTCTAATGATATAGATAGACAAAAAAAAACAAGTTTCTCGAAGAGATTGAATTCATCAGTTATTAACCTCGGTACTTTATTCATTAGTAGTATGAAAAACAAAAAAGAAACAAAATGATACGAAAAGTTTTTATTCGTCTTCATTTGCATTTGAATATGAACGTTTATCAACTGGAAGTAGTTCAGTATATTGTACATTTGATGGTCTAGTATTAAGTGTTAAAAGTGTATTACCCTTTGCTAGATTATTTCGATCAAATTGACTCGAATGATAAATATCTCGATTACTTAGACTTCTGCCAAATGATTTTTTACTAATTGGCTGCTTCCATTGTACAGTTGGTCGAGTTTTTTTTTGTACTATTGTTGATTCAAGTAACTGTTTAAATGCTGATTCACTATTGATTGATTCAATACGTTGACGTAATAATTCTAAAAGAGCTCGTTTATAATATCCACTTGTATCGGTCTAAAATAAAAATTAAACTTTTTTTAAAAGTACATTAAATTATTTAATAAAACGAACATGTATTTGATCAAAAAGTGTACGTTTCGATATTTTTTCAAATTCAGATTTTATTTGTACCATATCAATTTCACATCTTGAAACAATTATACGAGTTAAATTTTCTTCATTACAACCAGAACTCTAAACATGAAAATATTTCGAATTTAATTAATAAAAGTTCAAAAAAAAACAAATAAATAAATGTTTTACTTTAAGACTTTTTTTTAATTCGAATGCAAAAAAACGTGGTCGATTTCTTACAATTCGAACTATTAGAAAAGCATTATCATTTAGTTCAAAACAAAAATAATAATCTTTTTATTACCAATAGCCATCAATGTACGACTAAGATCAGCATCTCTATCAATTTGAATCGATTGTTCAATATCAATTTGACTAAATTGTTGATAAGCATCGAATATTTGTTTTAAATTTGCATCACTAATGTACAAGAAATAATTTTTATTTTATAAAAAGAACTTATTACGAAATACCTTCGATTACATAAAAGTCGAATAAATGTTGAACCATCTCTTCGCCATTTTGTATTTGTTTCATATAAATTTTGAGCATCCTCTAATACTTCATCATCATCAATATTATCATCTTCTGGTCGATTAGCTTGAAGTAATGCAAGAATTATTTGTTGTGACGGTGTCTCTTCATTGCCAATTATATCTTGTTCAAGTGAAGATTTAAATACTTTAATTTATTAAAAAAAGAAAAAAAAAAACTCGAAAAATTTTGTTTAATAAATAAGATTAATTTACTTTTTGAATAAGCATCAATTATTGTTTTTATTTGTTTATTAGAACGACTAAGAAATATTTCAATAAGACTAGTTTCATCAATTTTTGTTCCATTTAATATTCGTCGTAATTCAAAACAATCATATTCAATAGGTGATAATAGAAGTACTTTTAAGATTGTTTTTGAATTTCCATTTATTTCAGTTTCAATAACATCAGTTAGATTCTATAATGTATTATAAATATAACGAAATATTATTAAACACATACTTAGCTTTCATCTTATAATAAGTATTTAACATGTATTTTATTTTAGGCATTTAAATCTCTCATAGATGAGTTAATCTGAATAATTCATTACGAATATATTCTTGAATAATATTTGAGAAAAATATATAAAAAAATAATGGCGATTTCTGAATGTTCGAAACTGCCAATACTCATCTGGAAAATGTTAAAAACTTGAAAGTAGGAATTCACTAATCATACTCTTTGTCTGAATTCTTCCAATTCCGGGCAAAGGTGACCACTGAATTCTTGCTTGCAAGCTCCGACCATTTTCTAGTCGTTACTATGTTGAAAAATCTTCCTGTGTAACCAAAGTAATTGTAACTTTGGATGAAATAGAAATCGAAGCTAAATCTATGACAAATTCATATAAAACGAAACTCAGTGTATATCGATGATTCAACTGTCTTTTACTTATGCTGGTATTACTCATCAGCTCTTATCATATGAATTGCATGGTAGACTCAGTTTGAAGTAGAAATGTCTCAGGCGAGGAATCGATGAAATGGCCTCTCCCCCAATCTTGAAGGATTTTCTTATTTCTACAGTGAAGTTCTAGCGTTTAATTATTTCTTTTTGCTCATCCACCTCGGAACATTCCTGTTTAAAGAACACAAACGAATAAATTATGAACTATTGCATATGTAGTCGAAAATGATTTCTAGATACTTCATAGAGTTCTAATCATGGTATATCAGAGATAAGATCAGTTCGGTTCAAGAAAAAAAAAAGCGAACCGATCACATCTTTGCGGTCTATTTAAATAACATTTATTTTTATTTGAGTAAACTTACTTGACCAAAAAGGTTTTTATATGTATCACGAATTTGAAGACGTTGAGTAACACTTCGATTACAAAGTATTCTTATTACAGCAATTTCATCTATATTTGGTTTCTGTAAACTTGTATTTAATTCTTTACAATCTAAGTAGAAAAAAGAAAAAAAAAAAGTTTTTTATATAAAGAAATAAATTTCAAATCAAACCTTGTTCCACATTAAAATCATTAAATCGTACTAATGTTCCTTCTTCTAATGATAGGTTTTCGGTTTGATTAGTTTTTGGTCGTAGTGAAGGAGGAATTGCATGAATAATAGTTGATGATGAATGTATTTGTTGATTATTTGTCTTTTGTGTATCTTGTTTTGTTGTTGTTGTTATTAGTTGTTCAGTTTCATAAACATTATTTATTATTCGTTTTGGATATTGATTAATGTTTTCTTGATAATTTTCAACTTTTTTTTTAAGTGTTGTTCGAATTTGTACAGCTTCATCTAATTGTTTTTCTCTATCACGAATAATTTGTTGAAGCATTGTTAAATGTCTTTGTAATGTTGATATTGATTCTGTATTAATTCTTTCATCAATAATTCTTTTTTCTATTGTTTCTATTTGACTTTGTAAATGAGAAATATTTTCACGTACAATACGAACTTGTTGTTCATTATCTTTTTTATCACGTTTTAATTGTTCGACATTTATTTCATGTTCTCGTAATGCATTTGGCATTGGAAGTGATTTTTGCATTTGATAACGATGATATTCAAGTTCAAATTTTCGATGTAATTCATCTCTATATGCTTGAAGTTTTTTTTCATATTCGGATTTCATACGACGTAATTCATGACTTAATTGTTCACGATAATTATTTGATAGTTCAATTGTTGCTGTTTGATTAAAATTAATTGATTGTCGAATATCATTCATTGTTGCTAAATGTACATCTTCATTTGTTATTTTTTCATTTTGTAATACTTCTAACTCCATTTGTAAAACTTGTTTAGCAAATATTTCTTCATCTAATTCATAACGTAATTTAACTTGTCGTGATTGTAAGATATTATTTTTTAATGTATAAAAATTCATTTCATCATTAAAATGTTGTGTACGATAACGAAGAAATTCTGATTCAGCTCGATTTTGTGCTAATTTACGTTGATATTCAAATACTTCTTTATTTGTTGTATTACGTTTTGATAATAATTGTTGATAATGTTCATCATTAGCTACAGTTACTTGATGAATATCATTTAAGTTTTTTTTTAAATCTGATTTATAACGTGATGCATCATTTATTAATTGATGACCTGTTTCAATTTCTGATTGAAACATTTTTTCAATAGTTGAGGAATTTTTATTTGTATTTGTGTGAAGTAATTCAATTTGTAATTCTTGTGCACGATTATGTACATCATAATAACAACAAAGTAAAATATTATCTGTTAATGTTTCATTTAATTTGGATAATTCACGATGTTCATGAATAATATGTTTTCCATCGACATTCTGTATTGGTGCTATAACTGATGATGGTGGAGTTTGAACGAGTGAAACAAGACCATAATT